AAGCTGATATAATGTTGGACCTGGGATATTCTCTTAACCCAGCCATTGATGTTGGACAAGTGCGTGTTCTTCTCTCAATCTCCTATGCTTTTTTGCAATCTTTTAAAAGAATACTGTAGATCTGAAATCACTATTTACAGATAGAAGGAGCGTTTGTACAAGGACTGGGCTGGGTAGCTTTAGAAGAACTCAAATGGGGAGATGCAGCTCATAAATGGATTAAACCGGGAAGTTTACTCACTTGCGGACCCGGAAACTACAAAATACCTTCTATTAATGACATGCCATTCCACCTCAATGTTTCTCTTCTCAAGGTAAGCAACTATAAGTAGAAGCTTTAAATTGGTAGCGACACATGTGAAACTGAACCTAAGAATATACTCCATTAATTCAGGGGAATCCGAATAGAAAGGCAATACATTCATCTAAAGCAGTGGGTGAGCCACCGTTCTTTCTTGCATCATCGGTTTTCTTTGCAATAAAGGAAGCGATTAAAGCGGCTAGAACCGAGGTGGGTCTCACCGACTGGTTTCCTCTGGAGAGTCCAGCGACGCCAGAGCGTATCAGGATGGCTTGTCTCGATGAGTTTTCAACCCCTTTTGTAAGTTCAGATTTCTCTCCCAAGCTTAGTGTTTGAACTTTAAGTTTCATCGGAGGGGAAAAGATCAATCAATCTATTGTGAGAGAGTCATGTCTGTAAGTTATTTCCAGTCTCCAAAGAAATGTGACATTACACATATACATTTACCAAAACAAAATAAAAATCATTACTACGATATGTTTCTCCAAATAAAGAACTTTGTTGTTTACAAGTGCCTCAAACTATGAACCTGTGGGTGGCTTCCTGATCAAAGTTGCTTGTTCGAAGCCATAAGCAATCTCAATGAGCTTTGGCTCTGAGAATCTCAATCCTCCAAAGCTAATCCCAAATGGAACTCCTTCACTGTCATATCCTGCAGGGACATTGATTCCTGGATACCCTCCAATTGCGAGGACAGAGCTGAACGCTGAACCAAGCGCCACTATTGCATCTAACTTCTGCTCTTTCATTAACTTTTCGATTCCATTTCTTGAAAGTTGTTCCATTCTCTGCAACGCTGCTTTCTCTTTCTCACCCATTCCATTAGTTGCTTCTGCTGCAATGAACACATCTTGCCCCCATTCTTTCACTTTTTCCTGTGTAATTTCCTCTTCAGTTCAATGATTGCATTTGTTAAAGTACCCAAAAAAAGGCGAATTCGTTTGAAAGCAGCTTAGTACTTGCCTGTTCAGCAAATTCCTCGTTGTAGGCAATAACATCTGCTAAGGAACGGACTGGTGATTTCACAAGCTCTTTAAGATATGCATTAAGAAACATCTTAAACTCAGCCAAAAGTGCTATCTCTTCACCGCTATTAGTCCCATTGACAATGACTTCCATGTTTGGTATCGTCAGATTGTTAATGACGATAGCACCTTTTCGTCTTCATCCAAGAAAAATCAGAAACAGATACATTGTTCTCAATTGATGAATCAACTTATAATAAAATTTACCTTAATGTTTTGATGTGATGATCAAGACGAGATGACTGCATTACGATCCCTAATCTCTTACCTTTGAGGCCCCTAGCTTTCAGAAACTGCTTGTAACCGCCTTCAGGTATGAACTCGGATGCAGTTCTCGTGGCCTCGTCCAATGGATCATAACCCACAATAGCATCAAGGAGATGAACAGCATCGGAAACTGTCCTACAAATTGTCCTACATGGCAAAGCATAGAGAAACACTAGGCAAAATGGTACACAAATAAAAACTAGTTAGTAGTGGTGGGTGATCTGCTCACCCAATACTGTCCTGTCTCAAAGAGATAGGAACTACCCCGGCTCGGCTCGTGAGCCCGACAGTGGGTTTAATCCCGACCACAGAGTTCTGGCTTGATGGAGAAAGAATGGAACCATCAGTTTCAGTCCCTAGTGACACTGCCACAAGATTGGCTGCTACAGATATTGCTGATCCACTACTTGACCCAGACGGATTTGCAGATAAAACATATGGATTCTGCAGCATTTAAAGATTTGCTGAAACATTTTTTAAGAAGTTGGTGAATTTTGAAACCTTTTGTAAGGATGTTGGTTTACCAAATATATATTGATGGAGAAATGAATCTCCTGAGATGAAGAAAGTAACCTTTCCCTGGAGGCCACGTGCGCTCCAACCATCTGGGATGGAGAAAGATCGAAAGTGAGCCCACTCACTTAAACTGGCTTTGCCCAAGATCACAGCACCAGATTCCCTGAGTCTCTTGACAACACCCGCGTCTCGAGCGACAACTGAACCAAGCAAAGCCAACGAACCAGCCGTTGTGTTAAGCTTGTCCTTGGTGGAGATAGAATCCTTGAGCAGAACCGGAACACCATGCAAGATAGGAAGCTTATAAGTAGCGTTTTTAAGGTCACGTTCTCTGTCTGCGATCTCTGCTTGGATCAACGCGTCTGGATTCGTCTCAATGACAGCGTGAAGTATTGGATTGAGTTTGGAGATTGCTTCGAGATACAACTCCACGAGTTGCTTTGACGTTAGTCGTTTCTCCTTGAAAGCAAGTCTGATGTCTTTAATGGTGGCTTCTTGGATCGAGAACTTTGAGGTAAGCCTGAGATGAGAGGCAGATACAAATGACATATCAAGAACATGAGGAAAAAGAAGAATTAGAAGAGATGAGGAGAAGATGAAACGCAGAGCAACCATGGCTAGAGAAAGAAAGAGAAATTGTCAACCCCTATGCCTCTCTCTCTTTTATGGACGAGAATGAAAACATCGTTGACTAAAATCAAGCCAATATAACAATTTTTTTTTTTTTTTTGCATACGTACAAACAACTTGATATAAATAAATCATCCATTAAGGAAAGAGTAAGAAGAAGTAAAACAACTGAAAGCAAGATCATTCTTCATAATATCAAGGTCTCCAAAGCAGCAACTTTGTTGACTACAAACTGCCTTAAGCTTCGAACTTAGGTGGCTTCCTAATGAGAGTTGCTTGTTCGAAGCCATAAGCGATCTCAATGAGCTTTGACTCTGAGTATCTCAATCCTCCAAAGCTAATCCCAAATGGAACTCCTTCACTATCATATCCTGCAGGGACATTGATTCCTGGATACCCTCCAATGGCGAGGATAGAGCTCAACGTTGAACCAAGCTCCACTATTGCATCTAAATCCTTTTCTTTCATTAGCTGCTCGATTCCATTCCTCGAAAGTTCTTCCATTTTCTTCAACGCTGTTTTCTCTTTCTCACCAATTCCATTAGTGGCTTCTGCTGCAAGGAGTAGCTCTTGTCCCCATTCTTTCACCATTTCCTTTCGATTCAATGATCACACACTTGTTCAGATACCGAAAAGGTCAAATTTCTTTTTGAAGATTAGTACTTACTTGTTCAGCGAATTTCTCGTTGTAGGCAATAACATCTGCTAAGGACCGGACTGGTGATTCCACAAGCTCTTTGAGATATGTATTGAGAGACATCTTGAACTCAGCCAGAAGTGCCATCTTTTCACCGCTCTTAGTCCAGTCCCTAATGACTTCTATGTTTGGTATCGATAGATTGTCAATTACTAATGCACCTTCTCGTCTTCACCGAACAAATAGTGAATCATGTTTTGGTCCATATGATTGAATGACAGTAATTGATGGATTGAACCAACTTAAAACATGTTTTACCTTAATGTTTCGATGTGATTATCAAGATGAGGATGCTGCATTACAATCCCTAATGTCTTACCCTTGAGGCCACCAGCTGTCAAAAACTGCTTGTAACCTCCTTGGGGTATGAACTCAGACGCGCTCTTTGTGGCTTCGTCCCAGGGATCATAACCCACAATAGCATCAAGGAGATGAACAGCATCCGAAACAGTCCTACATATTGGTCTAACAGAACAAACACACAATAAATAAATAAAAAGAAACTAGGCACAACGGTATGAAAATCAATAGAAGTAGACTAGTAGTGGTGGGTGCTCTCAGTCTCACCCAACAGTGTCCTGTCTCGAGGATAGAGGAACCACCCCGGCTCGGCTTGTGAGCCCGACGCTCGGTTTAATCCCGACAACGGAGTTGTGACTTGCAGGACAGAGAATGGAACCATCAGTTTCAGTCCCAATTGACACAGCTACAAGATTAGCCGCCACTGATATAGCTGATCCACTACTTGATCCACACGGAGTCGCTGATAAAACGTACGGATTCTGCAGCATTCAAAACATGCCTCTTCTTGAGAGTTGAGTCCAAGTTATAAAAAAGCTTTAAACCTCTTCCGTAAGATTTTAGTAAAGTTGCAAATTTGATAGAGCAATGAATATGATGGAATGAAGAAACAGACCTTTCCTTGGAGGCCACGAGCGCTCCAACCACTTGGAATTGAATCGGATCGGAAATGAGCCCATTCGCTTAAGCTGGCTTTGCCCAAGACCACAGCACCAGATTCTCTGAGTCTCTTGACAACACCTGCGTCTCGAGGCACAACCGAACCAAGCAAAGCCAACGAACCAGCCGTGGTGTTAAGCTTGTCCTTGGAGATAGAATCCTTGAGCAGAACCGGAACACCGTGCAAGATAGGAAGCTCGGTGACGTCTTTGAGCTCACGTTCTCTGTCTAGGATCTCTGCTTGGATCAACGCATCTGGATTCGTCTCGATGACTGCGTTGAGTACCGGATTGAGTCTCGAGATTTCTTCTAGATACAACTCGACGAGCTGCTTTGATGTCACTCTTTTCTCCTTGAAAGCAAGTCTAATGTCTTCAATGGTGGCTTCTTGAATCGAGAATTTTGAGTTGAGCATGATGTGAGGAGGTAGAAGAAGAAGAAGAAGTGGTGTGGTGAAAGCTTGAACTTTTGAAGTGATCATGAAATGGTCAACGGCAAGTAAGTAATGGTCTCATCATCACAGATCCATGTTTGATTATAAACAAAGTATTTAAGTGGCTTTTGTTTGAATATTAGTTTACTTGGTAAAGCAGAGATAACAATATCTAAAAAGCTTTTACTTTTATTCAAGGTAGTCAAATTTCAAAACCCTAAACAAAGGGTTTTACAAACTCGAAACGATCCCAAATCAGAAAACACTCAAACCCTAGATAGAACCATCCATACAGGAAAGGAGGAAGAAGTGAAACAAACCAAAAGCAAAGACACCATTATTCATAAAAGATCAGTGTCTCTCTCACTAAGTCACTTCAGATCTAAGAAAGCTGACCACAGTCCTCGACAACCACACGTTTCGAAGTCCTTCCAGAGTCAGATCCAACTTTCTCAATGGCCTTCACCACATTCAAACCTTCAACGACTTGACCGAACACAACGTGCTTCCCATCTAGCCACGAGGTAGGAGCAGTACAGATGAAGAACTGAGATCCGTTAGTGTTGGGACCAGAGTTAGCCATGGAGAGAATCCCAGCTCCGGTGTGCTTCTTGATAAAGTTCTCGTCTTTGAACTTAGCTCCGTAAATCGATTCACCACCGGTTCCGTTCCCGGCGGTGAAGTCACCTCCTTGACACATGAACCCAGGAATCACACGGTGAAAGGTTGATCCTTTGAAGTGAAGTGGCTTACCCATCTTCCCGATTCCTTTCTCGCCGGTACAGAGAGCTCGGAAATTCTCGGCCGTGTTTGGAGTAACATCAGCGAAAAGCTCCATCACGATACGACCGGTGGGTGCACCGTTGAGACTCATGTCGAAGAAAACTTTAGGGTTCGGCATTTTTCTTTTGGGGAGATTTGAAGAGAAAAATCGAAGAATTTTGAAGATTGTGTTGGTTTGTGAATGTGTTAAAATTAGGGTTCTTATAGAGAGGATTTGATTTTAAAAGCGGTGAATCTGAAAAAGGAAATTATGTTTGTGACCGTCGAATCAAGACACGTGTAGGGTTGTGAGGGTCTGAAGATTAACCGTGGTTAAATCGAATCTGACTAGGGTTTAAGTCGCGTGGATACGAGGCTCCCCCATAATTAATATACTTTTTAGATGGACCGACCATATTACGGCGATGAAGTTTAGGTGGGCCGAAAGCAAAAGCAAAAAAAAAGCCCAATATCTTATTTGATTGGTTGCCACTCTTGTTCTACGATTCTACGACCCCCACTCGATTGTATTGGAGCTAAACTAGCTAAAGTCATGTTGGTGGTGATTATCTTTCAGCACGTGAACACTTGTGTACGATGGGATATTTACTGTATTCACGATCTTATTTTTCATCGAACAATGATCTTTCTTATGACTTGCATAGTTACATTAACGTAGACCATACTTTCGCAAACATTTTATGAGGAGAGGAGGAGAAGTAATAATGAGCTGAATATGCGTGTTCACATTTTTTCCTTACAACATTTTCGTCCGCCGCTTCGTGGAATGATGAGACTGATTATGCCTTGGTGGGATTATTAGGCCACTTTGTTTTTTTTTTTTTTTTTGTCATCCTGATTAATTTGATTCATGTGAAAGTGCAAACCGAATAAAACGACGTTCGTACGAGCATCGTCAAATCATATTTTGTATATTAACTATGTTCTATGGCCGGAATCTATCCTCCACTCCACAATTTTCATCATATTTTTATCCACTATTGTGTCTAGATTAGAAGAATCTTACAAAAGAAGTACTATACTATATTATATCTCCAAAATCCAGTAGTTAAATACTTAAATCAATCAATCAAAGCATCATAAAAGAAACTTTTGGAGTTGTCCAAGTGACACTATATATCATTGTTTTATAAATATAGCTAGTGATATTTAGTTCGTTCTCCAACGTTAGCAACGAGCGATACGACCTTTTCCCTTGTCATTATCAACAACAATTTCTAATTTAAACTACAAACTTACCCAAACCTAAAAATTCAAAGTTTTTTTTTTTAAAAAGAGAGAGTATCAGAAAGAAACAAACAAGGCAAAGCAGGCTGCGCAGGGCACGAGATCCACTGCCACCGTACACGTGGACAACCAAACATCTTACTCACTGCAAAGATACTCTCTCACGTCACTCCTTTATTTAACTTAATAGTAAAAACTATATAATAAGAAAAATTAATGAAATACAAAAAAGCAATCAACAACAACCTCCGTGCAATCATATCATATGCATGGCTTAAAGGGTTACCTTCACCTTCTCTCGATCGCTAGAGTTACTGTGCTCTTCTTCAATCCTCCTGTCACAGTCACATCTCGTCCGTACACGTGGACCCACATCCTCCCTAAAGCTCATTAGCTGATTCGTCTTACCTTTGGCCGTTTCGGCCCTCTCTCTCTCTCTCTCGTTTAATCACTTTTTTGTGTGTATATCATCGAGTATCGACTCAGAGTGAGATACTTCTCGCTTCTCAGTTACAAGATTGAGAGAGAGAGGCCATAGCAGCATAGAGCGAAGCTCGTTTGTCTTCTTCGTCGTCTTCGTCTTCCTTTGACGACGCTGTTTTGATAAGGTTCGTGATGATGATCTTTCTACGTCTTCCGTTGTGGTTATTGATGATCATTTACGGTTGTTGTAGTTTTTCGTTTCCCCTGCTTTGTTTTTGCTGGATCTCTTCGTGCTTTAGCTTCACGGTAGTTTTGTTTTCGATCTGTTCTGTGCAGTGTGATGTCGTCCAAATCTTTCGCTTTGATTTCTTGTTCTTTTGAGATTATTATGGTATCCAACATTTCGGTGTTTATTTCGTTTAATTCCTGTTATTCTTGATGGATGCTTCTCTGTTCTTTGTGCTGTGATTGATCCATTGTATAGAACAGTCTCCACATGAGCTTTGATTGCGTTTCAGCTTGTTTATAACCTTTTTTACACGTTTGATCATGTCATTGTTGACTGTTGTGTCCTTCAATTTCTGAGTGAATTATAGAATATATGCTATTTCACTGTTCTGTGTTAGGAGCAAATGGATCTGATCCATTTTTGTGGGAATGCAGGGCATGTCCATTGGGACTGTTGGCTAATATTTGAATCAATCCGGAGCAATGTCGGCTTTTAATATGAGTGTAGATGTGAACCAGAATGGGAATATGAAGAATGCTGATTCTTCATTTACAGTGGATGATATTGATGACATTGATTTCTCCAAGTTGCTAGAGAAGCCAAGGCCATTGAATATTGATAGACTGAGATCACTTGATGAAAGGTCTCTTACTGAATTAACTGGGTCACCACAACTTAGAAATGCGGATAATGCTTCTCGTGCCCAAGATCACTCAGAATATGTGATTTCACCTAGTGTGGGTAAGAGGTCTGGATTCAATACTCCTAGGTCACTGCATGGATTTGAGTCTCATCCAATGGTTGGTGAGGCCTGGGATGCTTTGAGGCGCTCTATGGTATACTTTCGTGGACAACCTGTTGGGACTATTGCTGCAGTGGATAATTCTGAAGAAAAACTCAACTATGATCAGGTGAAGAATCTTCTGACTAACCCACATCGTATTTTCATGTTTCTTTATTTAAACTCTGTGTTGGTTGATCTGGTATCTTGCTGGCTTTATCCTTTAGGTGTTCGTGAGGGATTTTGTACCAAGTGCTTTAGCATTCCTGATGAATGGAGAGCCAGATATAGTCAAAAACTTCATTTTAAAGACTCTTCGTCTTCAGTCCTGGGAGAAAAAGATTGATAGATTCCAGCTTGGTGAGGGCGTTATGCCTGCTAGCTTCAAAGTTTTCCATGATCCTGTTAGAAACCACGAAACGCTGATAGCTGACTTTGGCGAGAGTGCAATTGGAAGGGTAGCGCCAGTTGATTCTGGATTTTGGTGGATTATACTGCTCAGAGCCTACACAAAATCTACAGGAGACTCTTCTCTTGCTGACATGCCTGAATGCCAGAAGGGTATACGGCTGATACTAAGCCTGTGTCTGTCTGAGGGATTTGATACCTTTCCCACTCTCTTATGCGCAGATGGTTGCTGTATGATTGATCGTAGGATGGTGAGCAGTTGGTTATTTCTTGTGATTCTTCCTAATAGGAAACATTTTGAGCTAGCTGTTTCATCAGCTTGCCACTTTTTAACCTTGTGTTTTCTGATTTTAGGGAGTCTATGGTTACCCGATAGAGATTCAAGCACTTTTCTTTATGGCCTTAAGGTGTGCCTTGCTCCTACTTAAACATGATGGAGAAGGTAAAGAAATGGTGGAACAGATAGTTAAGCGACTTCATGCATTGAGCTACCACATGAGGAGTTACTTTTGGCTAGACTTGAAGCAGCTTAATGACATTTACCGATATAAGACAGAGGAATACTCTCACACTGCTGTCAACAAGTTTAACGTCATCCCTGATTCTCTTCCAGAATGGGTTTTCGACTTTATGCCAGCTCATGGAGGGTTTTTTATCGGCAACGTTAGCCCTGCAAGAATGGATTTCCGTTGGTTTGCCTTAGGTAATTGTATAGCCATACTGTCGTCCCTGGCGACTCCTGAACAGTCAACAGCAATTATGGATCTCATTGAATCTCGCTGGGAAGAGTTGGTTGGAGAAATGCCATTGAAAGTTTGTTATCCTGCAATAGAAAGCCATGAATGGAGAATAGTAACTGGTTGTGACCCCAAAAACACTCGGTGGAGCTACCATAATGGAGGATCCTGGCCAGGTAAATTTTCTTCCTTTCCTTCCACATTTAACTGGACTACAAATGAATCTCTCCTGTCCCAGCTGTGTTCTTCTCGTTGTACTCTGGTATCTAAATCTTAGTAAAAGGCTGATCTGGCCCTTATTTATGTAATTAACTAATTATGTTTACTGGTTGACAGTGCTGCTATGGCTTTTGACCGCTGCTTGTATCAAAACTGGTCGACCTCAAATAGCAAGACGAGCAATTGAAGTAGCAGAGGCTAGGCTTCATAAGGACCATTGGCCTGAATACTATGATGGAAAGGTAGGGAGATACGTGGGGAAACAGTCACGTAAAAACCAGACATGGTCAATCGCTGGATACTTAGTAGCCAAGATGATGCTGGAAGATCCGTCACATGTCGGTATGGTTTCTCTTGAGGAAGACAAACAGATGAAACCCGTTATGAGAAGATCCAACTCATGGACTTGTTGAAAACAATAGAGAGAGAGAGAGATGTTCTAAGAAGAACCCTTCATGATTCCTGGTTTTATTGTTGATAACAAACTTTTTCTTCGTTTTTCAATTGCACATTTTACGTTGTTTGCTGTGTGAAATATTTTTAGACTATGGAAGATTTAAGTATCATAAAAAGAGTTCGTCTGTTTAGCTTAATGCCTTTATTATATGCTTTCTCTCTCGATGGAAATGTCTATAGAGCAGAAAGGTATACTTTCTTGGTTTGCAAGGTAAAAACGAAAACCCCATTACTCTTTCACGTTTTGTTCAGACATCAAGGTTTCGTGCAATGATGCCTTCAAATGTAACACCAGGTCCAAAAGCCAGAATCAGACCCCACTCGTTTTCTTCTTTATTCATGCTCCTCACTTTCTTGCTCTCTTCCAACATATACTCCAACACATAAATGATTGAATTGCTGCTCGCATTGCCATAGTCCATGAGAGCTCTTCTGCTTGGACTCAGCTTCTCAGGCGACAGGTTAAGCCGCTTCTCCATTCGGTTCAAGATGGCCGGTCCACCTGGATGAACAGCCCAGAACATCTGGTTATAGTCTTTATAAGCCAGTCCCGCTTTTCCTATTAGCTTCTTGCAAAAATTCTCCACGTTGTCTTCTATTATCTGTGGAAGCTCTCTCGCTAGCTTGAAGTTTATCCCTTGTTCCGTTAGCCTTCCATCTATCGTCTTCTCGGTGTCTACATCAGGAAAATGAAATCCATGTTTGTCTAAGATATTATCTTAGGTGATAGGCATAACTGCATGCACAAATTTTAGTGGCGTTTTACCTGGCAAGAAATTCTGTATTGCAGTGTGAAGCTCAAAGAGAGGCTTCTCGCTGATCGGGTCTGGATCGGATCCGATGATCATAGCTCCAGCTCCATCACCAAACAACGCGACCCCAACAAGATCATATGGTCTATCCGCACTTGGCGGTTTGAACCCGATGATTGTTGTCTCAGACGTGGCAAGCAAAACTCTACTGCCCGGATTATTCTCGGCTATGTCTTTGGCTACACGGAGACCTGCAACTCCACCAGAACAGCCAACAAAATAGAGCAGAACACGGTGTGTCTCAGGACTGAGTCCAAGCCCCTTGGCTAAGTACAAGTCCCCACCAGGAAGACGAGCTTCACTTGAGGAGACATAGACAAGGTGAGTTATGTCTGAAATAGAACGCCCCCAGTTCTTGATGCAGGCTCTGGAGGCTTCTACTGCCATCTCGGTCACCGCATCATTGCAGATGTCGAGTCGCTGCTCCACTGTGGATCCTCCTTCAATGGCAAGTTCGGGATACTTCTTGAGTATCTCCTCCGACATCACAACATACCTTGTCTTTACCGTTGTTGTCTTGCCTGTATATAGTAAACGAACAGTTCAAACAAACCTCAGTTCTCATGAGCTTACAAAATGGGATTAAAAAATTAAAGAAACAAGGCTAGAGTGAAGACATTACAGAGACGAGTAAGCTTCTGTTTGAGTTCAGGGTCGTCACAGTTGGTGGTTTTGAAGTAGCCATCGACTAAGTACTCTTGCATCACTAGCTGGTGAGGAAAGGCTTTTCCGAGAGCAAGAATTGTTGCTTTCCCCGGGTTTGATTTCTTCTCTGAACCCAATTCTGTGGCATCGATGCTTCCCATTTCTATCTGTTTTTTTTTGTCAAAGGCTCAAGTCTTGGGTATCTAAAAGGGTTCAAAGTGAAGGCATATATATATGCTGCAGTTTTTGCAGCTTATGACCTGCATCTTGTGCGGTGGTTCTGTCTAGTTGATGTTTGGTGAAGATTAGGTGTAAGATTCAGGAGCTTCATGTTTATTGCATTGGTCTTTCTAAAACCCAACTCCAACAATTCTTTGAGAATTTTCTCTTCATACATAGTCTTTGGGCCTCGTTAAAAGCCAACGGGTGTGTTATAGTTATAGTTGTTTTGTACCTTCAAAAGAATGCAAGAGAGCTTCTTGCTATTACAAGCACGGTTAACAAAGAACACCACTATCAGCCCCATGGACTGAAAGGTCGAATGAGATTTTCTTCTGTTCTCATCAATCACTCGAAATGGATAAAAATTTCTGATCCTGTTGTTGGGTAGCAAAATTTGCAGAGTTTCTACATGTATTGGAAGACAGCAAACAATAGAAGAACAAATGAGAAAAGGTGAAGAGTTAAAATGAAATTCTCTGCTCAAACCTATGCCCTTTGCTTGAATCTTTATATCCTTTCTTCGCCCAATGCACATATGTGAACTTTATAGACGAAACTTACGGTTTTGATTATAGGAAAGCTATCAGGTCTGACTTGTCAGAGGTCTGAGAGACACTTCCCACTGATGAAGTCAATCACCTTAGTAAGTGACTCATCAAGTTTGGAAGTGACTGCAGCTAAGTTCTCCAAAAATTCTTCAGAAGTTGGTCTATTGCCATCCACAATATCAGTAACACCTTTTATTAGAATCGTAGGCACCTTAAAGATATCAGCCACATAGGCCACTGCTGCTCCCTGAAATGTCAAAGATTCCATGAGTAAGCCGCAGTAACTGATAAAGACACCAAGAAAAACACGCAGATTGGAGCCACGTTCATAAACACACGAAACTTATCGATTGTCTACCTCCATATCTTTAACTGTAGCATCATTTGCTGTGATGGATTCTTCGTCATGTGGAGACATATCCATAGAATCGCCAGTGGATAATCTTCCCACCTGGGAACACCATCACAACCACTTATGGTACTTGTATATATGCAAAATAAATCAAGAAATAATCAGAATTATTGCACGAGGATAAAAAAATGTTGATCTCAGAGTAACCTTTAGGTTGAGCTCCTTTATAAGGTTGGGTGTGGGGAAGGCTTTCCGCATACCAACACCATATATATCAAGGACCTGCAGAAAGTACAGAGAAATGTATTTAGGAAAAGGCAAAATATTTGGAACGATAATGCAGACACATGAACAACAGCTCTACTTTGCAACTCATACAGACACAAGAACAATACAAAAGAGCACTTACAGGAACGGGTATTCTTCTGTCATGGAAAGCAACACTTGAGACAACATAAACATCGCTAATACATGCACCTTTGGCCTGAAAGGACCATTAAAAACAAAATTCATTCTTTCTAACACATAAGAGGCACGACATCGACTATGTAGAGAAAGAAACTTGTAATGTATATACCTTAAAGCCACCAGCGGTTCCCGCATTAATGATCAAGTCTGGTCGAATTGCTTGAATGGAAGCATAAGTCACGAGAGATGCAGGAACCGTGCCAACACTCTCTACCTCTGAAAAGAATTAACAACAATGACCATTAGAGATATCACCAATCAAGAACTCCACAAAACATCCTGAAACACTGACTTAGTTACAATCACACAACCACACATACCTAGAGTTGCATCCTTCCCTGGACACACTATATTGACGTTCAAGTCTTTATACATTCCTTTAAACAGAACCCAAGTCACTTCCTTTGGAAACCTTAAAAAAAAAATTCAACTTTTCAAAACATTCACAAGAAAGCCAATCACATACAATTTCGAATCCAAGAAAGAAAAAAAGAGCTTACGGCGTACTAACTTCTTTCACAAGCCGTAATCTGTTGATCAGAGGCTGAGCTTCCTTTTGCATAGCTGCGAAAAATACACAGCCATTAGAAGAAGAAGAAGAAAAATCACAATCAAATAAATATCAAAGAGAAGGAAACAAAAATTAGTACCGACGATGAAGACGATGGTAGAAACCGCCCGTTTCTCTTCTTGACCCTTGAGATCTTCCATAGCCTCCGTCGCCGGTGATTCGTCACGATCAAATTCCTAAATTTCCCACCGGAAATTGGAACGTACTTAAGAAAGAAATTAAAACCGGATCCGACCCGTTCTATTCCGGACCAAACCCAACGAGAGAATTAACATTTTTATTTATTTATTTTGGTTTTTGCAGAATTAAAAAAAAAAAAGGAAAAAAACGTTGACGACTTGACGGCCGTTTATGCCACGTAAGCAACCGGTCCACAATCCAAAACGAGTCGTTCGTTATTTCATATCCTCACTTCTTCGGTACTGCTTTATCCTCATCGTTTCTCTCTTTCTCTCTTCTCCTCTCCAATGGAGGTTACCTCCACCACCTTCGTCTCCACCTCCAGATCGTCTAAATACCTTACCCTCACTTCCTACTCTCCGGTCATTCTTCCGGCTTCTAGTCTCCGCTCCATCCGCCGTGGCTTTCTCGGCTCTTGTCACAGTCTCCGTCCTTCTCCTCATAATCTTCGAACTCGCCCCGGGAAGCGAAATTCTCGTCGTTCTTGTACTCGATCGCCTCGTTTAGTTGTTAGAGCTTCTATCGATTCTGGTTTGATTCTTGTTGTTGTGGCTGTCACTGCCTTCTCCGCCATTGCTTTCGCTTACTGCCACAGTACTTTCAGGAAGCGCAAAGCTTCCAATGAGGTAATTTCAAATTCTGAGCTTTTTTTTAGCCAATTTTAGGTTTTGTTTCGTTAGAGTACGTGATTCGAGAGGCAATTACTGTTAATTGCTGGTTCGAGTGACATTCATATGTAGTTTACAAAACGGGAAAGACCAAATAAATAATCAAGTTGCTGACTTTTTCTGAATTTCGATAAGAGTTTTGATTCTGACTAGCTAAACTGTTCAGGTTGCATCATCTCCTGCAAAGATTCATGGCGGAAAAACTAGTGCTGAGAAGCGGCGGGAAACTCCACATTTAGATGGAGATGTTCTTGAAGGAAGTCCTGTAGAAATAAATGGAGGGCTCAGTAAGATGGATGAAGCTAGTGCAATCAAATTGCAAGAAGAGGAGGCTCATCAAGTCCAGGAAAGTACTGTCATGGAGTTGGAAGAAGAGGAGGCTCATCAAGCTCAGGAAAGTACTGTTATGGAGTATGATTCATTTTTGCCCAAACAAACGGATATGGCAGCTGAGGATTCTCAGTTTGCTGTTGCCAGTGTCAGCACAATTGCAAAGGAACATACTTTAATTGATGAATCCCTTTCACCTTCCATGGTTAATGGGTCTGTTGCTTTGGAATCACCTACCTTGGAAGTAAAAACACCTGAAAAACAAGTTGAAAACAGTGAAGATCAGAAGAGTATGGAGCATGATTTTTCACAGGCAGTGGTGGGAATTCAGTCGATTGCTTCTCCACTCGTGGTAGATGATACACGTGCTCTAGAGTATGAGTACAATGGTTTGCTCCAGAAGCCTGTTGAGTACAGCGTCTTTACGGAGAGTAAGAGAGAAGAGATTCACACATTTTATAAGTCTAATCATTCATCAGCCAAGCCTTCAAGGTTGACTAGTCTTAAAGCAGCCTCTCCTACTGTTACTTCTGCAACTAATAGTTTATTGCTGGACCACAAGAACAATGGAATAATTGATACTCAGTTTCCAGGACATAGTTCTAGTCAGGCTACTGGTATGTTGACAATGTGGTACTGGCTGTGTTGGATTTGACACAATCTTATGTTTCCTTTCTGAAAGCTTGCAGTGCCAATCATTACACTGATTCCTCTAAGTGGGCTTCTGTTTCAGGTGATGTCCAAGAAGAAGTACTTGTGACACATGGTAACGGTGGTTTATCCTACAATAGGAAAGATGTTAATGGAGACTGGAAATTTCCAAAAGATGGGAAACATGTGGGTCAAAAAACTGATGAAAGCATGCCCCTGTCCCCTGCTCGAAATCTTGAGCTACTTAATAGTAATGGACGTTCTCCAGAAACTAATGATGCTTACAACCGTTTACTTAGAGATGGAAGGTAATAAGTATTCTCTGATTTGAATCTTGCCTGTCCTTTTCTTTCTCTCCTACTGCTAATTCTTTTTCTGATGTTTTAGTACCAGTGAGGTGTCACTAGATTGTTTAAATTACAGAGTGTTTTTATTCATATATAATAGGCTAAAAGATTGCATAAGCTTTCTCGAAGATTTGGACCAAAGGGATCTATTGGACATGGACAAGGTACTGAGTAATATAGATCAAAGCTTTAGTATTTCTTCTCCATGAAGGGTCAATTTTTGTCACTGATATTTTGTTTGCTTATTTCCTTACACCAGATTTATCATGCGAGTTTCTTTAAAGCCTGCAAGAAGCAACGGGCTGTCAAAGAAGCATTTCGTTTTACCAAGTTGATTCTAAATCCAACCTTAAGCACATTCAACATGTTAATGTCTGTCTGCGCAAGCTCCCAAGACATAGAAGGTGATATATTTTGCCAGCATTAAACCCTTGATCTTGTTAATTTTTCATCCTTCTAAATGTCAAATTGTTACTTATGTAGGAGCTCGACGAGTTTTGGGTCTGGTACAAGAGAGCGGTATGACTGCTGATTGCAAACTTTACACAACTCTAATATCAAGTTGTGCTAAGAGCGGAAAAGTTGATGCAATGTTCGAGGTATAGATACCTTCTTTCCTTTGCCTGAAGGTTATTTGGGAAAAGATACATATTTGGCTGGTTCTTTGAATTTCTGTTAAAACCATGAAGCATATAGATTTCTATAGCAACTTACGATATTAGTCTAATGCTTGTCTGAATGGTTCCGTTTGTTCCAATATACAGAGGAAACGTTTCTTTTGTCTTACAATGAAGTTTTAAATTGTGACTGAAATTATTCTCCGTAGTTCTTACCCTCTTTCTCTCTCTGGACTTTCTTTATAATTCTGTGGGGTTGTATTATCAGGTGTTCCACCAGATGTCAAATTCTGGAGTAGAAGCTAATCTTCACACGTTTGGTGCACTTATTGATGGCTGTGGTAGAGCTGGACAAGTAGCAAAGGCATTTGGTGCTTATGGAATTTTAAGGTCTAAGGTAAGCATAGCACAATTTTGGATGCTCTCCTACCATGTGTTGAGATTACAAAACAAAATCCTCTTTCTTCATGGCTACAATTACAAAATATTTTTGCTAATCCTGCTCATATGTTCATATCTGCTTTGTAATCTCAAGTCTATTATTACATTGATGACATGTTCGATGCAGTAGAATGTTAAGCCAGACCGGGTTGTATTCAATGCCCTCATCTCTGCATGTGGTCAATCAGGAGCTGTCGACCGTGCTTTTGATGTGTTAGCTGAAATGAATGCTGAGACGCATCCTATAGACCCTGATCATATCACGATTGGTGCATTGATGAAGGCATGCTTTAATGCTGGTCAGGTGTGTGGCTTTTCTTTCTGATACATTTTCTGGTTTTCTCTTTCTATTTGATTGAGAATAATGTTATTGCAGGTTGAACGAGCAAAAGAAGTATACCAGATGATCCATAAATATGGAATCAAAGGTACTCCAGAAGTCTATACCATTGCTGTGAATAGTTGCAGCAAGTCTGGGGACTGGGAATTTGCATGTAGTATATACAAAGACATGAAAGAAAAAGGCGTGACCCCTGATGAGGTATGTTACATCATGCTTAAAGTTACAGATCCTTAAGAGTCACGACGTGTCATTAACTGATATGCATACTAGTTTCAAAATATTCAGTTTTGAGATAATATACGTCACTGATATGAGGCAAGTGTTTACTGACAGAAAATTTATACAAACATATATATGTAATCTTTGTTTTAATCTTCTGCAGGTGTTTTTCAGTGCACTTATCGATGTTGCAGGACATGCAAAAATGTTAGACGAGGCTTTTGGCATTCTTCAGGATGCAAAATCTCAAGGAATTCGTCTTGGAACTATATCATATAGCTCACTGATGGGAGCTTGTTGTAACGTATGTGTTCTTATTGCAAGAGTTTTTGAACATTGCTTGAGTATTGAGCTGTCTACATCAAATTATGAAAATGTCTATGATGGTACCTAGAGGAGAAACAGAAATTTGTTCTAGATTTTCACACTGATTTCTAGGGGTGAACAAGCATCGAAAGATTTTTATTTGATAAAAATAGTTTTGGATATTTAGTTGACATCATCTTTGGAATCTCTTGCAATTGTTGGTATAGTGCTATTGCATTGAATTTCTCGGATTAAATTTGTGTGAAGAAAACTACTGATAACTTGTTTGCTTTTGTTATTTAGGCGAAGGATTGGAAGAAAGCACTGGAGCTCTATGAAAAAATCAAGTCGATCAGACTTAGACCAACCGTTTCAACAATGAATGCCCTTATTACTGCTCTCTGTAAGACCTCGAATAAAGCTATCTTAATCTTTTCCCTTAAACACAAAATGAAGATAATATAGAATAAAACGGAAAAGAAAATGTTATATGGCAAAACTGCACTTGCAGTATGTGAAGAACCCCAAACAAAATATCATTTACGGGTATGACTCCTTAAATTATCAACAGGTGAAGGTAATCAACTGCCCAAGGCTATGGAATTTCTCAATGAGATAAAGACTTTGGGATTAAAACCAAATACTATCACTTACTCTATGCTCATGCTAGCAAGTGAAAGGTATCTTATTTTAACTTATAATCATTTGGGCTCGTTTGGTTACTAGTCAGTATAAATTTGAGAAATCACTATTTTCTAACTTTTCTCTGTGTAGAAAGGATGACTTTGAGGTAAGTTTCAAGCTCCTTTCGCAAGCAAAAGAAGATGGAATTTCACCAAATTTCATCATGTGCAGATGCATAACCAGTAAGTTCGTAATTTGTTTTCATCTCTTGCCTCATTCTTCATGACCCTCAGAATTACATATTTTTATAGATGTATATGTGTCCATCATAATGCAATCAGATTTGAAAGTGTTTAGTATTGATATAGCACTTATGCTTCTTCTTTTTTTGCTATTTTGTTAAGGCCTGTGCAAGCGAAGGTTTGAGAAAGCTTGCGCTGGTGGTGAACCTGTTGTGTCCTTTCAATCAGGGCGACCTCAAATTGAAAATAAATGGTCAGTGTAGCTTTCGGATGCAAGTATTAATTCAGTCACTCTTCTTCTTAATGTTGAAAGAGGTCAAGAGAATCTTGTGATGCTTCCGAGTTAGAGCAATCTTGATTGAGTTCTCAGTAAAATTTGTTGGATTGATTTAAATTGTCACTTTCTCTTCTTCAGTAAAGACTTACATCAAAAATTATTCCAGATTAATATTGATAAATTTCACTTTCTTTCAGGACATCAATGGCCTTAATGGTTTACCGCGAGACAATTTCAGGTGGAACGGTTCCTACTACAGAAGTAGTTTCACAAGTTTTGGGGTGCTTGCAACTTCCACATGATGCTGCTTTGCGGGATAAGCTGATTTCAACTTTAGGCATAAACATATCACAAAAACAACATAACATATTCCCACTAGTTGATGGATTTGGAGAGTATGATCCTCGTGCATTTTCATTGCTCGAGGTATTTTGATAGTTTCATTTAGCTATATATTCTTCGTTTTCTCATTTGGTGTACAAAGTTTAAATGTTTTATGATTTGCAGGAGGCAACTTCTCTTGGAGTTCTTCCTTCTGTGTCCTTCAATAAAGTTCCACTACTTTTTGACACGACAGAGTTGCCCAACAACGTGGCTGAGGTAAATACATTTTTGTAATGGAATGACATCTACATGTTTTTTACAAGATTACCATCTGGTTTCCAAGATATTCATAGCTGCGAAGGTTATGGTTTAACTTTATTTACAGTTTTCAATCTGGATGTTAGATCCTAAAAGTTTCTGACACCGGATCCTTTTATTGCTGGCCTTACCATTTTCTTCCAACATGATATTTGGTTTAAATTTCCAGTGAACTTGATTTCTTAAAACTGTATCTCAACTTTATTTGATACAAAGTTAATATATCAATATCTTGCTGTTTTAGCATTTTTTGGAGTCTCGCTTATCTAATTATGTCATGCATAATTTTGGCAGGTCTACCTCTTAACCATCTTTAAAGGTCTTAAGCATCGCCTTGCAGCTGGTAAAATATCCTGTTATCTAGAACCATTGTTTTCATAGTAGGATAAGTTTAGTTGCACGATCTTAAACAGTTCTTGATATAAGTTTACGTTAATCTTCTCTAATATACCGTCACTATTCCCCTTGAATTGGTATTGATTTTTTGAATTTTCTTGTTTTGGGAATTCATTATCAAATTATCAGTCTTAACATAGAATATCTATAAAACACCTTAAGATATACTTTCAGAAGAATAAAGTTGAGTGTATTTTAGTTAAACAAATTGTTAGCTGTGAAGATCTATAACTAGTCGATTAAATTTCTCAATGGCTTCGAGGTCAGTGAAATCTCTTGAAGTTTAAGCCCTTGTATGTTTTAGGTGCGAAGATACCTCATATTAATTTGATCATTTCGATGGAAGAGAAGGAAATGACGACTCCTGGAGGCGAGAAGACGATTGACCTTACAGGAAGGTGAATTAAGAGTGTCCTCTTTTTCTTTTTCTTTTTTCTAGTATGCAGTGATGATGCTTATAGTTACAATGTAATAGGTCATAGTATTCTAAGATCATCCCTTTTTTTTCACAGGGTCGGACGAGAAATTGGTGCATTGTTGAGAAGGTTAGGGATACCATATCATAGAAAGGATTCAAGATTGAGAATCAATGGTGTTTCTTTGAAGAACTGGTTTCAGCCAAAGGTGGATTCGCCTTTCTCTGGTGGGAAACCAGGGCATTTAAGATCCTCACAAGTACCACTAGGAAACCAAATCAGTCGTCAGCAACGCAGCATTCGACTAGGGAACCTGTCGTTTGAGTGAGAACTGAGAAGGCGTCTCTCATTTTGATCCTTAACTTCCGAGAGTTTTTTTTTTTTCCATGTGAAGGATTAGTTCCACGCAATTGCATACTCAGTACATGTCACATCACAACATTCCTCCAGCATCGCAGCAGAAGATGGACATTCGAGTTTTGTTGCCATCACTTAAGAGCTTAGGTCTTGCATGAGGATGTTAGTGACAGAGGAAGTTAATTGCATGGTTAAAGCTGTATATCTATCTACAAAAACAGACTTTGTATATTTATTCGTTTTCGCATGAATATATAAATATATAATAGTAAATGATTCTTGTAAGGTATCCAAGAAACTTAATATGCAATGCATACACACTTAAAGATTTGTCCTATGCGAATGTGAGTGATTATAACTCTTAACAACCTTACCTGACGGCCTCTTTATTATATCAACCTGAGGTTCGATCGTTAAGTGTGCATAACATCAGCGGAAGATCCAACTATATCATCAAATTTGTGCATATAATACTATAAATATGATTCCCTGCATTGTAATCGGTAAATAATCTGTAAATTAAAAAAAAAATCTGTAAATAATCGGTTTTTCTTAATACTATATTTAAGTGAATTGTCGAACATCTAAATATGGAAATGGTTAGTTTTGCTTCGTAACAGGCTCTGCTCCTTACAACAAGGAAAACACCAAGATGGACTCCAAGTTTGGTTTGCTTCGAGACCACAAATTTAGATCTGTTTTCTTAATCTATTTCAATAACCTGTCTACTACAAGCTGCATATATTGTAAAACAGTTTTTTTTTATTGAATAAATTTAACATTCATTCAAAAAAAAAAAAGAAAAAAAAAAGAAATGGTTAGTTTTGGTTCGTAGAATCATTGTAGAGTTTTATATCTCCGTCTCCAAAATATAATATTCCCCATAAGAACATGAAAGGGATGAAAATTCTATTATAGTCTTCGGTTATGACATACTGATGATCTCTTATGTTTTAGCAGCGGAGTTTACTGTAAACAAAAAAACAAAAAAAAAAGAGTTCATGTGAAAGCCATGACGTGACCACATGATATATTATTCAGGTCCAATTATTTTGTAGATGATATAAGCATTTGGTGTATAACATATAACTATCATACTGGTTCATGATTGAAGCACAGTCTGATAATAATATAGTTTATATACACAAGAGCACATAAGTAGTTTTCTTTTTTATTCTAATTGTTCAAGGCGGTTTCATTGGATTCTCAATTCGTATATATTTTTATATAACCATTTTCTTCTCCAACGTTTATATAAATAACATATAAGATATCGGCGTGATTTCGTCATTAAAATTTGGTATAACAGTACCACATTTAAGTTACTGACGACGTCAACTGTTTATATATTGAATTATTGAGCCATGATTACTAAACTCTTAATTAGTTTTGGCTTTGGTCTTCGATCACTAAATTAAAAAATATTATAAAGTCTTAACGAATAAACACACTTAAAAGTTATGTAGAATACATCGTTAATTAATTACTCGAATCCTGTTTTTGAACCACCCAATGAAACTTAGAATTGTTCGTTTTGCTAAGTATATATATCCGAAAATTATCATCTTCTTTGATTTGAATGCTTACACATTTTTTAACCAAAAAAAAGAAGACAATTAGGTTAAACAATGAACATTCATTATTTAAAATATATTGTAATTAAAATAATCATCAAATGCTATAACTAAGAAATAGAGATATATCAAATCTTCTAAATTCTCCATGATTTAAAAAGATACATGGGAAGAAACATGATGAAAAGATACATATCCTCAATCTCAAGATTCCTATAAATACACTACAATTATACTAATAAAACGCATGATTCTTAATTACTGTAACCGAGAAGCGATGAGATCAAGAAAGAGTTCCTCTCTACATGGAATGGTCAAGCCTCCCGTTGGATGATCGAATCCAAACTCTTCCTCTGCTCGACTAAGGAACTCTCTGAAGGAAGGATGATTCAGAAACGATATTGGAACCACGAATCTCCTCTTCTCCATCTCCATCTGTTCTCCCACGTAAACTGCTACGTGTCCTTTTGGGACATGATCCGATGACGATGATGTTCGGTTTCTGTTTCCCAACGAGTTTAGCTTCAGTATCTGCCTTGTTGCATTCGATATCGCAAAACGGCTCAAACCCATCTTTCTTTTTTGCTTTCTTAATTTCAATTACAAGTGTTTTTTGTTTTTTTCGTAGCACCGCAATGGTTGAGTCTTTGAGATGAGGAAAGGTGGTGGTGACGATTGCCTCTATTTATAATAATGAAAATGTTTTACTTCTCAATGATTTAAGAGTATATGATGGGTTTTTATTATTTTTTTATTTTATTTTCTCGTGTAAGTTGTTTGACTTATATCATCTTCTCACATGGCTTAACTCATCCATCAAGTTCTCCAACAAAAAGTTCTCTGTTCTTATACTAATAAGAAAAAAAATACTAAAATTAAGGAAGTTGAAAATTCAAGATATCATTATAAAATACTGTTTTTATTAATGTTACATTAAATCTTCTGATAGAAGTTCTGACTCATCCTCTTCAACATAGAAAAATGTGCTTTTAAACAAGATAATATAGGGGTAACAAGTGGCCAATGAAGATATACATGGCAACTTGGCACATTGGATGATATTACGATGAACATGATGCAAAAATTCAGGATACATGTAGTCTATCTCATATTTCAGATTTGAATATATATATATATATATATATATATATATAATAAATGCTCAATTTGGTTAATCATTGGATGGATTGGTTTCGTCTGATCGATGCGAATCTTCTGATCAGTAGCAAATCATTACGACCGCAAATATCTTCAATTTGTTGAAATTTTGATCTTTGAATTGTTGAGTCGTATCTATCACCCGATTTCAGTCTATCTAATCACATGGATGCTTCTTGGAAATTATTAGTTGGAGATTAGTTTCCTAGTTGGAGACTCCACATTTGTTATCTTTCATAGCATCGTTGAAACAAAAAAAGTTTTAGCAAAATTTATAACTTTTTAAAAATAATAACTTTTCAGTGTGTCTACATAAACACTTTTTAAATAGATATGATATGTATAACTAATTATCTGAATAAGTCTCTTATATGTATGACATCAAGAACATGTAAGAATTTCGCCATGAACTGCACTATAAACGTCGTTGTTGTACTTGATATGATCCGCATCTTGTAAAATCTTCGATATGTTCTAAAGGGATGTTGTGATCTTTTTGTTGAAATGTCACTCTTTACAACGTTAAAAATGCACTCTGTAACTGCCATGATCCTGTCTACCATATAAACTCAAACTAAAAATATTTGCAAATCACATACCTTATATGACATCGACATGGTACAAAGTTTTAAAAAAATATATATAAAAAAATACGATGATAGATTAAGATACATATCATTTGTCCAGAACACGGCCAGTTCAATTGATACAAAAAGCTTTTTGCTATTATGTTTAAAAAATAGGTTTGGATCTTTTATCTACTAAAGTAAAAAAAAATTATATATATATTTGTTTAGACAGTTTTGATTTTTTTTTGCCACGAATTATTAAGGAAACTGATAGTTCTAGTGAAACTGAAAAGAAAAAAAAATTATTGAGGTCCACTTCTGTAAATGCTCTAAGTCGTCCCTAGTATTCCAATAATCTAATTTATGAAGGTCTATGTGTTTACTTCTATAACTAGGTCCGGACCCGCGCTACAGCGCGGGGGAAAATTACCGGGTTTTTAGTATTTTGTACGTTGCGAGATAATTTTATTTGTGTTTGGTTTACTTTATTTTGATCAGTAATTAAATTTTATCATTTTTAGATTGTATGTGTTGGTTTCGAATATGTTCAAAATTATTTAAATTGTATGATTTTAGTTGGATTGTTAATTTTAGAACAATATGTGACATATATACATGTATAAATATTATACAATGAAAAAATATATTATACAATGAATCATTTTTAAAATTTAGGGATTGATCCGCGGTACACCGCATATTAATAAATACATGATTTTAACTTGAACCTTTCATGCAGTTTAGTTTTATAATCAAGCCAGAAATTCGAAACTATTGCCAAATAAATATTAAAGTTGGTCATAGACAAAAAAAAATATATATATTAAAGATGGTTGAAAATGAAATATTCTGTAACTGGTGTGAAGATTATAGTTAATATAGGAGAAAACTATACATCCAAATATCAATATAGGATATTTAAGGAAGATTTTGTTTTGAAATATTATGGATAATTTGATAATGATTCTTTTATATTTAATTTATATTTCTGATTTTTAGGTTAATTTGTTAAACCAATATACAAAATCATACATTAATGTATTTTCCTTAAACAAATTAAGATTAATGTACTTTCCCAAACCGATATTGATGGTTTAATTTGGTAGATTTCGAAATAATATATATGGAAACTGGTATTTAATATCCTTAAATTTTTAGTAAGATCCAACTGAAAAATTCCGGGTTCATTTTTTTTTTTAAACCCGACCCAAAAAGCATTTGTACTTCTCTTTTACTATAATAGGGATTAATTCGCAACGATCAATAGAGTAGTTAATTAATTTAGACGTCTGAATAAGTCATAACTTTAATAAAAGCATTTCTATATTCAAATGTCCATGTAATGAACTATAAACAAATGTTAATGATCTTTTCGTGACAGAGTGATTAGGTATCAATCAATTTTTCCTTTTTTTGTTTGATAGTCAAATTTCTGAAAATCATGTGAATATTGATTCTTCGTACGTACGAAATCATCAATCACGTAATGAATATTTCGGATAAATTTTATTATCTTCCAAAACATGAAATGTTTTTCATCAATGTTTTCTGGAGTACATAGTATAACCTGACTTGAATGGGTTACACAACATATTTACATGCTCTGATTCAATCTGTTCTCCTTTGCAGAAATAAACAAAGGGAACAACAACAACAAAAAATCTATAAAAGGAAAGAAAAATTTTGGGGTTTCCCAAAAAAGATGTCTCAAGTTGAAACAGTACAACCATAAGAATTCAAAAGACCAACGAACGTTTCTTCTCTGCAAGGAATCGTTAATCCACCTATTGGATGGTTGAAGCCAAACTCTTCCTCTGCTCGACTAAGCAAACCTCGAAACGAAGGGTGGTTCAAATACGAGATAGGAACCACGAACCTCTTCTTGTTCTCCATCTCCTCTCCGACATACACCGCAACGTGTCCTTTTGGGACTCGAGATTGCTGTTTTTGGGACTGTTTAGAGTTGATAACACGCGACAATCTAATCGCCATCTCTAAAAGCAATTGTTTTATAGATCTACAACTACAAAGGATACTCTGTTTTTTTTTATGAAACGAATGTTGTGTTGATGCTTTTCTGTGGAGCTATGTTTCAGCTGTTGTTGCTGTTATATATATATAGAGTTCTTTATAGGTAAGGAACCCAAACTTTCGAAGTTATGTTTTTAATGATAAAACAGATTTTATTTTGTTTTAATATTAGAAGTTTGCAGAGTTTCACATGGTATACTTTTATAAAAAATATATAAAACTAGGGTTTACCTAGAAAAGGTATCAAGCTGATTCTGATTTCTGGATGACTTAAGAATGAATATAATCAGATAGTGGAACCCACCATTGTTACAGGACTCACATGCACTCTCTGTCAAGCTTATTAAAATCTCTGGCCATTACATGAGACCAGTTTGGTCCTATTGGTTATGATGAATAGACAACAGAAACAAGTGTCCTTATTCATAATAATAGACATTTTTTGACAAGTCTCTTCTTGGCTCTTGAAAATGGTGGCTTTTTAGCCTATTTGTGTTGCCCTATAGCCCACTTAAGAGGACCCTTTTGTTTTGTATCTTAAATAAAAATTGACTTTACCAAACTTTGTATTATTAAATCTGTACTACTAAGCTTGGAGTCATGAAAATGAGAAACATTGAACATGCATGGTTTCTTTGGGTTCTTACAATGTTGAATCAAGTTGAAGAGAACAGTTTACAAGTCGTAGGTCTTAAGTTTAATACTAATATCATATCTAATGTTCGATTCACAAAAACTAATTCAAGTGATATATATATATATAATAAATTAGTGCAATTATAATACAGTTATTCCAAGAAATTGCAGTTATTGAAAAAAATGGTCACGTGTTTCATTTCCATTATTATGATCACAATTATATCTTCCTAATAACGGAGAGTAACATGAGGCATGAGCCTTGACAATCTAAATATGCAATAATTTAGATATGATTTATTTCATTTATTATGACAAGTTCCATTATACAATAAAATTGCGCAGTACTGTTTTCAATCATTTTCGATAAATATACTTTATCTATTTGACGAAAATATGTCTTCTTTTGATTTATTAACGGTTAGATCATACTAGTAATGTAGTATTGTTATTCGTCACTTACAACCCATTTTAGTTTCTTCAGAGTGCATGTGATCCACCATTCATTTAAATACTTTAAATCCCTTGAAGAAGTCTTATATATCTTTATTTTTTAGAGATACTATATATATAATGTAAGTCAGAGCTAAATATTTTAAAATACAAAACAAACGAAACTTATGATAGAGATTTCACATAATGTGAAATTCTTCTCTTTTCATTATCTAACATGTTGAACTATTTCTTTTTCTTTATGGAAACAGGCTTGGACTGTAAAAGTTTAATTTTCATTATCCGCATTTAAAATTTAATTATTCTACTGTAAAATTTAATGGTTTAATTTGAATATGAATAGTATAGTTCAAGTTTTCAATTCTTATTTCGAAACATAACTTTAGCTCTGAACAAGTGTCATCATATACACACACATAAGTAGCTTTCCTACAACTAATTCTCCTCTTAAAAGAGAAAACAAAAACAGCTTCATTAATTAATGCGATCTTTCAATGCAGCTGATGAGAAGTAATGAGATGAAGAAACGACTCTTCTCGACAAGGTATGGTCAAGCCTCCCATGGAGTGATGAAATCCACACTCTTCCTCAGCGCGATTAAGAAACTCTCTGAACATTGGATGGTTCAAATATGATATCGGAACCACAAATCTCTTTTTCTCCATTTGTTCTCCTACGTAAACCGCCACGTGACCTTTCGGAACAAGCCCTGAAGTTGTTGTTGTTGAAGATGATGAGGATGATCCATTTTTGTTTCTCATAGGTTGTGATTTGAATATTTGCTTTGCATTTGGAAGCATCGACCTCATTAAACCCATCTTCTTCTTTATTTTTTTCAACTTATCAAATTGAGAGGAGGTTAATTTTTTTTTTTTAAAGCAAGTGACTTGATATACAAGGAGGGGAAGAAGTTTCTATATATAGTAGTAGTGAACTTAAAAAGTATGTAGCTTCAAGATAAGGAAAAGACTTAAATGCTAAAAAGAGAACAGTACGATGCGATATTTTGTTGATTACTAAACAAAACCCCTCCCCAAAAGTTGTGGGCTGTTGGACCCTCCCGTCATCCATCTGGCTCACATGGCTTAGCTCATACAGTAAAAAAATTAAAATTGCACATAACATATGATTGCAAACATAGAAAAAAGTTTGGGTATGTGTATTTAATTAGAGCCTCGAAATGGTGAATAGTGTGACCTGTATCAGACTACGTGGGTCCTTTCTTGAGCCTTTTTTAGCGATGGAGATTGTTTATATATTTGGAAGTTCAAACAAAGTTCTTTAAATGTTTATATTTTTCCTTCGCTCTCAAACTAGGGGCCGTAGTACTGGCTGGGACGAAAGATGTGTATCGGGATGCTTGTTTTGAAATATTTAAAGTTTCTTAGACGTATCATATTTTTCTTTGTTATATATGCCATTGGATAAGATCTGACTTGTACTTCTTTGCATGTGATTATGAGGATGATTGTGATTGTGGCTACACTGGAATTTGTACATACAATCATATTACTGTTGAGTGATCGATATAGATCGAAAACAAAATCCTCATAGATCTATTGCTATTTGCTACCAATGGCCTACTTTTTTTTTTCTTTCTCTTATCTTATTTGATTGTGGGTAGATATGTTCTTCGCATTTAGATCTAAAATAGTTATTTGACATAGATGGTTTTAGTGCTTTGTATCCATTATATCTTTTATACAAAAAGGAAAAGTTGCAGAGAAGAATTGACAAATAGAAAGACTCTGCTTGTGTGTCATTGACGCGTTTTTAGTGTTTTGTGTTTGTTTTCTAAATGAGTAGTATTTGTCAAACCAATATTTTATTATTTATTTTATATGATTTTGTTGAAATGTAACAAGTTTAATTTAATTTGCAATCTACCAAAAACTAAATCAATAATATATAAGTCATGTATATGTTAAATGTTTCTTTTTAAATCACCAATAATAAATATCTGAATCAGTTTGATCTTTCCACTATATTTTAGGTCTTGAAATGATACATGCAAAGTTTTGGTTATTGGACCAAGTACGTAGTATATATATAAAAGTATACGGGGAGTTCAATTATTGCAGAGGTGGGAGTGGGACACTTTAGCTTGCCAATAGATTTTCGTGGCTCCTAAGTTCTGTGTCGTCGAACCAATAGTGGTATTATATCGTGACCCCTAAGTTCTATATATGTCGAACTCCTTCGTCTTTAACGTTTTGTGCAGACGCTTCATGTGCTCCATGTAACACATTACACTTATTTACACATGTTGTTGGTCTATGAGACCTAGCAAACTGCCGGAAGATAATACATATATAACTTAAAATTCCTAAACTCAATACATTTAACTTAAATATATAGTTGATAGAGTTTCTATTTTAAACGGAAAATAAAACCTTGCGTAGTTACGTTGATCAGTTCGTCACTAGCTACTCCTACTCCGGAGGTAAAACAGAGGGAGGGTTCTCAAACCTGACGAGGTTCCTCGCATAGCATTACTATTTGTGTGTTCTTCACAATCTATTGTATTTGTTACTCTTTATTTTTCATTCTTGGGAGAAAGGAATGAAGTTCACTTTCTAGTAAGTTCCAAGTGTCGGCAAATACAAGATTCTCAACAGATGTCTATTTAAAATCCAAATTTTAGATATGCTTAAGGTAAATATTATATATATACATTCATTTAAATCTTAATTGTAGATTCTAAAATTTTAAAGACTTATAGATATCAAAAAAATTAATTGCTATTTTCACAAATATTTATGAGCTTAATTAATCTTTTTTTTTTTTTTGACGGCGAGCTTAATTCATCTTAAACCTAGGTACCTTTTCTTCTGGGGTGTGCAGCCTTAATTGCAAATCATAAGTTTACAAAAAAAAATGAGAAAATGTGATATAATGATCATTAAGAATCTTTTGCCCAAAAAAAAAATTATATAGACCATAAAAAAGAGAAAAATACACATCATCATATCATAATATATATTTGTGGATAGTTACAAATCTATTATTTATTCAATTACTATTTTTATATGTTATAAAATCCTATAATATTTATAACAATGAAATACTACTCCTAAAGCAACAACAAAGCTTCGTCCCTTATATAAAAGTAGATGTTCCGCAAAATCTACACAACACAGAGGGGGATCTTCGTTCAAGCTATAACAAATTAGTTAGTAGATATGTTTAAGTTCAAGGACATAGCTTTCCAAGTCAAGAGAGTATTCACTAAAAAAGTGTCTCGTTTAAGATACATAATGAACGTACGAAAGGGTCACTTTGCGGTATACGTTGGAGCAAACGAGGAAGAGAGGAAGAGATTCATGGTTCCAATATCTTACCTAAGACATCCTTTGTTCCAAGCTTTGTTGCGTCAAGCCGAAGATGAATTTGGCACAGATCATCAGAGGAAATCCCTAACGATCCCTTGTCGTCACGATGTCTTTGTTGACGTCACTTGTCGTCTGAATCGTTTTAATTTGTTAGTACCAAAAGTAAGTAATTAATGAATTAGTCTAAGGTATTAGCATATTATTGGTTGGTTTGATGATCCGTTTCATAAGGGGTTTATATATTTATGTTACTGTGAGGGGGCTTAAGCAACAGTCAAATCAAAACCAAAATGTAATGAAAGAAAGAATTTGCATAATTGGCTTGGAAGTTTGTCTTTACCAATAAGATATATACGATCCTCGCAGATGACTTTGCCATTTATATTTATGTATAATTCTAATTAGTATGCTAATGAGATTTCACATCCAAAGGCTAGCTGTTTAATAGCTCTGAATGTTAGATATCTATCGTCGATTTCAATTTTTTTGTTAATATTATATGTGAATGTGAGTTTAGGTACTGTTCTATAAAATATAACGTTGTTATTTTCTATGGGGAGTTTCAAAATTTGCATGTTCTCCATCACACGGATATATAACAAAATGGATAATTAATATTTTACGTGTATCTAAACTACAATAGACTTTTTTGTTATACAATTACAATATATATATATTATAAATAAATCTTACATTATGATGATTCATGAAGCTCTTAATTTCTTAAATGAACCATTCCCATAAAAAGTAAGCAAAGATATAATATACATATATATAATAGAAAAAGTAAATGAATCGGCAGAAAAATAAATTTAAATTAATTTTTTAGAAGGTGAATTCTTTACAAGAGCAATGGTTAAAAGAACCCACAAGATCATTATAGATCAAAATTTGAAAGAGACTCACTTAGTATCTCAGTCTCGAGTTATTCTTTCTCTCCTTAAATACATTTTAGAAACACAAAAAAAATAAACATAGACATCTTTGTATAAAGAAACTTAATTAATGAATGATGATCAATGAGCTCCCTTATCATGAACCATTTAGTATAGAAGCTAGAGCAGTGAAGTAATCTTCAGTGCATGGAATGGTGAGACCTCCCATGGGATGGTCGAACCCGAACTCTTCTTCCGCAAGGTTCAGCAAACCTTGGAACAATGGGTGGTTTAAATACGATATAGGTATCACAAACCTCCTCCTTTGATACGTCTCCCCAACATAAACGGCCACATGACCCTTTGGGACATTATTAGTACCTGACGTTGCCAAGAGGCTTGCGATTCTCGCCGATAAGCTTCTTTGAAGCTTTTGCTTTGCTTGAGACAGTCCGACCAATTGGATACCCATCTTTGAAGACCAATGCACGTAACTAAAAAGGAAGGTTTTGAAGAACTTTAAGCTGATGAATATTTGACCAAGAGTGTTGAATAATGTCTTGGGCTTCTATTGAAATGGTTTAGTTTTGTAAGCAAGCTTCTCTAAGATTGTTAAAATATATATAGAGAATTAAAAGAAATTGAGACCGCAAGTTGTTAAAGAGTGCAATAGTTTGAGGAACATATCAGGTGGAGCTAATGGATGAAGTCCACATGCTTATGCCTTGTCCTTTTAGAAACCACTTTGTTTTTCTTTCATTTTCGTGAAACATGTTTATAAGACCCTACCATTTCCTAATATGAATTATAAGACCCTACCATTCTCTTATATGAATAGAACCAAAATAAGAAAGTAGAAACATCTTAACACACAACTTGTAAGAAATTGTTACTTTTGATAAAGACGTTATACATTCCATATATATTAAAATGTGTTTCGGAAACTGGATATCTACAATCCTTTGTTAGATACTATGCCTGCGTGATTTGACGTACCATATTAATTAAGCAAACTGTTTCAAGTTATGACTTTTTTGTTTGTGACCTTGTGGGTTGAGGCATACGATCGATCATAGCACTATACTTTCAAATAGGCCACATGCACGATGTAGTTTGGATCATATCTATTTGCTTCTCTGTTCAAGATTAGAATAATCCACAACGCAGATTATTAGATTAACTCTGTTTGGTTCCACGTTAAGACTGTCCTTGAAACATACACATAAGAATATGAGTAAAACGGGAACCATTTGGCTACTTGTCTATCACAATTTTTGGCATTTTTAAATTTGGAGTATTAAATGTTTTTCATCTAATTAATAGAGAGACACACAAAAATTGTCTGAATTTCGAGCAAAACTAGCTACAAATCATGTAAGTTTTTTTTATAAGAAAAAGTATATGAAAATAATCAAAATTCATCACAGAGAAAGCACATTTTCGAGTCAAGCATCCCACTTAAGAAAATATATGTTTAGCAAAAAACTTAAAAAATTATATCGATGTTAAAAAGTTCTTAAGTTATCATTGTTGAGGATGCATGTCGTACGTATCTGTTTAACTATAAATGTACTATTCCTAAAACCTATCGCAAATTTGGTAATATGTTATAGTGTGATATGAGTATTAATTAAGATTTTTTCCAGCCGTGGGGAAAAGTTTAAATTATTCGGGAACAAAACCATCTGCATTTGTTGCAACCACTGTAGATAATGCAGTGCATATATTTAGATGAATCGAACGTACCCATAAAAAGCAATAACGAAAAAAGCTAAATGAACAAAATCCAAAATTCTTTCAGACAAATGCAACTAATTGTTCTTTGTTTAGTTGTTTCTCATTATCAGCATAAAGACTGTCTGTCCATGTATATCTACCACCTCATATGTCATGCTTTCTCTTAAAAGTGGCTACGCCTCAAATTAAATTAAATTATTTATATATATATATATATCAATTCCTTAAGAATAAAATAATAACGTGTTTCTTTCTGTAGGTTTCGTTTCAGCCGAAACATAGATCACCGTATCGAACTTGTACAATTTTTCGGTGTCACAAACTCTATTATTATTTTTATTTTAAAAAAAAAATATTTGTGAAAATGTTTACTATAAAATAGGAAAATTGAAATGTTCAATTATTTCTCGATACGTTATATTCTCGTGACCTCTTGACCCTATTTGACATAATGGAGGTGTCAATGGAGGTCAAAAAGGCAAATTAAAATAATTGTGCTCCGAAGCTTTATGAATTGGGTGGATTTGTATATGTTGTTAGTGTTTGGCAGCTACGTACAACACGAGGGGCTTCATCATCAACTCACTGACCCTCTCTAAGTTTGACTGAAAAAAAGCTAAAAATTATTGGAAGATCTTGTGACGGTCCATTCGTGGATATCCATGTTTCTGCGATTTTCATTTTCGTGGCTTTACATCTATCATCTTCCTATCTTCTTTTTTTTTGTTATTCAGATAATGGCTTCTCATATGAAATAATTAGAGAGCATGTGATGTGACCCACTTAATTATAGAGGGCGGGGGTTTTTGATATATGACAACGTCTCGTATACAAACTATCAGATATGGAACAAGCTTGTTCTATTTTGTTGGAAAGGAGGAAATAGTATGACTTTGGTCTGTATGAGCTAAGCCCATAAAAAATAAAAATGCACATAACTTTGGTCTATCTGGTCTTTAAATGGATCTACATCTACTCAACTTCGGCCCGGAGATGTAATCTATTGGCCCAAATATTTAGCACATTGGACATGAAGTAAACCTATATGCTAAGTAATACAATACTGCAGCCAAAAGCCCAAAAGGAACCTACAATACAAGAACAAGACAAAGCTATCTACGGCTGGATGAGGCTGGAATGTAACAATTTATATTCAAGTGTTATAGCCTCATCCAGCCGTAAATAACACAACATTTTGTCTGTTACATTTTTAACAAAGACAAAATAGAAGGTTAAAATAAACATGCAATAGATTCCACGATGCAATTTTGCTATAACACTTGAATATATATTGTGTTACATTTTTATGTGTCAAAAATCTTGTTGTAACGGTGAGGTGTTCTGCCATCACTAGTATAGGAAACAAATAATACATATATTCAAACAATCAAATTTTCAAAGTTCCCGTTGATATTCTTATTAATTCGACTAGACCAAAAAAAAAAAAAAACATCACATTATAAAAATAGAGAAGCAACCACATATTTTTGACGACGTACACCTTCAAAGTACAAAACATAGCTGGATATATAGACATTTGATGACGCTTACTTATATGATATAGATGGGTCCGAATTAGCTGTCCTAATTCATTTCAATCCAATTCAACAAATGATTTTGATTTGTTATCTTTTTGATGCATCACCAGTATTAATTCATGGTCATCGTGACAGTAATATGTGATAAAACGAGGCAGTGGAAACTGGTAGCTAGAGTTTTTATATAAAATAATAATAATATAGGAAATCTTTTTGTATGGTAAGCATGTCTAGCTAAGATGTCATGACATCAAACGAAAAACGCTTCAACACCATCACATCACTTATCATCATCATATGCAGTCGATGCCACTCGAACTCATGGTCTGGTGCTAACCCACACCATGTCTTAGACCAACGAGCTGAGAGTAACGACTGCGCATGTCTAGCTAAGATATATATACAAAATCGAGTTATCCACCCACGCATGCCCTTAATTTAAGTTTTAAGATGAATATGCTTTGAATTTAATTAGAAGTATAAGTATAACTCCAATCATTAGCAATAACATGTTCACGGGCAATAAACTTTAGGAAAACTCTTAGAAAGATTCAAATATGTAGTATTGTTTATATTTTTTACCAAGACGTTTTTAATTATTTGAACATTTGTTAAGTAATAATTTAAATTACTAAAATAAAAAGTTAGGAATATTTTTTTTATAATCAGTATTTCAATTGATTTTCATGGTTTATATTTGTAATTACAATAATTTCACACAACATACTATGGTTTTTAATGAGAAAAAGTTATCTACGTACGTAAGAACGAAAAGGGGGTGCATGAAGGGGAGTAACATGGTGTTCATGTGCTCACACTGACCCTAATGTCACGATCAAACAACATCACCAACGAAGAACGACAACATTCACTGTGGAAACATAAATCCATTCAATATTGATTTGATTTACCAGCCAATAAAATTCTTAGAAAAATATAAATAATTAGTAATAAATAAATAAAAACACTATGGTCCCATATGCTTATGGTCATCTTGTTTTCAATCACGTATTCTCACGATCAATCCTGTGTCACAGAACATGCAAAGCAACACCTACCAAATCGATCAAATGCATGACTACGTACCCTCTTCGTCTATTTTATTTTTCTTTACTTACCATTTTCATCTCATCATCCTTCGATCTTCGCTTACTAATTCGTTATATATTTGCTGTGGCTTGTAGTCGATATTTTAACTTACTCTTTTTGGTCAAACAACAACATAAGACCTAGGTCTATACCCCCGAAGTCCCCAACCATCGGTAAAAAGTAATAAATTAGTTAAACGGTATATATTACTCCATACATTAATGCTATTAATCCTAATCCTAGTTTTCAATATCATTATTTTGTTTCGTAACTAATTAAATTGATGAGATATTATTTTAAAATTAAAATAATTCACGACCAAAAACTGAAGGCCAGCCCTGGCCACATGCCGTGGTAGTTTTAACTGAAGCATGTCAAAAACAGAATCTATAAGACAAAATGACAATACCTAAAAAGACAAAACAGTAAAAACATCTACAGGAATACACATATGCTGCTACCATAAGAGATAATAAGTCATGATGTCTTTCCTTGGACCACCTTTGCTTTTTCTTACCCTTTTTTCTTATCTCCTTATACATCCCTATTATTATATAATACCATTACCAAGGTTGAGAGCTGATGTATTACGCAAATGTATATCCTTAAATGTACAATTGGGGAATTGGTTTTGGGGATCGTTACTATTTTATGTTCAGAGTTTTAAACTACGAAACAAATCAGTTACAAACAAAATTAATAATCGATATATTAATATTGATGGATAAAGAAATTAAAATGTCATTAACTTTTGGGGAAAAAAAAGAAAGAGATATAAAGCGGTTGCTAAACAACTACAGTAAAACCTCTATAAATTAATAATGTTGGGACCATGAAAATCTATTAATTTATAGAGGTATTAATTTATCGATAAATTAATAATTATTAATTTATAGAGAGATATTCCTAATTTGGAACATATTTTCAAAACAATATTTAAAAATAAGATTTAATCATGATAATTAGTATTTTATATAATCAATTACAAATAAAACAATAATTATTATGTATTAAAAGAGAATGCTAACTATATTTCATATAGTAAAATATTAGAAATAAAATCTAACAAAAACTAATGTGTCTATATATACATATATTTTGAAAAATTTACCTAATTATTAATTTATAATATTGATGGGACCATATATTTACAAAGGATTTTCAAAAAATTTATTATCTTATTATTTTATCGAAATGTGTCTAAAATTATACTGGTCCCAAGTTGGGATCGGAAAAATTTATTAATTTATAAAGATTATTAATTTATCGAGTATTAATTTATAGAGGTTTTACTGTAATTGCTCATTTATTTTATACTTATAATATACTATTAAAAGTTGATTAGGACAAGGATGATTAGGACCTTAAGAAACATAGGTGGCTCCCTAACGCATGGGCCGTAGTTCCCGAGACCAGTGCATATGGGATTGTTAATTTAAAACAAAACCATGTTTGCTTTCACAATTAATCAATTTTGGATTATGACTAGCTTTTGAAGTTTTGTAACTAAACCAATCCCGTCGTCTATGGAAACTGTATATTATGTGGAATTCTTTTCACTTCTCATCTCTAAAGAAAGAAGCGACACTACCTCTTATAAGTCCAACCCGTAAAGCTTTAAGCTTTTGTGTTTAAGACACAAAACGAAATCAACATTAAGGCACACCTCTGAGTTAATTTGTTTTTAATGCAAAATTGAGTACTTTTACTATTAACAATAGTTTTTTAATTTTATATACCAGTCAAAGATTGTATATATGGGGAAATGAGTAGAAAAGTGTCCTGCGTATCTTAGAATAATAGTCTGAAGATTTTCTTACACTCAAAGAGTGTACAGATCTAATTAATATAAGATTATCATATCCTAGATATCTACGAAATTTATCATCTAAGCTATATGCAGTAGATAATCAAATTCTAGAGCTTTATTTGTAAGAATAACGTGACTGTAAACTTATAAACAAATGAAATGTTAATTTCATATATATTTTAAATCAAATTTCAAAGATTATTTTTACAGATATTTAAAATTATTATTGTATTTGATGATGCTTTAGTTTACATGATATCACACAACTATTTTTGTATCTAAACAAATCTCATTTTAACCATATATTCCCATAAAATTTGTTTATTTACGATTTCATGACCACGCTGTTTTATATCAAATATACGTTGCAATATTCGGCGATCTAATAAACTAAGTAACCCTTGGGTTTATCAAACAAGCATTTGGCTTTACTATTTCTAACAATATATAGTTAAAATGAGACATCTCTTGAGCGTATTATCAGTTTAGTTACCTTACCTCACTTGTAAGAAAAGTGGTTTAAAGAAAAAGAAAAAAGAAACCCCAACATTTCTCATCTAGTTATCTTATGGGAAAAGTGCAGTCAGGCTCTTTGTTGGAGAGAGTCAGGTTCTTGGTTACTGAGAAAAAGCCAGACTAATATAGTTAAGGGTTTCTAGATTGATCTAGGGTCTTCAATTAAGAAAATTTTAAAACTATATTAGATATTTATTTTCTATTCATTTATAAATTTATAATCTCTTTCAAACGTTAAATTTGTTATATCAACACGAGTTTATTTCTATAAGCTCTCGACTTGATCATAGTGAACTTAATGTGTAGCAAGGAAGTGAAAGTAAAGAGTGAACAAAATTAGTGAAAGTTGAGAGAAAAGTTAAAGTTTCTTTGCAAAGAGTAATTTCGTTTCCGGTTAATCAAACGTAGGCAGCATAATTGTACTAGAGACCTCCCAATTCGGCATCATGCTGCACTTCAAATGGTGGTGACTTCAGACCTGCTTTCATCTTTCTTTCTTTTTGTGTGTCCTATAGCTAGGAGGCGTTTTTCAGAGAGTAATTTGAAAAGATATTTGTTAATGAAAGAAATATAAAAAATAGAGAGAAGGCTGAGGAGTAACTGCAACCTACCGTTGGAAAAGAAAAAAAAAATAACGCAGAGAAAACTTAAATAAAAAAGAAAGAAAGAAAACAGTAGGTAAGAGAGAGAGCACATGGGTGTCTGTCTGCAAATTTAAAAGGAAAAAGAAAATTTGTTTGAAAGTGTCACAGGCGCATACACATACACACACACACTCTTCTCTCGAACCACATTTCTTCCCACTTTGTACTCTTCAGTACATTACTCTTTCCAAAGTCCGTGATTTACGCTCTTCGATGACACCTCTCCCTCTTCACACCTTCACGACACCTGTATCTGTACGTACCTTCTTTTTTTTTCCCTTCTTCTGCCATTTTATTATGGGCTTTTCATATTTGAACTGTATTTTTTATATTTATATATATATATTTTTTGAGAACTTCTGTATATACTAGTAAAAGAAAAACATTATTTTTGATAGAAGAATCTTTTTTTCCATATTAATTTGCTTCTTTGGGAAAACTCAACGAGAATATAAAAAATATTGAGAAAACATTGCTTTTGATAGGAGAATCTTTTTTCCATCTTAAGGGGAATATTGAATTTAAGAGAATATTTTTTTCCATGTTAATTTTCTATTTTAGTGTAGCACACGAGGTCGATGTAAAAAGAAAAATTCATTACTGTGAAAGACATTTGCAATATATTACTGTAAAAGCACAAAACGAACTGGCCGAGGAGCTTGCATTGCTCATCGTCCCCGTCAGCTCCTTGCAATCCCACTCCGGAGGGGGAATTACATCTCATGTCTTCTTCAGATACTCTCAAGATGGAATCGATTAATATCAACATATATTATAATTTACTCAACAACAATAAAACATATATATAGGTATAATTTACAAATCTTCTAGCGAAAGTATTGAGTTTATTAGAATGTATATATAACAGACGGTTTTTGCTAGCCGATTAATTTGGTTGGATTAGTCTTTATTTTTTTTTTTGTCAACATTTGGTTGGAGTAGTCACATACGTGTTTGAAGTGAATATTAAAACTAGAAAGAAGAAGTAGGAAATAAAAAAGGATATATAGTATTTATGGTGTATCTTGGTAAGGACCAGGAGATCACAAGGGGCCACAATGTCACAGAGAGGACCAACAATGAAATTAAAATCCTCAGCTGGCCTTAACCATTTTGGCTCCCACCTTCTCCTTCCACACACATATGCACATGTCTTCGTGTCTCTCTCTTTCTCTCTCTCTCACTCTCTACCCACACAAATATGGACGTACAAAAATCTTTATTTATAAATATATAGTCCTCACCTCCTCAATATCCCACCCATCCTCCTTCTCCATACCTCTCTCTCTCTCCCAAAAAACAACCAAAATCTTTTCATCTCTCAAGAACCCAAAAACATATGGCTATAATAAAGAAAACTTCAAAACTCACTCAAACAGCAATGCTGAAGCAGATCCTGAAGAGATGTTCAAGCTTGGGGAAGAAGAACGGAGGAGGTTACGATGAAGATTGCCTTCCACTCGATGTACCGAAGGGACACTTCCCTGTCTATGTCGGAGAGAACAGAAGCAGATACATTGTCCCAATCTCCTTCTTGACTCATCCTGAGTTCCAAACTCTCTTAAGACGAGCCGAGGAGGAATTTGGTTTCGATCACGACATGGGTCTCACTATCCCTTGTGATGAACTCGCCTTTCAAACCCTAACCTCCATGATCCGGTGATATTTTTAAGTTGCCTCATTTGAAGAATAAGCAGAAGAAGATGGTTAAAGACGAAAGCAGACGCTCCTCTCTTTACAAAAAAAAATAGCATCTCTTCTCTTTTCTAAGTAATTTTTTTTCCTCTATTTTAAAGCCCGCCTAGGGTTTTTTTTAACGAGTAAAATGACTCGTCTAACAAGAGAGCAAAACCCATATGAGATAGAGATTCTATGGGTTTATTAGATCTGTAAAGAAAAGTTTGTAATGTTTTCCTCACAGATCTTGATGATTTTGTGAGAGAAGTTAATTAATGCAAGAGAAAAAAAAAAGTATTCCTCCATTTGTTTATAATTCCCTTATATTTTCTATTGATTCTTGTGCAATGTTTTTTGTCTTTACCTCCTACAAAAAAAAAAAAGACTATTAACGTTGTCCGTTGAACTAAACTAACTTGTAATTTATGAATTTAATTTGAAAGTAAAAAAAATAAAATTATTTGTAATAGCTAAACCATTTTAGGGTTCTTAAAGAAGGAAGATTTTAAGTCAAATCAAATAAATGGATTGCATAACCTTTTGAAAGTGCATGCTTGAACATGGGTATGTCAGAGAATGTGGGGTACTTTTTATCATGTACGGAACCAGATAAGACATTTTCTACATTCGTTTGAAGAAACTGGTTTCTAAACATAATATCCATATTAATTCGTTACGAACGTTCACCGTTCATGTTTAACGGGTGTTTGAAACGAATACTAGGCCACCAATATCTTCTAAAGAGTATATGGTGCAACTAACTATATAAGTCACAGACTCACAGTAAGTGTTCTCACCAATATTATTTATTAGTTTTGACTGTATTACATGTTTTATACTATTATTATTCATACTGAGCACCTAACAGTAAACTAGTATTATTAATAAGTACTAGTTACTTTCTCACCTTTTTTATATTTTTGTACTGTTACTACTTTGACTGCAATGTGTATTTTTTATGCATTGTCTTTTCAGCTTATTTAAGTAATATCAAGTTATCAACTATACACTGTTTATTTTAATGTAAACACTTATTTGAAGAGTCTGTCCACTAAAAGCTTATTTGGGATACAATTCTTAAAAAAAAATAAAAAATATTAAAACTATATATACTAGTGAAAGCTGATTCATAACTCAACCAAAAAAAGTACTGACTTTTTTTTATCAACTCGTAGATATATAAAAGCTACACATTAGAAATATTGAAATTCATTTTATATATATCTACTTATATTAAATAATTACCCCGTTTATACAAAATATACAACGGTGTTTAAAGCAAAAGAAATGACTCATGCATGGTGGTAATGGAAGTAGTTGTGTGTATATATATATCAAAGCGAAGACTTTACAAATAATATAATGAGCTGTTTTCCAAATATTGCGTCCCTTAATCATTCTTTAGAGTCAGCCATTGTATACTATACAACATGAACTGCATGCGCAATCAAACGATTCCTTCTTCTACGGCTTTTCCCTATTCCGTACAATTATTTAAAAGCTGTAATTTATAACATTTCTCTAAAAAAGGTTATACCCCCCCCCCCCCCCCCCAATTAATTATTATTAATTCATTATCTAACGACTACTGTACGATTCTTTTGTTTGGATCGATCTCTTTTGAATTAGTCGTTAATTTCGAATTTTGATACAAGATTTATCACGCATTCCGAGCTCCGTTGGTTTTAACAACATCATCAATGCACTAGCTAGTACGCCGATTTAACATAAAATCTTAGAACAACAAACAAAATTCTACAACTAACTATTATACAGTTATTCCATACTGAAGATACTTATAGCAATGCAAACATAACAAAGAATTTATTAATATAAGGTTTTAGTATACAATAGTTGCAAGTTGTAATTAAACAAAGCAAAGCAACAAAATGTAATCTGTTAACTAATAATTTAGCAGACACTATGATCTCTCTCGTAAGCACTTTTCCAAAAGTGAAAGCATGAGTAGTTTTTTAGAAGGATTATGACAGACACAAACTAAGCAAACGAACGGCCTATACAGCAAATAGTGTCTTACTTTTAGTAGGTTACGAAACGTCGGAATTCAACTTGTTCAGAAATAGTTACTCCCTAATGTAACTATTGACTTTAAAATTTGGTTGGATTTATTGATTAAAAATAGTTAGGTCCAAACCGTAAACGTAACTGTCGGCTCAACTTGTTAGGTCGACACTTCTTTTTTTTTTTTCTAAATTAATTACAGATTCGATATAATCTTATATGTTTAAATCTTTTTGGTTGGCCTTGACCGATTTCTAAATTGTGAGAAAAAATCAGGATCGGGTTTAGACCGATCCATATTTAACGAATCTTGGCAGGACCAGAACGGTACAAATCATAACTTTCGGAAAATTATGTAATCGTTAACTGAAATCTAACAAAGATAGACATCAAAATCAATTCTTTTTAGTGCTTTGAAGAATGAATACTCACGTAAAAGCAAAAAGATTTACCAAGATATGCTTGTCTAGTAAAAGCACAATGATATAACAATATCAACCTGACAACTATTTTTTTCTCTTAATGAATATTTTAGTGGGTTTAATTTCTATGATTACCCAAATACTATTTTCTGGTGAAGACCATGTCTTTTTTTTTTTTTTTTTTTTTTTTTGTAAACGGAAGACCATGTCTATAATTAAAGAGATCGCTTTTAGATCGTTGAGTTTACGTACGCTAAGAAAAATGTTAACAGATCTTCTTTGATACCACCGGAGTTCGATGTCTACAACTTATTGGGGATATGCCGGCTACTTGCAGTTAATCTTTTTATTAAACGTAGAGTCAATTAGAAGGTGGGGGAACAATTGATATCCAGAAGATGTATATATTTGATATCGTGTATAAGTAATTCTCTAAGACTCCCTAAGTTTATTTTTCGTAGAAGGTGGGAAAAGTCCAAGTGGGGGATTATCTAAACTGTTAAATCAGGTGTAAAGATTTAGGTTGGATGATTTGGTGGAGGTACCACGTACACCGTACCAATGAGAAATTAGATAATGTTGGTTTGGTCAAGATTAGAGAATAGAGTGAGACAGAGACTTCCACAATCTCTTATATGGGCCGGGAAAAATAATCTTACTCCTATTTTCACAACTAAAAAGGTGCATTCTCACAAATCTTTACATAAATTATTGATTTATTTTGTTTTGTGCAACACATAAACTTTTGATATTCTAAAATTTCCACACGTAATAATAATAAAATCTAAGTGACCAAAGATATCACTTTACTGTATTTTATTTATTATTTCTACAACTTACAGTCTTACACTTGTATGATTATATATTAATGTATTTTTTCTATGATATATGTGTTGGATAATATCATAAGAATTTGCATATATAAAGAGAAACAAATTTTAAAACATTTGTTTGTTTGTATTGCTTATGTTAATAAAATCTGTTCTTCATACACTAAAGAAATCACGATATCTTAGCACATATATATATATATATACATATATATCAATATATGTCTTTGTATCAATTACATTCCCAGTTATAATCATATGTGATTAGATTGTATTAAATGATTTTTCTATGTAACTTGATTTGTCTTCAATTTCTAAGATTAATTACTCATAAGCGATAGGGATGTTTTTACTGCTTTGTTAAAATCTGCAATGTTGTTACTCTAATGGGAGTAATGAATGGAACCGGTGAGTATGAAATATGAACGGTATTTAATAAAATCAGTACTGTATCTGGTTAACAATTACAAGTTACGCGTTTCGTAATCATTTTTACCGAAAATTACGGTAACTAATACGATTTTTTATAATAAAACACAATAAGTAGAAAAGAAAGAAAAGAAGCAAATTTTCATCAAATTTATTATTATTAATTCCTCAGTTAAAATCCAAAGAAACCTGAATATACAATTGAAAATAGCCAAAGAGAAAATATAAAATAATAATAATCTCTATGACCAAAATCAAAATAAATCTAAAAAATAAAAACTGAGGGGCTCCTCTCTCTCTCTCTCTCTCCAAAAACACTAATCTCCTTCATCAGATCTTCAATTCGGTTCTGGGATGACACACAAACACTGGCGACAACCAAAACAAACACCATCAAACCCTAATTTTTGCCATCTCCTTTCCCAGAGAGAATCATTAAAATTAGCAACGAAAAATTATTAAAAAAAAACTTCCAAAATGAAGAAACCAAAAAAAAAAAAAAAGGACTCTAATTAGAGATTAAAAAAAAAAGTAAATCTCTAACCAAAGCATCATTAACGTTTGCAAATTTAGCACACAGATTTTTCAGCAATCTCAGGAAGCAACGTTCGAGATTCAACGCTCTTAGCCAGTCCCACGTGGCTACATCTCCGCAGATCGTCAAGCGTCGCCGGACCACCTTTACTACCAGCACCAGCTCGTCCACCAGATGACTCAGAACGACTCACAATCTCGATAATGTCCTCGAACAACGATTCATCGCAAGGAATGGCCAATGGACCAACGTTGGAGAATCCGTACTCCTCCTCAGCCTCAGCGAGGAGCCGTCGGAAGATCGGATGGTTGAGATGCTTCGCACGGACAACGTATCTCCGACGATTCTCGCCCACGGTTACAGCGACGTGACCGGGAGGGACATCGGGAACAGGAGGATCGTTGTTGTTGGATGATCCGATGTGAGCTTTCTTCTGCCATTGTTTAAGCATCTGACGGATCCGTACAACGCTTCCGATCTTATTGTTCTTCCCCATTTGACTGATGATTCCTCCTGTGGTGTGGTTGCTTGCTTACACTTTTTTATTTTTGGCTCCTCCACTCAGAAAACTGAAGGAATCAAATAAAAATTGTTGGAGAGAAGGAGAAAAGAAAAAAAGGATTAGAACATAATTTAGGTTTAGGCGTTGCTTTTGTCTCCAAATTTTGGGATTAATACGGCAAGCAGGGGATTATTGAGGGGAGCGTTCTCGTATTTAAATGGCTTTTAGGTGTTTTTTTTTGTTAATTATTATTTTGCCCCTTTAAACGTTTGCTAACTTACGATATTACTCTTACCTATTTATGGTTTTGGCTTCTTTCAATTTAATTTTCTTTTATCTTTTATGTTGTAAATAAAGAAAACGATCTACAATAAAAGTTTTTTGTATATATGTAATACAATGAACTTCTGAATTCTTAACCAATATTTTTTTTTTTTAAGTTAGTAAACAACAAATTCATAGTAGGTTTTGGTAAGGGTATTGAACTGATGCATATATCAAAATAAATACTCATATTTGAGTTTTATTGAGGCTTTAAATGATTTTGTTGATTTTAAGGAATTTTTTCAAATCACCTAAAACCATGAGATTTGGATTTGTGTATTTTTAACTAAGAAAATCCTCTCAAAACTCTCAAAATCCTCTGAAAGACTCAAACCCTTTAAAATCAAATTCACAAATTATTTTCAATAACAGTAAATTTTAAGATGGATTTTGAAATCTTTAGTTTAATAATAGTGGATTTTATAAGATTTTTTAAAACTCATGTTTAAATAACACTAAATTTATAAGTTTTAGACAAATCTCTTATAATTCCACTTTAAATACACTCTTTATATGTATTTTGAGTTAACTCATCAAGGGCTTCCTTTCACGAAGCTTATAAAAAATAAAAGCCCAAAAGGCTTGATTCGGGGAATTAGATTTGTTGCTTCCTCTAAATGTTTGCGCCCGACCAAGTTATCCGACCCGCTTCATTTTTTTATTTGTTAACCCGACTTGATTCATTTTGAAATTGCGCATTTTGAGCTACTAGCTACTACGTATTTTCTAAGCCACAGGAAAATACATAACACTTGATGGGTTTAAACAAAAATCTATACAGTGGAGGGACCTACCTAGAATGAAATTGAGAGATTCTCTTCAAGAAAAAAATATCAAAGTTTTTAAATATAATATGATTCTTTGCACATAAAAATGAAACAAAATACACGAATATTATACAAGAAGAAGAATTAAAGATGAAGCAACAAATAAAAGATTCTGAAGATTAAAAGGGTGAGGCGGCCACTTCACTGACGACGTGTGCTATACATACTCACAGTCACAAAACCCTTTCCCCAAATTGAAGAACCCCTTCTATACAAGAAAACTTAAATTAAATATAAAAAAAAACCTAAAAGAGCAATTTCGCTTTTCCGCTTAGCCTCACAAAACCTCATAATCCTCCATCATCACCATTCATCATCCATGGCGGCCACCTCTAGCATCTCTTCTTCCCTCTCTCTCAATGCTAAACCCAGTAAACTCTCTAACAACAACAACAACAAGCCTCACCGTTTCCTCCGTCCTCCTCCCTTCCTTAAACCCTCCTCCTCCTTCTCTCCTCTCCCCACTTCTCTTTCCTCTTCTTCTTCTTCTTCTTCTCCTTCCCTTCCGCTTAGAGTTTCTTCTAACCCTCTTGCCCTTCTGGCTGCTGACAACGACGACTATGACGAGAAGCCTCGGGAGGAGTGCGGCGTTGTCGGAATCTACGGCGACTCTGAAGCTTCCCGTCTCTGTTACTTGGCTCTCCACGCCCTTCAGCATCGTGGCCAAGAAGGTGCTGGTATTGTTACCGTTAGCAAAGATAAGGTTCTTCAGACCATTACTGGTGTTGGTCTGGTCTCTGAGGTTTTCAGCGAGTCCAAACTCGGCCAGTTACCAGGAGACATCGCCATCGGCCATGTCAGGTACTCCACCGCCGGTTCTTCCATGCTCAAGAACGTTCAGCCCTTCGTCGCTGGCTATCGATTTGGATCAGTTGGTGTTGCCCACAACGGCAATTTAGTGAATTACACGAAATTGAGAGCTGATTTAGAGGAGAACGGTTCCATTTTCAATACTAGCTCTGATACTGAGGTTGTGCTTCATTTGATTGCCATTTCTAAAGCTAGACCCTTTTTCATGAGGATTGTTGATGCCTGTGAGAAGCTTCAAGGTGCGTATTCTATGGTGTTTGTTACTGAGGATAAGCTTGTCGCTGTTCGTGACCCTCATGGGTTTAGGCCTCTAGTTATGGGTAGGAGAAGTAATGGAGCTGTTGTGTTTGCCTCTGAGACTTGTGCTCTTGATTTGATTGAGGCTACTTATGAGAGAGAGGTTTATCCTGGCGAGGTTTTGGTTGTGGACAAAGATGGTGTGAAATGTCAGTGTTTGATGCCTCATCCTGAGCCTAAGCAATGCATTTTCGAACACATTTACTTCTCGTTGCCCAATTCGATCGTCTTTGGTCGGTCTGTGTATGAGTCTAGGCATGTGTTTGGTGAGATATTAGCTACCGAGTCACCTGTTGATTGTGATGTGGTGATCGCCGTGCCTGACTCTGGTGTCGTGGCTGCTCTTGGTTACGCGGCTAAAGCTGGTGTAGCGTTTCAGCAAGGTTTGATTAGGTCACATTATGTTGGAAGGACTTTCATTGAGCCGTCTCAGAAGATCAGAGACTTTGGAGTGAAGCTGAAACTATCGCCTGTCCGAGGAGTTTTAGAAGGGAAAAGAGTTGTTGTTGTGGATGATTCGATTGTTAGAGGAACAACTTCGTCCAAGATTGTGCGGTTACTGCGAGAAGCGGGTGCGAAAGAGGTTCACATGAGGATCGCGAGCCCTCCAATTACTGCATCTTGTTACTACGGAGTGGACACTCCTAGCTCCAACGAGTTGATATCGAATAGGATGAGTGTTGATGAAATCAGGGATTATATAGGATGTGATTCCCTTGCGTTTTTGTCCCTTGAGACGTTGCAGAAACATTTGGGGGAAGATTCTAGAAGCTTCTGCTACGCGTGCTTCACCGGGGACTACCCCGTGAAGCCAACCGAGGATAAGGTGAAGCGAGGAGGAGATTTTATCGATGATGGGCTCGTTGGAGGAATCAACAACATTGAAGGAGGTTGGGTTCGGTAGATAGCAGATGGAAGTTCTGATTCTGCATTATGAACAATTTTGGGTACTGATGGAGTAATATGATGACGAAATCTTGTTGAATTTGTGATCCATTTGACCTTAATTGCTGCCCCATTTTACTATTTTTATTGAGTCTTGGATGGATAAAGTGTTATTCTTGTCTGAATCTTTGAAAGGTTTTTGTTCTTAATTATCATTTAGAATTCAAATCTTTTCTCTGTTTTCATGCAATTCACTAGAAGCAGAGTTTATGAAAAACCATGAGAAATCTCGGATCGGTTATCGTTTGGTTCTTTCGGTTTAGTTTTCAACTCGGATCGGTTTCGTGACTTCAGCTCTTCCACGTCACCGTCTATATGTGAAGTTACTAGTACACCCTCAGATACATCTCTGATTCTAAATGGATATTGTTCTTGTTTCGTTGCTTCCTCAAAACTTGTTCAAATCCAAAAACACAACACAGAACAGAGGAATCCAAGAGATTTAAGAACCTATTGTGACGATGCCTAGCATGCTTCACACCCATCAATCTCACTTCTTGTTCCTCCATCATCCGCCAATCTCCACCGTTCATTCCAAGTCGCAGTCTTTCCACTTCCCGCAATCAATGGCTCCGGTTAACCTCCGTACGAATCTCTCCGTGCGCCGGAGTGTACGGTGTATGGCAAACCCGAGGCGAGTGAAGATGGTGGCTAAGCAGATAATGAGGGAACTCTCCGATATGCTTCTCACTGACACGGTTTTACAGCACGCCGTGTTGCCCGAAGCTGCACTTGGAGCTGACCGCTACCTCTCTTCTCTTACCACCATCAGCGATGTTGAGGTCTCTAATGATTTGCAGGTGAGAAACCCTATTTCGAAATTCCTGTCTATCACTATGTAATGTATTCATGTGGGTCTTGCTCTTCTTATGCAGCTGGAGTAGAAATTTAGGATCTTTAGAAACCTCTGAAACAAAATTGTATGCCCTTAACTTGAGTTTGATTAAATTATGATTTATATTGGCTTGAACGGTTTAAATCCTATACCGGTATCTATTCTTGGCACAAGCAAAGCAATTCATATTATGTGTTTATGATTGGTGATAATAAGACTTTGCTGTTGTAAGTTTTGCATTTTGTGTCTGCTGATTTGAGAGCGTTACCTATGGAGATGTTACAAGCTGTTACAAAATGGTTTCTTTTGAGATTATAGGTGGTGAAAGTATATGTATCCGTGTTTGGTGATGACAGAGGGAAAGATGTAGCAATTGCCGGGTTGAAATCAAAAGCTAAGTACGTTAGGAGTGAGCTTGGGAAGCGAATGAAGTTGAGATTGACGCCTGAGGTCAGATTTATTGAGGATGAATCCATGGAAAGAGGAAGCAGGGTAAGGCTTCTATTATATCTTTCACTACAAACAAACTATATTCAAGCATTTTATGCAAACTTCGGTTAGTAAATGAAGGTCTCAGTGACACCTGTAAAAGTCTATAGCTTGCTCTCTTTTGTGGAGCACCTAGCATACATAGTCATGACCTAGTTGATCTTGATGATTCTTCGTAAATCGGCTCTGAGAAACCTCTTTTCCGTATTATATTAGACACAGGAAGTATCAAGTTGTTGCTATTCAGTCTAGCAACTGTATCATGTTCGGACTCATGTGCGTTTATTCTTATCACCAAGTTTTCTGTCAGATACTGATCTAGAGATTGTTTCAGGTTATTGCAATACTGGACAAATTAAAAGCTGAGAAGGGAAGCGGGGATGGTGTAAACGAAGGGAGACCAGAACCATCTGATTCAGCAGAGGATAATCAAGATTGGGACGTGGATGACCCTGACGAAGACATAATCTATGTAAAGTAATGGTCTGTAGCAGTTTAAGCACCAAGCATGAGTGCATATCACTCTGATATAATGCTCCACGGTGAGTCATCTTATGTTCTCAACTCATCTAGGAGCTAAAGCTCGTTAGGTGGTTTAGGAGAGATCAGTCATTTTTGTATACCCGGAACATTCAACGTTTCATTCCCTTGAACAAAAGATGAGCTAGATACAGCCTATGCATGCCAGTCTAATAATAGAGTGTAGACAGAAAGCATTAATTTCTGATGAAAAGCATCTGATAGAAACAAGCGTAAATGAATCAACTCCTGACATTAAGAGAATCATTTTCCATGTTTTGTGTGAAGTTTTTGGACGATATTACAAGGCGGCATGGGAGAACGGAGAAGATGAATACCAATGAAAGTTACTTATAAAACTCGTTATGGAGCCTGAAAGCTTGTTTGGTCCGTTTACTCAGATATGTCCAACAAAATTGTTATTTTGGATTAGTCAGTGTAACAGTGTAGGCATAAGCTCTTGTTTCTGCTTCGTTGTAATGTCTTTGTTTTGTGTTAATGTCAGCTCTCACATTCCTGGTATCATGTTAGGTGTTTTGACAACAGTTATTGATATAAGTCTTGGATCAGATAACAACTAATGAAGTACGTGAGAGTTTTGAATTATAAACCACAATTCTAGGAGGAGTGCTACTTTTCTGTAGCCTGTTGCATTCAAATTAGAAAGGAATTCCAAGATAAACTCATGAAAAGAAGATAGTACTGTTTTGGGCTTTTGGGTTAATAGTTTGTTACTCAACGCAACGAAAACGGCTTGGTAGTAGAAGTTGGTATCTTAAGAATTGGGCTTAGTTTGATCAAACTAGGCTCAGGCCCAATATGACGTGGTCGTTTCTTGTTATAGAAGAACAAAGTTGTTCCCTTCCACTCATCTGAAAAAACAAACAAAAATAAAATAAATTAAACTCAACAGCGATATCCTCATCTCTCTCAATCTCTCATCTCTCTCTCTCTCGCCAGATTTCAGATTTCAGATCCCAAAATACAAAACTTGAAAATGTCTACGTTCAGCGGTGATGAAACAGCTCCGTTCTTTGGCTTCCTCGGCGCTGCAGCCGCACTCGTCTTCTCCTGTAATTTCATTTTCCCTCTGTTTTCTCACTCCTTTTGATCTGTTTCTTTGTTCGTGATCGTTATCCCATTTTCTCGGGGAAAATGTCTGAGATTTGTTAAATTTATTGCGCAATATCTCTTACAACGTTGTTTCAGATCGCTTGTCTGATTTTGATTGATGGAAATAATGAGTCTTTCTAGGCTCGATCTACAAAAATAAGGAATTTGTGATTCATTGGATATAATTTGCATTTGAGCTTGGCATATCTGATTGATCAATGATTTTGCTGTCAATATGAGATGAGATTTGATTCTTATGTGCATTCCTAGAATTTTGGAAACCATTGGGTGCTTTATCTGATCGATCATACGAAACCTCATTGTGGGATCCAATATTGAGCATGATGTTAAAACCTTGAATTGCATTGGATGGATTAGGTATGGGAGCTGCTTATGGAACAGCAAAGAGTGGTGTTGGTGTGGCTTCTATGGGAGTGATGAGACCCGAGTTGGTGATGAAATCGATTGTCCCTGTGGTTATGGCTGGTGTGTTGGGTATCTATGGGTTAATTATTGCTGTTATCATCAGTACCGGTATCAACCCCAAGGCCAAGTCTTACTACCTCTTTGATGGATACGCACATCTCTCCTCTGGTCTTGCTTGTGGTCTTGCTGGTCTTTCAGCTGGAATGGCCATTGGGATTGTTGGTGATGCCGGTGTCAGGTTCGTCTCGTCCTGCAGCTTAATAAAGTTTTGTTGTTGTTATGACATTGGTATTTGACTTGCCCATTTGCATTTCTTTTTCAGGGCAAATGCTCAGCAGCCTAAGCTCTTCGTCGGGATGATTCTTATCCTTATCTTTGCAGAAGCGCTCGCTCTTTACGGGCTTATTGTAGGAATCATTCTCTCTTCACGAGCTGGCCAGTCTAGAGCAGAATGAGAAGATTGCTCAAAGGTACTTCCTTTACTTCTGTGTACGTTTTGTTTTATCGTGCTTAGTATGTATCATGGGGAACCAACAAAAAAAATATACTGGATTCTTGGAACTTTGGTTTCGGAAGCAAAACCGCCTATTGTCATCTCCTTTTCTCTTCAGGTGGTTGTTCTCCGATGTAGGATTTTTATTGTTTTGATTCTGTAATAAAGAGCTCTGAGGAGCTTTGGTATGTTTTTGTATTCTTGTATTTTTCCCGAGAAAGTTAAATACATTTATTTGTAAAGAAGTTTGGTTTCTGAACTCATATATTGAGTCTTTTTTTATTTATGAAATTAGCCTGCGATGTGTCTTGCTCCCTCTTGTGTTTATGTTCCTATCTTTTATTTGATTCATAAGAACATTCCTGTTGAGTTAATTTTTTTTTCACTTTATTTGGAGATAGTTTGTCCTCTTCTTGAAATTTACTATTATTAACAACAACAAAAAAAAGTTACCGTTACATTTATTTGGTGGGGGACAAAGGCCACGTTTTCGTAGTGAAATTTAGTGATCAGAAACATCCTTTTTATTCAAGACTAGTCTGGAGAACAAATATCAACGTCATTTTCTGCCACTCCCAATTGTTGTTTTTTTTTTGTAAACAAGAGATTTTGGATCAAAGTTTCGTTTGGTCATCACATTCGTATCTGTTAATCATGATCCAAATTCAAGTGAGAGGAGCAATTTGGATAGTCGCACCATAACCAAACCGAATCGTATGTATGATTATCAATCCGGACCCCAGAAGTCTGAGAACAAGCAGTATGTGTGTGCCACAACGAGTGCGACGATACTCATTGCTTTATAATAATATACTACTACTACTAGTAAAGATTTACAATAAAGTAGTATTTATCTTTTCCAGAAATGACTTGGGTTCGTGTGTGTTACTTCCAGCTGTGACGAGATGCTTCATTAATTTCAATGATAAGGTAGAAGATCTTTCACGTAATAGTAGTAGTTCTATAAATCCTTCTAGAATTTTGTAAATGATTAACTTTCATAACAAATTTTCGTGTCGATATATGTAATATATATAAATATATATGCTATATATATATATTACTGTTATATAAACGTGCTTAATTGCTTTTGTGGTCATATAACCATCACCACAGCTGTCCATATGGGTAAGGCTGCCCAGTTAGAGTTAAAATGGCAATCAATCACGACCTTGTTTTCTTGTTTTCAAGTCAATTTCAGATTTGTTGTTATTTTACTTTGACACATGTAGTGTCTTTACGTCGTATTATCAGTTTATGTTGTGTCCATCTCTTTTTATTTCGCCAACTCGATCGGGAATTATCGTTAAGTTTTAAGGACATATAGTAAGTTTAGAAGAGTCCGTTGCTATACTTTACTTACTATCATACATACTAGTAATTAACTAAAGACATTCAACGAAACTAGCAACAACACCTATCTTCTTATTACACAATGTCAGCAATACTAAGAGAAGAAGATAAAAAACTCAATTATGAGCCATTCCGACATATCAATCAATTATCCAACAGCTTCCCCGAACCAAACCCAAATAAAATAGAAGAAAGTTTTACTCAGATGTCAGAATCTACCATATGAACCTTGTGTGTGATGTCCCACTCACTCCTTTACTCACAAATCACAACAACCCATTGTGTGTCCACGACGTTGTTCAAGACGCGGCGAAACCTAATCCCCTTGAAACATTTATGTCTCAAATTGTAAAGGACAACCACACAGTGGCTATCTCTTATTTATTGTCGAGTTACTACTACTATAGAGTGAAAATAACTTATAACACACATTTCATCTTTTTGATAAAATATACTACAAACACGTGGATGTGAAAAATTAAATTTATGAGGCCTTGGTCATATTTATAAACCATAATATAATTAACGTTGAGCCGTTGTTTGGTTATTGAGATGGCAAAACTGTATCAGATTAATTGATTAGAACATTTCAGAAATGGATAGATGCATGCACATTGGTAAAGAAGATATACTACTACAAAGAAGTAGATTTAACTAACTGCGTTGAACACGGCACGTTTGAACTTTAGAAATACCGTCAAAGTCGTTGCATCTTTGTATAGCCTTAATTTGACCATCACATCCACATGATAATGTATTCTCCAAAACGCACGTCATGTAATTAAGAGCTACGTTTTATATAGTCCGTTGGCCGATGGGGATTGGGATTTACGATAGCAATTAATAAAGACTATACAAAATTACTAGCTAGTACCATGGCTCAATACGAATATCATTAATTTTGAAGAATGCGAATATATTTTTCGTATTTCTTTTGAAGAAAAAGAGGAATATAGAATAGTTTTCTTGTGTGAGAAAGATGAAGTTGAAAGAGCACTATTTACGATAAGGCAATAGACCACCATAACAGTATACGTGTGCCGTCCGCGTTCAGTATATAGTAAACGTCCGACTACTGCCGTCAACGCGTTTTCCTTTCCATATTCTATATAGATTGCATATTCTATATTCTTCTTCTTCTTCTTCAATTCTTCCTTCTTTTGATAATTGTTGCATATTCCACTGTACTTTGTTACTGATATTAGTATTTTACTAGTTTTTGATCGTCTTGTTTCTTTTTCTTTGCTTGTACATTAACAGTCAAGAGCTGTTTGTGGAAAAGTAGTTTTTACAATTTAGGAGTGTATATCTTCTCAACAACTCGATTTATTATGAATTGCAAGGATCCCTACAAATCTGTTGTTTTAACTTATCTTTGGTGATTTGTTGCTCCACCATATTTAAGGAATTTGGGAATTGGGAATACGTGGTCCTTTCCTTAGAAATTTGTATATTTGATATGGAATGAATGTTCAAGTTTAATCCATAATAGTGCTAAAAATATTATTCGAAATATAGAAAAATAGCCTGTATCGGGTTTGAGAAATCGACTAGATGCACGATATATATGTTGATGAGCTTAAAAACACTATATATGCGGAAATTAAAAACATGTTGTAAAAATACATATAGAGAGAGGTCACGAAACTCCAAGTTAATTACAAGCTTCCAAATTCTAACAAAAATGTATGGCCCTCTCTTGCCCTGTATAAATCCTTTTTCGCATTTAAACATGATAACACAACACAGTCACCTAGTGCAAAAACAAGAACAAACCGATATATGTGTTTTAGGTACGTGGCAAATTCTTCATCCGTTACGTTGGACTCGAACGAACAAACATAATTACACATCTCCTCGATGATTCGATCGTATTCACACGATATAAAAGAGACCATAACTCGCACGTGCAAGGACGAGCGGCGCAATCTTGGAGGTTTTAGGTTTTAACCTAAAAAGTTGCAAAAGAAGAGACGAAACACTAATCATAACTCAACACAACCACTTCGTCCCCACACGTAAGGCCGCCACGCGGCGCCTCGTAGCCGAGTGTTCGTGACCAAAGCAGAATCTTATTATTTTTCTTAAACCAGACAGCATCGACCAGATTATTTCACTACATTACGTCAATGTTTCTTTTTTTTTCCTCTCACCTTTTTGCCTTTTTTTTAATTATTTTATAGCAACAAAATTAAAGAACACTTTGCTAACATGGAAATTTGTCGTCAGGATAAAAACCAAAAAAATTATAATAATGGAAACTAAGATCTTAGTTTAAACAACGGTTATCAAATTAAACAAAAGCAAAGTCACTGTTATTTTATATACTATTTGATAATTTAACATTGTCTAACGTTCAATGGTCCATTAGGCGGCACATGTACTAGATTACGCAATTATTGGTCATGTGTCACCACTCACCATAGTCAGTAGACATAGTATTAAGCTTCATCGATATATGGTCCAAATCCCATAGACATATTACATATAGTATAAGCTTTCATATCGATGGTCCATCCATCTTGCGCAAGTTGATGAAAACATATACAGAGTAGAGAGTAGGTTCCTTTTAGTCTTTTACCAATCTAAATTTTTGAATAACATTGAAAAACCGAAAAATTGTTAATAAGTAAACAGTTATCACAGAAGATAACAAAAAAATGTTAGTAGACGAGAGCATAATATGTGTTACACGAGGTACCCGGAAGATAGAATTTTTTTTTAAAAAAACTTGAAAATAAATTTCTTCCGTTGTTGTCCAGTAAATAATTATAGATTGCTTTTAGATTCATCTTATTATTTTCAAAAAATTCTCCTAAACTATATAAAAAATAAAATAAAATTATTTGCTTAACCTACTTGAAGTTAGTACTATTCCACATTATCATGAATTCGAAATTCTAAAAGGTGTTAAAATCATTTTTATACAAAATTAAAATTATAAGGAATATTCTCAATTGATACCTAACATTATTACAAGATCCCAAGAGCGTTTTTTTAAAAAAAGTTATTAATTCAAAATATGCAAGATGAAAATATTTTTTATGAAATTATGTGGAGCCAGGTAGTATGAGATAAATGTGACCAATAGAGAAGAAACAACAAATATATTTTTAACACATCTTTTTGCATAAGAAAAATTATCATAATTGTCTAATTAAACGAATGATTTTTATATATTTACTTTTTTTTTTAAATAGACCTACAATGATGTATATTGGAATTCGGACTGTATCATTTACATAATCCTAATCAGTCACTCGTCTAATTATGTGGTTACTAGTAAAACAGCACGTAAACATAAGATAAATTACCTTAATTGGGTGCAAAAAGGTAGAAAAAAAGGAAAAGATGTTGAAGAGAAAAGGAAAAATATAAAACGTAATCGTAAATGGGCCCCACGGCCCAAATCAAACTTGCCTCAGTCTCAACCTTCTCACGTTGCTTCCTCCTCCTCGGCTCCGCCTATATAAACAGGTGCCAATTGCGTTCATCAAACTCACGCCTTCTCTTCTTCATTTCCGTTTTCTCCGCTTAGGTTTCTTCTTGCATTGTCCCGAGAAATACTTCACATTCTCGTTTTCTTCTTCTTTTGGTTTGTTTCCTCTCACCTCTGCATGGTTGGGCAATTATAAATTTGATTTGTTGAGTTCAGATTTGTTGAAAAGTCCTCTCTTTTTCCATTTCTCTTTGTTCTGAAAATTATTCATCGTGGAGATTCTCGGATCGGGTAGAGCTGCCAGAGGTGGATTTCACGGCGGGGATAGATTCATCTTCTGCCTTCTCCTGAGGGGGTAGCCGAGGCTCCGGCCTCGGCGGTTTTTAAACCCCTACCTTCACAAAATCTGGGAATTTTAAAGATATAAAGTTTCGGTTTTTTTGGGTTTTCAGTTTTTGTTTTGTTCGAGAATTTCTTGTAAAGCCAGATTGTGATCGTTTTTTTTGGGGCTGAAAAGAAGATATAAAGATGCCTGCTTTAGCTTGCGTTGATACTTCCTTTGTGCCTCCTGGCTACGCTTTCTCCGACACCACCGCCGCTGATGTCTTTATCCCGGCGTCTTCACCAACTTCCGCCGCCGCCGCTGCTGTTGTTGACAGCTCTTGCCGTTGGTCTTCCTCTCTCTCATCGTCTCTGTATCGAATCGATGGGTGGGGAGCTCCTTATTTCACCGCCAATTCGTCTGGTAACATCTCTGTTCGTCCTCATGGCTCTGAGACTTTGCCTCACCAAGACATCGATTTGCTCAAGATCGTTAAGAAGGTGACGGATCCGAAATCCTCCGGAGGTTTGGGATTGCAGCTCCCGCTTATCGTTCGTTTCCCTGATGTGTTGAAGAACAGGCTCGAGTGTCTTCAATCTGCGTTTGAATTCGCGATTCAGAGCCAAGGATATGGTTCTCATTACCAAGGTGTTTATCCGGTGAAATGTAATCAAGATCGATTCGTTGTTGAGGATATTGTCAAGTTTGGATCTTCGTTTCGATTTGGATTGGAAGCTGGTTCTAAACCTGAGATCCTCCTCGCTATGAGCTGCTTGTGTAAAGGTAATCCTGATGCCTTTCTTGTGTGTAATGGTTTCAAAGACGCTGAGTATGTATCGTTGGCTCTCCTTGGGAGAAAACTGGCGTTGAACACTATGATTGTGCTTGAGCAAGAAGAAGAGCTTGATTTGGTTATTGAGCTGAGCCAGAAGATGAATGTGAGGCCTGTGATTGGGTTAAGGGCTAAGCTGAGGACTAAACACTCTGGTCATTTTGGATCAACTTCAGGTGAAAAGGGCAAATTTGGACTCACTACTACTCAGATTCTTCGTGTGGTGAGCAAGCTGAGTCAAGCTGGTATGCTTGACTGTCTCCAGCTTCTGCATTTTCACATTGGGTCACAGATTCCGTCGACTTCGTTGCTCTCTGATGGTGTCGCCGAGGCTGCTCAGCTTTACTGTGAACTTGTGCGTCTTGGTGCACATATGAAAGTTATCGATATCGGTGGTGGTTTGGGGATTGACTACGACGGGTCTAAATCTGGAGATTCGGATCTCTCTGTTGCTTATAGTCTTGAGGAGTATGCTGAAGCTGTTGTAGCTTCTGTTCGGTTTGTGTGTGACAGGAGGTCAGTGAAGCATCCGGTGATATGCAGTGAAAGCGGTAGAGCAATAGTGTCTCATCATTCTGTGTTGATCTTCGAAGCTGTTTCGGCAGCTAAACCAACGGGTCATCATCAAGTGACACCTAATGATATCCAGTTCCTGCTAGAAGGTGACGAGGAAGCTCGTGCGAATTATGAGGATCTTTACGCTGCTGTGATGCGTGGAGACCAGGAAAGGTGCCTCCTTTATGTCGATCAGCTGAAGCAGAGGTGTGTTGAAGGTTTCAAAGAAGGTGTTTTGAGCATCGAGCAATTAGCTTCTGTTGATGGGTTATGCGAGTGGGTGTTGAAGGCTATTGGCGCATCCGATACGGTTCATACTTACAATATAAATCTATCGGTTTTCACTTCGATTCCTGATCTCTGGGGGATTGATCAGCTGTTTCCTATTGTTCCTATCCATAAGCTCGATCAAAGGCCCGGGACTCGTGCGATCTTATCGGATTTAACTTGCGACAGCGATGGGAAGATCAACAAGTTCATAGGCGGGGAGTCCAGCTTGCCATTGCACGAGCTTGACAACAATGGAAGTGGAGGAAGGTACTTTTTGGGTATGTTCCTTGGAGGGGCTTACGAGGAGGCGCTGGGTGGAGTTCACAATCTGTTTGGTGGGCCAAGTGTTGTCCGGGTCTCGCAGAGTGATGGACCACACAGCTTTGCAGTCACCCGAGCCGTGCCTGGTCAGTCCTCAGCGGATGTTCTCCGAGCAGTGCAGCATGAGCCTGAGCTAATGTTTCAAACGCTAAAGCACCGGGCAGAGGAAATGATGCATACCAAAGGCAGTAGCGATGAAGACGAAGAAGAAGAAGATGATGATGAGTTCAACAATGTGGCGGCTTACCTCGACCGTTCGTTCCACAACATGCCGTATCTTGCGACTGAGCCTGCATCGCCGAGTAACTCTCTTTCAGCTGCGATCAATAACCTCGGTTTTTACTACTGCGACGAAGACGGCTTCGATTACCTCTCTGTTTGAGGAAAAGGTGGTCGTTGTATGGTTTGCTGTTGCATTATATTATCGTAAAATCGTCATTGCACGATTATTTCAATAAATTATTCAATAATGATATATGATGAGATCCAGGATCCATCGTTATTTTAAGGTTTTAATTTAAAGGATCCGAATAATGAGAGCCTTCTGTGTAACTCGGATCTTTATGTAATGTTCCCGTTTTATTTGATTCAATAGAAAAAAAACTATTTTATGAACAACTTCAGAGTCTTTCACCGCCGTTCATTAGAATTCAAAACGATGAATTGTGAACAAGTTCATTTCACTCTATAGTCTACGATAAGTAAAGAAAAGTTTGTTGTCTAGTGAGTCATTAATATTTTAGGGGTAAGGTTCGCCGCATCTTAGAGGGCATATGTGGTTATGAACTTATGAGTGAATGTGACAACACACATAAGTTCCACATGGCCATGATAGATGACATGATAGATTCTGACATACATATGTGTATTATCGACTGACATGTTTTATCTTTTGCCTTGTATTAAATTACAAGACTTTGGGAAGCGGTTTAGTGATGATTGACACTGTGGCTCATGATTGAGTTTTTTTTTGCATTATCGAATAGTATTCTTTATTTTTAAAGTCACGGCTTGTGGGAACATACAGTATTTCCTTTTACGTGGAGCTAGTTTTTGGACCCATTCTATCATTTCTTCCGCAAAGAAAAGAAATGCATATTCGATGCTGGGGTAATGTGTTGTTTCCATTATAGTTGTCCGGTTGTTGGCGATCATGCAAAAAAAGAAGAAGGAAGGATTAATATTTAAGAAGGTGAAAAGTTTGACGAAGATGGCAAAGTAGTACTATGTGGTTCATGCCATCAATTTGTAGATGATCGTGTCACTTTGTGGTGTGTTTTGTTGAAATATGTTTGTATTCTTTTAACTCAGAAAATAAAAGTTATCATTATCATGAAACCTTCCTCGAAATCTAAAACTTCAAGAGCTTAGTAATAATTTACGGTGAACCAAAATTTTGAAAAAATCAAGTTCAGTCTTGGTTTTGTCTCAAGCTTTCTTATTTCTTTTTGCAAAATTGTAAGTTGTAACTTTCCTTTCACCGTGGGATTGAAGGATATCAACTAAAAAATGGGGCTAAGATAAGGTTGGTAGAATCCAATCCTATAAACATCTTTGCTTTAAATTCTGCAATTTGGGTTTGGAATCGGCATATTGTTGACAAGTTGATCCCATTTACTTTTATCGACCCATGGTCCTTAGCCCTTACCAAAATGCCATGTGTTGCGGTGACGACATCAATTTTGCAGGGATCGGTCCCGATTCCCAAGTTAGATAATTGATCCCTAAGAACCCAAAGTTTTCAATCTATGGTTCAAATTTAATCTCCAAGAGGTTTGGAGTGTGTTTATTCATATGCTGCGTTTCTGTGAATGAGGACAAAGTTGATTATCAAAAACAACCAATGAGCAATGTCGGCCAAATCAAAAAAGAGAAACAGTTTATGGCTCTCACGTACTGTAACGGGTGAATACAACTACTTCGGTCTAGACCCATCTCGTTATAATATGCAGCCAAGGTAACAAAAAGAACACACTTTTGATGTTTTTAATAACAAGTTTTCATGGTCGGAACATCCATGATTCAAGCGCAGCCAGAAATGTTTTGGATAAAGAAATATAAACCAAGTTGAAACAAGATTCTCATACTGGAACGAAACAACTTTTAAAAACAACAATTGGTCCCTCAAAGTTTCAACCTTGAAAGTTGTTAATTTATCTGCTGAACCACATAGCCACTGGATGCTTCAATCTGCAGTAGATAACAAACACCATTGAAACATAGCCACTTGAAAGTTGTTCCACTGCGACATTTTTATAGATACTAGAATGAAGATAAACTATTGTGAAAGCAACTTCAGCATTTGGTGATCCTCTAACTTACTTTATTGATGGGTATGAAAATATAGAAGCTAGGTTTATGGATTGTCTTCTAGACCATAGTTGTACACAATCTCAATCTGCATCAGCCACACACAAAAAACAAGATCAGCACTTGCAAAAAAGAAAGTGAGACCATGACAAAGGACGTGATGAGTGTTGAGAATTACCCCAGCAGGCGGAGTTGGGTTTCTACAGAACTTTGAGCCACCAGGAGCCCATGGAACTACAACAGAAAATGTGGGTCATTTGGAGGATTGGAACGCTAAAGTTCTCATATGTGAGACGAATTATATACAGCTTAATAGCTGATAAGAATTGTTCATAACAATTCATTTATGGGTCACGATGCTTACCGATATAAGGATCAGGGTGCCGCCATTTGTTGTATTCTGATTCACCATGAGCGATCAGTTTGTCGATTCTGTCAATGTCCTCCTAGAAGAACCCCAATGATCAATCATATCAAGAGACAAACAATGAGAGATAAAGATGAGAAACGCAAATGTACACCAATGTTGTCATTGTGTCAGCAGTTGAAAGAAGAATCTCATTATATGATTCCCAACTCCAGTTTACATCATCTAATTAATGGCAACAAAATATTACATAGATGGCATTGAAACAAAAATTATAAGCTGATGGATTAGGAACGCAGAGTTCCATAGTGTAATGATAATGAGTGGGATATACAACAAACGCAACACAAAATAACTGGAACAACATTTTTGTTTCTCTTATCTCCTAGCTAATTTTGCAACAGTCTAACACATCTGTGAAACAAGCATACACTAAATTCACTTATTTGAAAATAGCAAACAAATCTAAACAACTTAAGCCAGAGAAAATGTAGCACACGCGTTTCATAAAAATCCGCAGTTTATCATCCAAACACCCTTAGAATGCCAATGTTCATATCTCTATATCTACCAAATTAAAAACTCAATTAACAATTAAACAAAGAAATTGATGGAGGTAAGAAATGAAAGGAGAAGAGAACAAACCACATCCTGGTTGGCATTGAACTTCTCGCGCAGATCAGAAGCCTGCAATATGAAGGAAGATCAATTAAATCAAAACCCTAAATGTGCGAGATCGATGAAACAACAAACAAGGAAAAGAAGCTTGAATCGGGAGATCTGAGGAAAGACTTACGTCCCGGTAAAAGATATGGCGATGAACAGCCCAATTGAGAGTATCTTTAAGAGCACGGCGATAGAGGATTCGAACCCTCTCCTTCTGTGCCGCTCGCCGCGCAAAGTACGCCGCCGTCGAAACTCCGCTCATTTTTTTCTCTGATTCCGATCGAGTCTCCCCTCTACACTCTTCTTCTTCTTCTATCTGATTTCCCCCTTTTTCAACAGTACGAAACCTTCTCTTTCAGTCAGAGGGAAGGAGAAGAAAAATATTAAATGGGCCTTTGATTGGAACTTGGGATTAAAAACAAAACAAACGGCCCATACATGAAACGGGTTTGAGGAAACATTCAAAATTTGAGGAAGGAAAGAAAAAAAAACTCCGTTGCCGGGATTCGAACCCGGGTCTCTCGGGTGAGAGCCGAGTATCCTGACCAGCTAGACTACAACGGATTGTTGACTAAACTTCTGAGTAGATTTAGTTAACTCGAGGAGCCTAATGAGAGACTTCACCTTTCGCTACAATCAAAGTTTTCAGGTAACATAGACATAGTATATGCTTCAAGATTCAAACCTGAAATAAACTGTTTCAAGTTAAAGTAACATAGACTTGATATTTCACAATGCTCTATTTACCTTTTCACTGGTTTCGACCTTTTATAGTTGGAATATTATATATAGGTGCTATGAACCTTGAGACTAATAAAAAAACAATTGGTTGATGTTATGAATGAGAAAGTTAAGATATGTTTAGCTTTGGAATAGAAGATCCAAAGTTTTAGATTTTAGACAAGTGGTTGGGTTGGGAAGGTAGAAAGAGGTAGCACATGATATCGATAAAGCTACTTTTCTATTGATATCCCTAGTTTATGAAGAAAAAACACTTATGAAACTACTGACCAAAGGGTCCATGGAACTGTGGTCCTTCTATATGTAAATCTTTATGTGACAATTGATATGAATTAAGAAGAACTTGTAGCTAGAGAAACTAAAGCTGGTAAAATGCCATGTGCTGGTAAGTGCTATTTGTGTAGTGTGATTAATCATGTTTTCACCATAGCATAAACTTAGAAACATTTTATGCTTCCACAAGTGATTCATTAAATTGCTTTGAATTAAACAACAACTCAACTTATTATCTTAACTACGAAGTGAACTAAGGTTTTGTCACCATCTTTTAGCTCTCTTATCTACTAATCTATAGTGGAAATGTGGAATACATTTTTTCTTTTTGAACAACGATACCGTTAAAAGTAGCCTAATTACAAGAGAACTGGAAAGTACAGAGTTTAGTCCTCACTAGAGGAGGAAGCAGAAACAGATAATCTATAGTGGAATATTTAGGATGGTTCATAAATTTGGCATTTTGTTTACGCAAAGTGTTGGCATTGATTTTTGCAAAATACACTTCAAAAAGTCTATATAAGCCACTAAACATGGACCAAAATCATTCTAAGTAGTAGTGGTGGTGGTCTTACATCATTTTTTAAAAAAACAACATAATTTTGTTTACAGAAAACTTTGTTTTTTTAAAAGACTAATTCCTGAAACAGCTTCAATTGTTATGAAGCAAGTTGTTAACTTACAACACTAGAGATAATGTTACAAAAAAGTAGGTTTTACCTAAGTCTTATCTACCACTTGCTGCCAAATTTGACCTGGTCTGATTAGTACTAGCTTCACCTGTTTCTTCACCCAACTCTTTACTCTTTCTCAGTTCCAGAACCTTCCTGTGAAGATTCGAGTGGATCTCATTAGAGAACGTCGGACTGTCCGCCGGTCTGTACTCCGGACAGAGCCGTCCGGACTTAAACCGGACTCCACATGCATTACATAAGGTTTTGGGACCAACCGGACCGGTTCTCCACTGTGGGGTGTTGTTAGTGCCACAATGGCTGCATCTTCGTTGAAACACAACGGCCGTTTCTTGTTTCTTCTTCCTCCACTTCTCTGTTGCTGCATGTTGCTGTTGATGATTGGTTGAAACGAGTGGCCAAACACGACCTCCCGTTAGACTGTTCCTAGACCGCTTGGTTCTTGGTTTAACCGGAATTCGAGATGAGAAGCTTGGTTTGGTTTTGTGGGTTTGTGTGAAGAGAAGTGAAACTTCTGGTGAAGAACAATCATCCACAACACGAGATACCCATTCAAGCTCTTCCACATCTTCATCCTAAAACAAAAAAAAATCACACCAAAAAAGAAAAAAATAAACTAAATATCTCATAAATTATAAGAAATGAAAAAAGAAGCTTCTAGAATTACCGGCAAAGAAGGAAGTTGATCAAAGGTACAAGGTTGTGAACTGAAGATACAACAATCTCGTTCTTGTTCTTGTTCTTCTTGTGAGGAAGAAAGAGAGACAAGTTCTTCTTCTTCTTCTTCTTTGAGTTGACCTTCTGAGAAATCGAGGAAACACTCAACGGAGAAATCTTCCGGCAAAGAAGAAGTACGGCTTAAATCTTCGGAGACAATCACTTGATGATGCTTGAGAGATGTAGTAGATTCTCCTCGTAGACTTGCCTTTAGGGCTCTAGCTTCTGTCCACAGCTCCATTCACTCTTTAACACATACATATATAGAATCTTCTTTTAAGTTTCACTTGACATATATAGTCTTTAATTCTCACTATATTACAACAACCAACAATACACAAAACATATAAACTTACTAAACCAAATACGAAAGCTAAACTCTATGACCTAAACAATCTTCTTGGCATGCAAAGTTTCGAAAAAATAGAAAGATATAAGAGGGGAGAGGTACATGGGCGCTGTGCTCATCGTATCTCTTTACCTGACAAAGGCGAGAAAAGCTGAGGGGAATGGCGAAGAAACAGAGGAAGAGAAGAAGAGAGAGAGATAGGAAAAGTAATAATAAGAGGGGGCACTGAAGTTAAAGGAAGGATTCTTGAAAGGGTTAAAAGGTAAAACAGAGACTTTGTGTGTGTTTTTTTGTGGCTTTGTGCGTCCAATTCCTAAAGTTAAAGCTCTTTTAAAAAAACTAATTTTTTTCTTCCTTTTCTCCTAATTTTTTTTTTGTTTGTAGAATATTACAAAATCTTCTTTCACGAATAATGATATATACTTGGATTGGTATCACAGAATCAATGCTTTTCGTCTTCTTTATTTGCCTCTTCATTTTGGTGTAAAACGATGTGCCCTTTTTAACTTTTGTTTTCTCCAAACAGTGGATCGGTTTTTATAAAAATAAAATCAGAGTTAAACTCTAAATCCATTTGTTTTTGTTGCTTCGCTATCTAAGTTATTACTTATTAGATTCTGCTTTATTTAAGAAGGGGGAAAAAAAGATTAATAAAGAAAGTTATGATTCACGTCAGGATTTGTTTGCTTTCTTTCTCAAAATTTCTTTGGACCTAATCAATGAGTTATTTACGTCGATGTTTGGCTTGGGCTTATCCTTCGTCACATATTGATAAGTCAGGTCTGTTTCACGATATTGAATATTTCAATACAAAATTTGTTTGATTTTTATTTTATATGTATTTTCTATCTTTGAATTATTGCGAAGGGTTATATCATGCTCTTGGTCGACGCCAATTTAGCTTGTCTTGTCAGAACTCAGAAGGGTTGACCATCGGCTGAAACATTTTACTTCTTACTTCTTACAAAGGTTAAAACTACTATTACTGAAACTCACTGATTAACCCGTGATCTCTTTTTAAATAATAAAACAATTCCGAGATATAAAGATCCAAAATGAAACTAGGTTACCAAGAATAGCTCATGCGTAAAAAAATTACAAATCATGAAATCTATTTATATCATCCAAAATTCCAAATCTAAAACGTTAAAACTAACCCATACTGAGATGTGCTACATATTCATATTCATGATTGCAGTACAAATCTACCAATTAAGGTCACCATTCACCATTGAGAAACAAAGGTTACGCTATTAAATATATAAAAACATTGCCATGCAGTAGCTAATGGCCATATATATGAATATATGATCCGTCCAATCGTGTATGTTCTGCTATTTTTAGCATAAGATATAAGATTAGGTAACCAAAACAAGAAAATAGTATTCCGATAGGAACATATCATACCATAATTAACTATACAACTTTTATGCTGATTTTTATTCTATGAAAAAAGTTACATGGATAGAATAACATAATTAATATGAATCGGACGTATCAATGGATAAGCCGAGTCGTACTAAACCGAATTAATACAATCTCTGCCGAACATCTATTTCATCAAATTTTCCAAACACTCAAAATTTACCAAAAATAAATAAAGTTTTGGAAAAAGAGATGTTCAGTTCAAATTCGATTCAAACACTACTACTATCTCAACCCGAAAACAGCATAAATAAAGGCCAACTAATGAATGAAACTTAAATAAAGTTCTTTATTTATCTATCACGAAGCAAAAAAAGAAGAAGAAGAGCAAGTGTGGGTTGTGGTAGTGATGGGAGTGGAGAAAATGCAAACCACCGGAGGAGTGGAGTTCACCAAAGCAGCCACTATAGCCAAAATCCTTTTTAACAATATATATACTACTTTCCTTACAACTATGCAAATCTTTCCTCTTTAGTTTGGCGTAACCTAAAGAGACCACAACTTTTTTATATACCATGCTCTTATTTATACCTGCAGAGTCCCTAAATTTGAGATATTTTTGGTTTATTATCTAAAAATAGGTAAACCACAGAAATCTAACCTTCAACAGTACTGTTTAGTCTATTCTTGTATACAATTTTTCATTATGATGCTATAAGTCAAGAAGTATAATTGATATTGGGACACAAATTAGGGATTGGTTTTTTCAAAAGAGTCGTCACAGTCACTTAATAGTTTGGTAGTACATTTTTTTTGTTTTTTGTTGCTTTGCCAACTTTAGTTTAGTAGTGAGATATGGGGTGTTATACTCGCCTGTCTTTACACAAATTCATGTGTGTTTAAAGTTTTGTCTTGAAAAAAGTTGGTAAAGAAATATTCTTTTAGCTGATATTTCATTTTTATAAAATTAGTAAATATATATATTTATTTACTAATTATATATATATATAGACATATATATTTGTTTTGTTTTGAAAAGGGAGCTCACCACCAGAGCAGGCTGGTGAGGAGTGACGAGAGCGTAATGGGGGGAAAAGAGAACGTGTCACGTTTTCCTTACGTCGTTTCATTACTACGCATCAATATCACTCTTCTCCATTCTTTTTTTTTTTTTTGTTCTTTATAAAGAAACTTGGGGGTTAGATTTAACGTCAAGATTTTGGGAGGTGGTGTTACATGTCTGGTTTTTTGTGTTACTGAATTAAATTTAAAACCATGAATGATTGTTCCAAAAGGAAAATAACGAGACGTAAAAAAAAGTTTACACAAAACATAATCATTTAGTTTCAACAAATCATAATCCATTTGAACCACTACATATTGACAAAACAACGTAATCATTCATAACGAATCATAGTCAAAATATTATCCACATTAATCTAATTACACTGATCACATTGTTCGCAGCAAAGACAAAATATAAGAGAATTGTAATAGAAATGAAGAAACCATTCTTGTACACTACACAAAACATACAAGAACGAACAAACAAATAATGGTATTTGGAGTAAGACACAACAATTCGACATTTTAAGAATTCAAGGATACCATTGATTTGTTCGTTCATACAATATCGAACATTCTTGCTGTTTTCATTATTACTGCTAGAGAACACTGTTGCTGAGATAGTAATATTATAAGCAAATCCTGGAATGAAAAATTCTGCTGAGACACATAAATATAAAAAACAGGATAAACAATAAGAGTATTAATAGTTCTTCCTTCAAAAACGAGTCCAAAACCAGTCACAATGAAGTAGAGTTCTCTTTCCAAAAAGAAACTCTAAATCAATGGAGACATAACACTAGGTTCTTTTTTTGGGCCAAAGAAAAACAAACAAATCTATAATCCCCTAAGCTCCGATGATTTCAGTTGGCTCCTCAGCCACCGTTTCCTCAGCTGGCCTGTCTACCTTCACACCAACATCTTCTGCTGTGTAATCTCCATGCACCTACACAAAAATAAGAAGAACAAAGTCAGATCAGCTTGCCTCCATGGCTACTAGACCAAGACTGATGTAACAAACATTTAGTGTGATTTCAATTTACCTCCATGAGCTTTCCAAGGTCAAACTTGGGTGCCTTAAGGATCTTCACTTTACGGATGAACACGTTCTGCAATGGGTAGATGCTCTGTGTTGCCTTCTCAATCTCTTTTCCAATTGCCTCTGGGATGAACTTTGCAACAAGCTCCTTGAGGTCACAAGATGAAGCCTCCTTCACCATAATCTCACTCATCTTTCTACGGATCTACAATGATCCAGAAACATTACCAGGAAAATGTTAATCTTCTGTCAACAGAAAGACAATACTAGCAAAGACATGTTATGATAATGGAATTACCTGACGGATTTGGCTGGATTGAGCATAACAAGTACGCTTCACTTGATTAGCACGTCTCTTCGTGAAGCCGATGCAGAACATTCTCAAGGTGTAGCCGTCTGAGGTTTTCACATCAACATGGGCTTCAATCAAAGACTGCCACTTCTTCACCAATGACCTTAGCTTGTCTGTGGTAAAATCCATACCCTAAAAATCATAGAATAAAATCAATACATTGTTTCAATATGCCACAAACAACAAGAAAAAAGAAGAAAATTCTTGAAGTTTGGTGATAGATTTCTGTAAAGGGGTCTCAATCTTACCCAGAACTGGGTCAACACATTCCTTCCCTGAACATCCTCAGCTCTAAGGCGGATCTTCCTGTAAGCATTATCCTCATCATTTTGAAGGTCAGCAAGAGATACCTCAAAAACTCTGTGTTTCAGTCCCTCAGAGGCAATCTGTACAATATTAAAGCCAATCCAGAAAACATAGTCAGAAATGACAAAAAGGAGCACTCTGAGCGAACCATCACTATTCTCTGTAACATTTGCAATTCCTAATATCCGAACAACGAAAGCAACCAAAAGCAAATGTCTACCTCTACAATAAACATTAAGCAAATGACCAATCCTAAGTTAGGTTCTTTTGATCCAAACCTAAAAAACCTCTAATCTCTGAAGGAAATGTACAATGAACCCTACATTCTCAAGAGTTAGTAATAGAGATAAGAGACATTACCTTGGTACCCTGAGTTCTGGAAACAAGTGTCTTCCCAACATTCCTGTGGGTGAATGAAGAAGGAGCCTTCACGTCATACCAGTCCTTCTTGGAGAAAGGATCAACACTGCACCATAAATTACAAATTAAGAACACTTTTCCCTAAATTTACTAAATCAGAAATCTGAAAATATTTATTCATTGAATAGGTTACTCACGCCTTCTTCTTTCCTCCTTTCCTACCCTTTGAAATCCTCTTGTTCTTGCTGTAATATCGGATAAAAACAACAGATCAGAACATGATACTCGGAGCTATGAAATGAGAGATTTCGATACATAATCTGAGGAAACTAAGTGAGGAAGAGAGAGATATACCCGACCGCCATGGTTAAGGATCTTCAAATGGTTGCGACGCCGAGCACAGTGAAGAAGAAGAAGAAGCGGCTTCAACAACTGAGAGAAAGCCCTAATTCACTGGCTTTCAGTTTATATATGTCTAGGGTTTTGTACTGTCCAGATCTTTTTTAATTTGACTTGAAATAAACTTATAGCTAGCTAATGGATCTAATTTAAAAAGCCCAATTTTTCTAGAAAGCCCAATACATAGCCTTTTGAAACCCTCTTCCTGAATCAGAGAGACTCTCTATCCTTTGATGTCGTCGCGTTCGAAAGTGTTGGGGAGCTCGACGACGCCATTTTTGACGATTTCGAATCTCTTTCATTCGCTGAGTTGTTGCAGGTAAATCAGAGGAAGCTCGAAAGTGGAAGAAAGGTAACACGGAGAAAGGAAGATTTGGGAAGAGCTCTTGATAAGGTGAACAATGGATGCAATTAGAAAGCAAGCTAGCAGGTTGAGAGAACAAGTTGCGAGACAGCAGCAGGTGAAGAAATTTCTTAACTTTTGTTTTTCCCGTCTGTTTAGATCTTGTTTCTTTCTCGTTTATTGATTTCCATTTTTTTCTTCTCTTGTGATTACATTGATTCGTTGGTTTCTGGTGAATCAATCAATAATGTGATTATGATGAAGGGACTTAGCTTTTTTCGGATCGATGATATTGGACTTAATGAGTACTTGGATCTGAGTATGATTACTACTTTGATTTGATGTGAGATTGGGTATAATCCTTCTGGATTGGGAAAGTTTTAGTCAAATGTGATGTTTTTGTCAGAAAGGGTTATTTAGGATTTGCGAAGCCTAGATAGTTTAATATATCAAGATCAAAATTGATTCATAAATTGTGGTGTGAATATGTCTCAGTCTCGTGAGCTGGGAATTGAATGTTTTTGTAGTCATAAGTTAACATCTTAGTGCTACATGTTCCAAAAAAATATCATGAGATCTGGAGGTTAATTCCTTGAATTTGAGGGTAATTAGTTAGATTGACTTAATTTTTGGAATGGTTAAAGGCTGTCTTCAAGCAATTTGGAGGAGGAGGATATGGCTCAGGATTATCTGATGAAGCAGAACTCAATCAGCATCAGAAGCTAGAAAAGCTTTACATATCCACCCGTGCTGCCAAGGTTTTTACTTATAGCCTTTGACTAATTTGAAGCTTTAATTACTATTGATTTAGACTCATACATTCTCCCTTTTCAGCATTATCAAAGAGATATTGTTCGCGGTGTGGAAGGTTATATAGTCACAGGGTCAAAACAAGTTGAAATAGGTGATTCTGGTGATCCTTGAGTGTTCACTTACAGTATTATCTTTTGTCTGTTATATACTTGAATCTCACTAGCCTGGCTTTCTTTGTGCACCCATTTTTTCCTCAGGGACAAAACTGTCTGAGGATAGCAGGAAATATGGTTCAGATAATACATGTACAAATGGTAACGTATTAACAAGGGCTGCACTCAGCTATGGGCGTGCTCGGGCACAAATGGAGAAGGAGCGTGGAAACATGTTGAAGGCTCTTGGTACACAGGTTTGTATTTCTCAGCCTCCACCAAAGGGTTAACTACATATCTTTTGCATGTGATAAATCTACACAAAGAATTACTTTCCGGCCATTGTTAGTGGAGTGACTGCCATAGTGCCATTTGTGGGAAGATCTATTGACTTAATCTGGAATTTTGTGTTACATACTCTTTACAGTCATGGTGTTTACATGGTTCTTTCTTTATTGCAATTTGGCTACTATAATCACATGTCATACTGGAATTTAAATCTGAAACTGTTAGGTTGCTGAGCCACTACGAGCAATGGTTTTGGGAGCTCCGTTGGAGGATGCTAGACATCTTGCTCAACGTTATGACAGAATGCGCCAAGAAGCCGAAGCTCAGGTACTAGGAATTCTTATGCCATGAAGGAATTTGATTATTTCAGAAATATGGGTGTTTTCCTCTTTCTAGAATTAGCTATTTGTTATTACTACCATGAGATCTGATTTCTAAACAGGCTACAGAAGTTGCAAGACGTCAAGCAAAGGCAAGAGAGTCTCAAGGTAATCCTGACATCTTGATGAAACTAGAATCTGCTGAAGCAAAACTACAAGACTTAAAATCAAATATGACAATACTGGGGAAGGAAGCTGCTTCTGCTTTAGCTTCCGTTGAGGATCAACAACAAAAGTTGACTCTTGAACGACTTCTTTCAATGGTAGTGCGATTGGTTGCAATCTCCATTGTTACATCAACGTTGTTTTACTTACCCATATGTACTTCGTTTGAAACAACTGTATTCTTCATTCCTAATTACAGGTTGAATCTGAACGTGCCTACCATCAGAGAGTCCTTCAAATACTTGATCAACTTGAAGGAGAGGTTGATTTGCATCACTTTTGCTGCTTTCATTTTTCTGCCGTAATGATAGTATTCTTGTCGAACAGCCAGTTCATCATAATACGAGTCAACTAAGGGATAAATTGAACATTCTTGAACCTACAGATGGTATCTGAGAGGCAACGTATAGAAGCTCCCTCTACTCCCTCAAGTGCAGACAGTATGCCGCCACCTCCATCATATGAGAGTATGCCGCCACCCCCGTCATATGAGGAAGCTAATGGGGTGTTTGCATCTCAGATGCATGACACGTCAACAGATAGCATGGGTTATTTCTTAGGAGAGGTATGCCACTCAGGTCTTTAATGCTGTCTAGTGCCTTTTTAACAAATAACCAAATACTTTCCTTTGCTAGTTAAAACTTCTGTCCAAATTGGTGGTAAAAGTTTCAAAGTAAAAATAGGATTGCAAAGTCTCTATGAATGCATTGGATGTATAGAAACTGTTTCTGATTAGAGAACCGAGCCGAAAGACAGGCTACATCTAGATTCCTTTTGGTCCTCATTTGATGTGCCATTATAACATATTATTCCTTTTCTAAAAACGTTTCTAGGTCTTGTTCCCATATCATGGTGTGACAGATGTTGAACTGAGCTTATCAACCGGTGAATACGTTGTTGTTAGAAAGGTTCGATATGAGAAAACAGACAAAGTCTCCTTTAATCCATATCAACCGATACGGTTATTCAAGAGTGTTTGAAATCCCATTTGTCTGTTTGTCACTGTCAGGTTACAGGCAGTGGATGGGCAGAAGGTGAATGCAAAGGCAAAGCCGGTTGGTTCCCTTACGAGTACATTGAAAGACGGGAACGAGTTCTTGCTAGCAAAGTGTCTGAAGTTTTCTGAGAATTCAAAGGTAACATCATGGTTCGTTGCTGTTGGTAATGCAATTGAGTTGCTTTTGTAGAAGAGTTGTGTGTTTTGTAGAAAGAAAAAGAAAGAGAAAAAAAGATTCACCGGCTAAACAGATTTCGCTTCAGGATTGAACTAATGTTCATGAGGATCGGAGTTGATGTGGATTTCTGCGATTTTCTGAATCTGATAGCGATGCACTTGAACAAGTGTTCTGTTCAAGTTTTAGGTCCCTCTCTTTGGCATTGGATGTAAAAGCCAAATCTCTATCTATCTACGATTCTTCATATGTGTATACAGTTCTTTTTGGTTTTTATTTGTGACCTTTTTTGTTCGAAATTTACTTTCATTTGATAACCTGAAAATGTTATAAAGAAGTGATTTTTTTTTTTTTTTGGAATTTAACGCTAATACATATGGTTAACGTTGGAATCTGGTGTTAGTACATTATTTAAATACCACTCCGCAAGCTATCAAATCCTTTCTTAGATCACTACAAAGTTTTACATTAAGAAGCTAGAGATCATTCTGTTCATGCTTCAAGATCTTGAAGTGACACAATCAGAGTCACTACTTACACTGGTTTGCTTTGAGATACATAACGAGTATGCCCAATAGAAGCACAAACATTACAATCTGCAATTTCAGGAATAGAGTAGAGGATGATAAGTAACTTATACTAGATATGAAACACTTTTTACTGAAGCTGGATAACAAAATTAACTTACAAAGATAGCCTTGGTTTGTGATTCATTGTTAACATAAGATTTTCTGACCGGCATAAGAAAGAGACAAAAGATTTATTAGAACCTCAAACAAAAACTAAAAGATCATTCTCCTGATCAATGAATGTAGCAATATTTTGGTTAAACAACTTTTGAATCTTCTTTTCTCGAACAGAACAAGTAGAAGAAACCAATAAAAGAAAAAACAGAGTCTACCTTTTCTCAAGGACTCCATTTTCTCTGCAAACTTTCTTAATGGTTTCGAGCCGGTTAAATGTTTTCATGGCATTTGCATCGTTCTTGTCAACCTATTATAAATATAACACATATTTCATCATCTAATGACCAGCAGTAAACACAAGAAATATACTACCATATATACAATTACCTTTGTTTGTAGCATGCAAGAAAAGTCATAGAACACACCATAGACATCATCCATTGTCTTTGTCCGATCAATGACTTTAGCTATGAGCCCTAAACGATATATGTAAGTCATTTGTCAACAAATCAGCTTATAGAAATGTATGTAACAGAACTCACATATAACTGATTAGCCTTTGATTCTATGTAAGCCTTGGCAATAAGATGATGAAATTATGTTAAAGGTTACAAAACCAAACTCAAGATAAAAACATTGTACCTCGCCTCACTCTCACAACGCCTCTGAATACTTGCACATTGTTATAGCATAATGCAAGTGTTCCAATCGCCACAATCTTATTAAAAAGGAATATAATCAACAGTTTTCAACTAAATATTTAAAGCAGAATAAAACTGTAAGTTAAATAGGTGTCCTGCAATATATGTGATGTAATTTATTTTTCTCAAACCTGAGGGATGGCACAAGACTGAAATATTGCAGGATCACGCAACGAAGCCAAGGATTTCATACAATCTTCAACGTGAATCAATGCATTAGTGACCATTTCATTCAAACACTGCACTGCTTTTGTTGAAGTTTCCTCATTTTTAAAGTCCTGCATTCACAAAATAAGAGTTACATTGTCTTCTCTTCTGACATAAGATCTTCATATAAGTATTTGAGAGTGAAGTATATGCACCTCAAGCTTGTCAACATATTTCCCCCAAATCTCACGAGGCCAGAACATGCGCGATTTTGGTATCTCATTTATGTCTTCAAGATAATCTTTGATAATGTTTGTTTTCTAACAAATCAGATAACATACAAAATATTTCATACACTACAATATAGATTCGAAACATATTGTACATGTCAAAATCCATTGTGATGATACCTGGAGAAATAAACCTGTAGAATTTGAAATGTGCTTCCAGTCTGGAGTTAGTATTTCTAGTTCCGAAATGATGAAGATTTTTGATAAACCTAAACCCACAAGTCCAGCAGCATAATGGCAGTACTCATCATAGTCATCTATTGTTTCTACCTGTCGAATACACAAATAATTTTATCACTCAATAGCTTAACTTCTATATCCAAACTTCAAAACTGAAACCAACAAAATCCACATTACGAACCTCTTTACAAATGAATTTGGCCATTCCTGCACCCATTCTTTTAGTTACATCTTCAATAGCTTCTTGATACCTTTTGAGTAAGTTAGGAAAAAAAACTTATATTAGTATCGCCAAAAATTCAGTCGTTCAAAACAGAACAGAATTGCATGTTAGGACTAATTAACCCTTTTTCAAGTTCCAGAAAAGCTGCAGAAACATGGTGAAACTGGTCCATTAGAACCTTGTACTCTTTAGTACCACCTAAAATTGAATGAAAGAGTAATTAAACTTTCATCTGAAATATTAACATGCCAAGAGACTTTTTTTGCTCACATGAAAAATGCCAGTCTCCATCGTATATGTGACGGTGGAAAGCTATCAGAATTGGAAGTTTGATCTCCATTTCTACGCTTGTGTCATCCTCTGTAGCAACAGATATATATGAGTAGACGATACTAACTATTTAACCATCAAGAGTGAAAGAAATATGGATCTTATAGATACTATCATATCCAAACACGATAGTTATGAAGCACTAACCAACAGTATCAAGAGCTCGGAGAATCAAGTAGAACACACACACCTAATGAAAACATATTTAAGAAAACGTTGGAAATATTGCTGTAACTAAAAAAGGTAACATGGAAAGAAGAACAATACATACTGCGTTACGAAGCTCGGTGCCAAGTTGTTGAATAACTAGAGAAAAGCTTTTAGAAACTTTGTGGAGCATTGAATAACAGAAAGCCAAGTGAGGCTCGAGTGGGATCTGCTTCTGAGCTTTGGTTATTGCAATTTTCAACTTCAAAAGTGGATATAACTCATCCGGGTGTCTCAAAATCGTACTCAAGCTTCCCATTTTCTTAGAAACGGAAACAAAAAAAAAACTCCTTTGAAACAGTGACAAAGCTAACAATGGAGGATTCGTTGGGGAACAAAATGTAAAAACACTCAAGTCTTTTAACCAGGGCCATCTCAAAGAAATGGTAGGCCGTGTCACTGTGCTATAATACAACAAAGATGGCCCTTCCCATTTATAAATCAAAGACCCCACGCCCCAACGACATATGCACACCTTGCAAATCCACATAATCTGTCTGACCTTTTGGCCTTGCTCTTAACTTGCCACGATGATAGATGTTTATTATTGGTCCAACGATGTTTTGTTTTTGGCATTTAAATTGTTTGCCGCGTGCTTTACAAACATAGATTTTAAAGTGTTGCCGACCTAAGAAAATAAAAGAGGTCACACAGACTCACACACTGTCTTCAATTATTTAAATTTTCTTGTTGCAGTTGGATTTATTTGGTTTGCTAGTAATTCCGGAATGAGGCCTGATCGAAGATTTTATAACATGGCAAAAGGAACAAAAGAACTATAGAACTTTAACCAGTAGTTTATAAAACACACAAAGGTATAAAGAGTAGATGAACAAATGCACGTTTTAGACAAACAGGATAGTAACTAAAAATAGAATCCATGGTTTTAATACCAAACCATGTTTATATTCTCTTGTTCTGGAAACAATCTTGCTTTAGGATTCAGTGGCGTGAATAAGAATGAACCTAGAAAACCACTGTTCATCATGATCTAAACATCTGGAATGATGGTGATACAGTCACACTCAGCGCTTACATATGATTACTCCATCACTCGGTTTGCCCTGAGATATGCAAACACTATGGCCAGTAGAATGACAACCATTATAATCTGCATTTTTGGGTAGACAAAGCGCATAAGTTATGTATTTCTTTTCTTACACTGAGATACATCTATTGAAAAACAAACAAAATATGTAACTTACAAAGACATTGTTTGGTTGTCCTTTGTCATCAACATATGATTTTCTGGGAGGAAGAGAGACAAAGTATATCATCACTAACCCAACCAAAAAGAAAGATTAACAATAATTTTATCTTATTCTGGAATACTTGGAAGATTAGTTATAGGTGCTTGAGATCAGTTTCTTAGTAAGGGGTTTTAATCTAGTTCCGCTTTTGGGATCAAAGAATATAATTTACCTGTTATTAAGGACTCCACTGTCTCTGCAAAGTTTCTGAACGGCTTCAAGTCTGTTTAGTGTCTTACTGCCATTTGGGTCGTTCTTGTCAACCTATGTACAGATATATCGATGAAAAATTACACAAATTATCCTCTTTCTCAGCATAAAACAGAGTGACAAAACAGAGAACAGAAAATGAACTAATGATGTACCTTCGTTTTTAGCATGCAAGAAAAATCATAGAATGCACCATAGACATCAGCCATTGTCTTTGTGCGATCAATGACTTTAGCAGTTAGACCTAAACAACAGAGAGTTATTTAACAGTATTAGCTTTAGATTACAATGCTTGCTAAAATAAATTATGTTAAAAGATGATGGATTTCCCTTCCGCAGAAACAAAAATCAGGGATTGGCCTACATAGTTTCTAAGGCTTAACATCATACCTCGCCTCAGTTTCACAACGCCTCTGAATAGTTGTACATTGTTATAGCATAATGCAAGTGTTCCAATCGCCATGATCTGATCAAGAAAACACATCCAAGCAAAGCAATGTTAACTTCTAAGGCAATTTATTTCAATGCAGATGTAGTTAAAGAGGAGAATATCTAGTTCCATAGAGGAAAAGAATAAAAACAGTTTGTAACGAGAATTTTAAAGACTATCAATAGTGAGATATCCTTCTCTAACCTGAGGAATGGCACAGAACCGAAATATGGAAGGATCACGCAATGCAGCCATGTATTTCAAGCAATCTTCAATATGCATCAAAGCATTGGTAACCATTTCATTCAAGCACTGCACAGATTTGGTTGAATTCTCCTCGTATTTTAAATCCTACATTACAATTTATAAATCACCATAAAAAGCATCGTCAGAAGATTGTCAATATGAGTAACGTCAGATCTAATGTGAGAGCTTGAGAGTGGTATGTATCTACCTCAAGCTTGTCAGCATATTTTCCCCAAATTTCGCGAGGCCAAAACATGCGGGATTTTGGTATCTCATTAATATCTTCAAGATAATCCCTGATAATATTTGTTTTCTGCAAATAAGACCAGTGTTATGAATTATTCGATGAAAGAAGTTGTCCAAGGTCGCAAAAGATTTTAGGAATAAACATTGTACACCTCAAATCACATTGTTGTACCTGTAGAAATAAACCCATTGAATTGGAAATCGCCTCCCAATCTGGTGTCAAAACCTCTGTTCCCGCAGCGAGGAAGAGCTTCGACAGACCTAAACCCACAAGCCCAGCAACATAGTGACAGTATTCATCATAGTCGTCAACAGTTTCTACCTGTGTATAACGATGAAAACTGGATCAACTGGAAGTCTGGAACTGTATGATTTCAGTTCTTCAAGAAACATAACAATATGTTTTGGTATTTTTCAGTTACTCAGTACATGAATTACTACATGTCAGTCATTTCATAGAACAAGAATCACATGGGTCACTCAAAAAGAGATCTGATGTTAATTGTTATGACTTATGACAAGAGTAAGCATGACACATTTCTAACTGAACGAGAGACCCCAGTCTAGTTTAAGACAGTTTGTCACCATAACTCAAAAAACAAAATCAAATTATGAAAAAATTGCTATGTATCACAAACCTCCTGGCAGATAAACTTGGCCATTCCTGCACCCATTCTTTTAGTAATTTCCTCGATAGCCTCTTGATACCTTCATATACCAAGGTATAAATTATAAAAATAACATAAATTAGTAATGTAGAAAGTAGATTAGAGTTTCAACATATTCAGTGACTTGATCAATAAACGTGAAACAATATGAGTAACAAACAATAAAAGAGACCAGGAACGCATATAGAAAATAATAAACTAACCCTTTTTCAAGTTCCAAAAATGCTGCAGCAACGTGGTGAAATTGGTCCATTAGAACCTTGTACTCCTTCGTACCACCTAAAGTTGGACAAGTAAAATATGTAAGTTAAACAGTCAAATATTGATGGGATGTGAAAGATAAAGATGCAAAGAGACTCTTCAGACTTGCATGAATAGTGCCAGTCAGTATTGTAAATGTGCTGGTGGAAAGCTATCAGGATGGGAACTTTTTCATCAGTTGGTATGCTTGTATCATCCTCTGTTGCACACAAAAAAAAATATATGATATTAGCGGGAGGAAGATGGTTCTAACATGAATACAATTCAAAACAGAAGTTTTGCAGATTTTAGAGAAGCCGAATCTTATCAAGAAAAGTTAAGAGACACTAACCAACAGTATCAAGAGCTCGGAGAACCAAGTAGAACACACACACCTACAAATAAAGAAAAGGGAATTGAGTAAGAAAATGCTGCAAGACTGGACAGAGCTACACTGATGGCATGCGAACGAAGCAAGATATACCAAAACTTCAGAAACAACCAAAACCATTTTCTATGCGTAACATGGTCCAAGAAAGCCTCATATTGATATAGCACAAGAACGTAAACAGAATAGCAGAAACAAATAGAATCCCAGTTCTTTAAATGCAATCTGCATTTACTGCAGCTTAGATAAACTGCAGAATCAGTTTATAGCAATCTGCAGGAACAACTAAGTGTAAAACAAACAAAGGGAAATATCAAAAGCCATCGATGCAAAACCAACAATCGTCAACGTCAACAATAAATGAGTGTCAAATATTTGGATTCATCCACAAATTGAGCCGTTGACCAAATATATTACATGGCGGAGAGAGAGAAGAAACGTACAGCGTTACGAAGCTCGGTGTTGAGCTGCTGGATAACGAGAGAAAAGCTCCGAGAAACTTTGTGGAGCATCGAATAGCAGAAACCCCAGTGTGGCTCAGGCGGGATCTGCTTCTCGGCTTTCTCAATCGCTCGTTTCATTTTCAGGAGCGGAAATATATCATCGGGATATCTCAGCATCGTGCCTAAGCTCCCCATTGTTTTTGCTACGGAATTTGAATCAGGAGAAGGAAAAAAAACAGAGCGAAGAATCTGCTTATGGCGTCTCCCCCTGAAAACAATGCCGAAAGAAGCAAAACTCCTCTGTGACGACGATCTAAGATTAAACAAAGAAGAGCGGAGATGTTGCAGGGAAGAGAACCCTTACCTGCGATGCGGATCGATTCGATTTGGGCAGTGAGATTTTCTATTTTTGAGTTTTTTTATACATCGATGATAACAAAGGCTTCAGGCTCTCCAAGGTTTCACATTTTTAACTCCTTTGTTTATTATTAAATTTAAATGATTCAGTTAATAAACATTGAGGAAAAAATAAAGAGTGGGCGTGAAAATAATGAGTGGAGAAAAAGACCTATACCGATAGCAAAATCTTAACTAGACAAGATATATAATAGCCTTTGTTTAAAATAATTTTAAATCTTTCCATGTTTTTGGTTTTTTATTATATAAAAATGAAAGTTTGACCCAAAAAAAAAAGGTGAAAAGAAAAGGTATCTTTTAATGATAAATGGACGATCCGATTTACAGTTGGGATTATATATTTATTTACTGGCAAAAATTAATGAGGACGCTGAGATGGCAAAATAAGGATGACGTGACAAGATATAATTGGTTGTAAATACGTATCTTCAACAGTGTAACTACCAATTGGCCACACGATAACACACAGTGGTTCTCTCCAAGTTTGCCTCTATTAAAGGGTTACTTCATTAACTTCCTCCGGTTAACAAAACACACAAAACAGTCTTGAAAAAAAACTAATAAAAGCAACAAATTCGAAAAAAATGGCGACGCGATCTAGGGTTATCACCATGTCTCCTCTCATTCTCGACCAGGAAGACGCTCTCGATCTCTGGGAAGTCGTGAATCCCTCCGACGGCGAGTTCTCCGATGATTCTTTCTCCGTCGATAGTCTTTCCGATGATGATGTCATATCTCTTGACGACGACGACGCTGGCGCTTCCGTTTTCTCGTCTTCTGTCATCTCTCCGCTGCCTCAGACGCTTACAGTTGCTGTCGGTGCTGATCTCCCCGTGGATCTGGATTTAGACTTTGGTGGTGTTGGTGATCATGGCGGTGACGTAGTTCGCGGTGAAGTTGATGATACCGATCTTGGATGGGCTAAACGGCAGATACTGTTTCTCAGTGGAGGTTCTCGTGTAGTTACGTACGGAGATTGTGTTGATGATGACGGCGAGGAAGATCGCGGTGGTGATGATGGTGATTACGACGATTCCTATGATCTTGACGAGGAGTTGGTTCCGCGTAGCGTGAATAAGAAGCTGGGGAGACAGAGGATGAGGAAATTGGGGAAAAGAGCGATCGCCAAGGCCTATGCCTCGAAGATGACTCCGTACTCGCACTTGAAATATGGAGGCGTTCGTGGTAAGCATGGTCTCGGCATGAAATTCAAGTACTGATTATGTTGGATTCCGAAGTTTCGTCGACGCCGCGGACATGGATTCTTCAAGAACTCGTTTAGAATTTCTCAATTTCTGGGTTTAATTGATGTGTAAATTTGGTAGTTCAAGTTCAATTTCTCTTTCAGTAATTTCGGATGTTTCTGAAGATCGATCTCATTGTATATAAACTCGCATTTAGGATTCACGAATGTGTCCATTAAACTGATTCGCTCTCTTTGTGATGGTTTTTTCATGGAGTTGTATCAGATCAGATTGTGGTTAGACTATGTAGTGTTGAATACTTCACATGGAGAAAGATGATGTTTGCGATGGAAGCGATGATGAGTTTTCTAATTTTGTGTGAACCGTAAATTTGGATAACGACATCTAAAAGTTTAGCAAATGACTTAACAACACAGGAAGAAGGTTTTTGTTTGGTGATGGTTAATTTGGTTATTTATCTTTGTAAAAGCTTTTTTTGCAAAAGAAAATTTATAAATGTTTGGCTGTTGCTTGGAAAGTCAAGTCAGTATCGTTGGATTTGAGTGGTTGAGAGACTTGGACTCTGTTAGAGATGATATTGTGCCTCACGTTGGAAACTTGGACTATATGTATTTCTCTACCAATAATAATACGAACAAGATCACAAGATGTTCATATGTTTTTAAGTTGACATGGTGGTATCAACTACCAACTATGAAGAAGCATGGATCCGGATCCGTGACTTGTGTGGAATATTGTTCAAAATAAGTATATGCAAAGACTAATACTTAAGGATATGTAAATCAGACTATCCCAGACTTCATAACCAACCTATTTTATTATCATCCAAACGCGTGGTGAATTTTGAAGTCACGCCGTTTCTCAGTTAACTAAACGGCAGGTAATACATTCACATAACTAGAGAACGGGGTGAAGTTTTTATTGTTTGGCTAGCATAGAAGATAGGATAGGGGGTGGGGGGCAAAAAGCCAAAAAGAACCCAGCTAAAACCTTTATTTACTTATCTAGTTATCTTCTTCTTCCCCGTCCTCAAATTTCGAAAGCAGAGAGCAGAGCAGAAATGACGGTGAAGATAAGGCTCGCGCGTCTCGGTTGCAAACATCGACCCTTTTATCGGGTAGTTGTTGCTGATGAGAAGTCGCGGAGGGACGGCAAGCAAATCGAGGTTTTAGGGTTTTATGACCCACTCCAAGGTTCGTCTCTTCTCCTCCTCCTCCTATACCTTCCTTTTATTTCTCTTAAAATTCAACACACTTAGATGAATTTGCTTGTGCCTCCTCCTCAGGGAAAGAAGATGAGAATCGAGTGAGCCTCAAATTCGACAGGATCAAGTATGTTTTTTTTTTTTTTGTTCTATCATCTTCACATTTCTCTTTGCGTGAATTTAGTCCACCAAATTATATGCGAAACTCATGATTGTTTGATGGTAATGTGACACTTCAAATTTTCTCAACCTTATCCATATAATCTTTCGTCATGGGAGCCCAAAAAGAACTTTCATTGTGGGGTCTTATGACTTACTTTGAACCTGTTTAGATGAAGCAGATTAATTTACTTGGATCATTTTAGACTTCTCTATAACTTATTAGACCGGTCTTCGCATTGTAGCCATGGCATAGTATTCTGCAAGGTCATAATCTTGTTTCTTACGATAATGATGCTGCGTAATTGCTTAGATTTGTATTCTCTTTTGTGACAAATTGAAATGTTTTTTGTTAATTCTGTGTGTCTGGAACTCTATTTAGTTCCTTTGCTTCTTGGTCCTGTTTTCTTTAACATACACCTCTCTAGCCATTGAAAACAATAAACATCCCTTTCATCTACTGCAAATTTTCTCTGAGGCTTGGTTTTGCTTGTATGATTGTTTTTATTACACTATTCTTCAAGTCTAAATCCACTCAGTTACTTGTTATCTAACTGAGCTTCACATTCACAGCTGCTAAAGGAAATTGATTTTCACACTTGAATGATGCAGGTACTGGTTGTCTGTTGGAGCTCAACCAACAGACACAGTCGAAAGCATGCTTTTCAGGGCCGGTTTGAAACCCCCAAAGCCAATGGTTGTAGTAGGTTCGAAAAATGGCCAGCAATCTACCAGCCAGCATGTTTCACCCATTACAGGTGAAATCTTGAACTAAGAGTGTTTGATATGATGAGCAGAGAGAGAGAGAGAGAGAGAGAGAGCTATTCTGTCTATGTTGTTGATGTAATGCTTCATTATTTTGTTAAGACTTTTGTTGTGTATTGAGTATTGAACCTGAGTTTGTTGAATTCTCAATAAGAGCATGCCTTTTTTTTTAGTTCATTAACAACAACTCTCACTTCAGACTACTAAATGGGCTTTGGTAAGAGGCCCACATATTTCAGATATTGGATTCATTCTCAACATCATTCTGCCTCATTGTGTGCTAAAAGACCGGAATTGTTTATCTTCTAGCCTGAAATATGATGTTGCACATTAAAAACCTCGTTCTTACTTTTTATACAACTTTTTACATGGTATGTAGTTATACTGTAATCTCATTCATCAATAAAAATATAGTTAAATATATTCTCATACAGATGTAGAAACCCCATACATTGCTTAGTCTTGAAATTTTCATTTCGTCTTTTTGGTCTCAATATCTGCAAAATTGTATTTATATAGTCGAGATATTTTTTGTTGGATTGTACTATTGTCTATCGAGTTAGTAAAGTAGAGAATTACATATTTTAAAACCTTGTCTTGAAATATAAAAAGATGTTATATGTAGTTATGAAAAAAGGGAAATGTGTCTTGGGGACATTTTACAGCTCTATTGGGCCAACAATATCTTTAGCTTCGTATCCGATTAGATTCTCTCCTTCAACTGTTCTCTTCTCTCTCTTGGTTCAGAGATGTTCATTGTTCGTATTATTACGGCACCTCTGGCTCTGACCCTCTTGCTGCAACATCTGTCCCAGCACAGATAACTTTCCCATATTTTTCATTATACACCTACTGTTTTATACTTCTTCAAAAATTTCACCCTCAACTTCCTATAACTCTATCTAAGTCATTCTCATTATGTTTGTGTTGATGCTCTTCAAGTCTCAAAACCATGGAACTAAACTATTAATTCTGTCGGCCTTTACTCAATATTGTAATTCCTGAGTTTCGCAAATCTTAAACACCTATATAGATTTCTTATTTGTTACCAACTTAGGATATTATATAGACTTCTGTGAATGCTGAAACTAGAAACATTCGAAAGAAAAAGCACTAATCCATAAATACCTAAAAAAATTGAATCCAGGAAAAGACAAAACTCAGTGGGGGAAACTAGCACTTATGGTGTTTTTTTAACAAAATTAAAATTAAAAGAAGAAAAAAAGTTGTGTTGGTTATTTCTTGGGACCCTTTTTTATATCTTTATTTGATAGTTGTATGCAACTATTATTATTTGCGCCTCTGGACGACCAGAGTCCACGAATGTATAGTCAGATAGCCAAAATAAAAAGAAAAGTATGAAAGACATATATAAATATAGAGAAAAGGAATAAGAAACAATCATGGCTTGGCTTACTTGAAAAGTAAAGTAGCCTTTAGTACTAAAACACAGATTATACTGTAGAGTCATATCATATCTATACATTTCTAATGATAAAACTTGATGTACTTATTCATCAGAAAACAGTTTGAGACAAGGATTAGGATTAAGATTAGGTTTAAGGATGAAGAGAAGGGGGTTTAGGTCGACCAACTGGTTGTTAAAGATAGAAACTCCTTAACCATACATTTATATATATATAAACATTTTCACAATAATTGTCATCTCTCTTTTACCAAAGACTTGACTCCAAGAGAATCAACAAAGCACTTAAGCAAGAAGCTGGAGGTTCAAAGCACCAACCAGATTATGGCTTTCTGAAGCAATCAATATCTATCTCTTCACAAAATTAGACAAAGTTTTTATTTGATTTCTTCTTTCTTCTTTTTATATTATATAAGAAAGAAATTCAATTCTTTCTTTCTATGTCTGGAGGAAGGAGAGAATGATATGGGTCTTTCACGTGTGACATTGATGAGATGACGAATTCAAATTATATTTCATTCTAAGAAGAAAAGAAAAAAAAAGGCATAACCTTTAGTTTTCTTTGCTCGGAAAATTTCTTTGAAGAAAAAAAAAGACTTTCCTATATTGCAAATCTTGAATATTTTGTAAATCTTTTCAAGATTTGGTTAGTCTCTTTCAAACAATTCACAAGAAGCAGCAGTTGGTTTCAAGGTAGTTTAGTAATCTTTCTTTATTTCCCTATTCAACTTCTTTCTTTTTTATTTTTTGCTTGTCTATGAATTATGGCTTACATCTCCATAATTGCATGCAAAAACCAATTCAAGACATGATGAAATCTTACATGTTTATGTATCCTGCTCTGTTTCAACTGTTTTCGAATCTGACTTTTGTTTCAAACTTTCTTCTTCTAGTTAACTTTTTTTGTTTAAAAAGATGGAAATCTTTGAAGAATTATGATAAACTCAAGTTTGTGTTGATCTGAAGCTTCCAGGCTGCTGCAACGTCTACGACCTGATCATAGGACAAGGGACTATGAAACTCAATTGAGCCAAGAAAGACACTCCATTGATACAATTTCGATGGAGAATTATCCGGAAACACAGTTTCTCCCCGGAAACTCTATGATCCACATGAATGCTACAGTTTCTTACTCCCAGGAATTAGCCAGTAGAGAAAGAACTGAAGCTACCAACAATGTCTCAGCCTCACAAGAGAGGCAAGCGTTGTCCAGATTTGGTCAAGTTTCGCAAATGCAGGACGCTGATCAAGATTTCGGTTCTTGGAGAGATGAAGCAAGTGACAGGAACGGTTTCCAGCTAATGAGTGCCATGGCGAGTTCCACGGCGCATCCTCATACCGGTCAGGGGTTGTCCCTTAGCCTTGGCTCGCAGATTCTTCCTGGAATCCATCAAAGTATGGCTCCAAGAGCTGAGCATTTCAGAGGCAATGAGTATGCAACACAGAGCTTTCCGGGAGGGAATCAGAACTTGGATGTTGTGAGAACAATTCCCAACTCAAAGTATCTCAAGGCGGCTCAACAGCTTCTTGATGAGGCTGTTAATGTAAGGAAAGCTCTGAAGCAGTTTCAGGCAGAGGGGGATAAGAACAACGAGAAGCCTCAAGAACCGGATCACAACACTCAAGACTCGAGCACGAACGCTCCCCCTGAAATCTCTCAATCTGAGAGACAAGAAATGCAGAGCAAATTGACAAAACTCTTATCAATGTTGGATGAGGTAATGACTTGAGCCCTATATTCGTATATTGATCATGCGTTAGTTACATTTTATATATGATATGTTGCAGATATTTAAAATGAGATCGTTTATATTTGATTTTGGTAAAGGTGGATAGAAGATATAAGCAATACTACCAGCAGATGCAGATAGTTGTATCCTCGTTCGATGTGATAGCAGGTTATGGAGCGGCTAAGCCATACACAGCACTAGCCCTTCAAACCATTTCTCGCCATTTCCGTAGCCTAAGGGATGCCATATCCGGACAAATCCTCGTGATACGTAAGTCCCTCGGGGAGCAACAAGATGGATCAGATGGGAAGAGAGTTGGGATAATAAGCAGGCTTAAGTACGTTGATCAACATTTAAGACAACAAAGAGGTTTTATGCAACCTCAAGCTTGGAGGCCTCAACGAGGTCTACCTGAAAACTCTGTTTTGATTCTCCGCGCTTGGCTCTTCGAGCATTTTCTACACCCGTAAGTCTCTTGTGCATCTTATCTACGCGCAGATTCTTCATAAAATACTAATATATTTGTGTAAACATGAACAGTTACCCAAAGGACTCTGATAAGATCATGCTAGCAAGGCAAACGGGCTTGAGCCGCGGTCAGGTAGCAACAGAGTGTTTTATTTCAAATTTGTTTCTTTCTCTTCCTAGTGTAGTTTATGTGTTTGACTGTAGTGTGTTGTTGTTATGTTTGTAAAAGGTTTCAAACTGGTTTATAAATGCGCGTGTGCGTTTATGGAAGCCAATGGTGGAGGAGATATACAAGGAGGAATTCACAGAGAATGATTCCAACTCGTCTTCCGAAAATACACCAAAAACGTCTGAGATAGGACCAGCTGCTGCTGATGATGAAGATCGAGCTCAAGAGTTTTCACATGACCAGACCAAAACGGACCATGGACATGATGGATATGGTGAGGAAACATGTGGCATGGTCCAAGGCAGTCAAATGGATGATCGACGGTTCATGGCAGTTGAGCCAACATATCATGTGGCTGACATGTCAAGACTGGGTCGTGGTGCTGTTTCTCTGACCTTAGGGCTTCAAAACTCTAACGGACATGATAATGTTGTGGCTATGTCTAGTACTGAGGCGTACAACAACAGCTTTCCCGGGGTAGATATTTACGAGAATGCCATCCCGGGAGCTGAACAGGAGTATGTAAACCCCGGGAGTCGTAGCCAGAACCGGACAAGTTCTTCCCAATTGGTACATGATTTTGTAGCTTGAAGAAGAAAGCCATATATGGTGATTAATAAAGCATAGGTGTTATATATGAATATGGTCAGTCTCAATACTCTAGTGGGAGAAAGTTGGTCATGAAAAAGTTTTACAAATATTTGTATAAAGAAAACATTCTTTTCTGCAAGAAATATAAAAGTGAGGTTAGGTCTCTGGGACCAAACACAATTACGAGAAATGCGATTTGAGATCAGCAAGAGATAGACAAGCGTAGTATACTAGTTCTTTTTCCACATCTACATCAACCCAATTCTTTCCTTTTTCTCTAATAAAAATTGTTACATAAATTGCAATGTTCATATACAAACGTCTTTTTTTTTTCATTTTATAAAAACATGATATCAGTTAGTTGTATCTCATGGTGGATCGTATTAAAGTTTCTCCTTGAGTTTTTTTTTCTATACAACACACTTATCAGCCGATCATAAGGTTTGAACTCTAGTGGCTTCCCAAAAATAAAATAAAACACAGTTGAAATATAATTCGTGCAATTTCTTTATTTCTATAAAAGAAGGGAATATAGCTCATTGGACATTGCATTATTATCCATTAGTTTGCATACTTGCATGATAGCCAATATTGCACTGTTCACAAAAATTACGTACGTTCGTATGTGATAGCAAAGACTATATAATGATTTTACTAGATAATTATATATATAGACGTCAACAAAAAAAGAAAGATAATATACATATATCTTCAACCTATTATGAAAATTAAGATGATCATTCAAATTTATTGCAGTGTTAGTCTTTAGGTATACATATATTATACATCTCATAAATACGAAATCTATATATAGTGGATCGGCGATTGTGATGATCAGTTGGGAATAAGCTTGAACGGAGGCCTCACGAACTTTGGCTTGGGAGTGTACTGTCCATAGTCTTTTGAATTCATTCTCAGAATTCTCTCGTGTTCATGTATTCTTCTTTCCACCACCTGTCCACATAATATACAATTTTTATTCACCAACCTATATATAACTACATATATAGCACCCTAATTATTGCTCTTGAAATCATCTTAACTGGTACTTAATTTATTAGGAATTGCAAAATTAGTTAGTTGGCAACTTTATTTTGGGTTAAAACGACTAACCTCGGGGTGATTAGATTCTTGGCGATAGATTAGAATTGATGATCGTCCTACAAAACATAAGAGATTCTTAAGCCAATCTGTTTTTTTGTTTATTGTTTTTTTTTTTTGTTATCCAAGACCAAGAGTAATCACTCCAAATAACATACTTTGTCGTTAAATTTTATTTTTAGAAAGTTAGTTTTTACAGCTATATAGTACTTATATATATTTATGGATGGCATGACTTATTTACAAATCGAAAATCTAGAGATTAGTCATTGAGTATCCAGAAACACACATGTGCATGCACCACAATCTCTTAATGTTATATATACTTTCTAAAAAGATTGAGCAAGTAATAGTAGTAGGCACATGATCATGCAGAGAAAAGCTGCAAACAAAGGAATATATATGTATGTAGATTGAGAGAGGGAGAGAGAATGAAAAAGAAACCTGCAGAGGAGAGAGCAAACGATGAAGCTGAGACAAGGAGAAAGATGAAACCTAGTTTCTTCAACAATGGCAATAAACCCATCTTCTTCTCCTTTCAAATTTTCTCTTTGAATGAAAGCAAAAGGTTATGTAAGTGTTTATGCTTTCCTTGTGTATTAAAAGAAAAAGAGAGGCCTTATGCGTTTGGTATATATATATAATCTCTAACGAAATAACACCATTACAAGTTAATTTTTAGGCTTTTAGCCAATGCGAATGCCTTAAATATACAAAACAAAAAAAAAATACTAAACCACAAAAAAAAAAAAACCTGTTTAACATCAAAAATGAGGCTGTATAAATTATAAATAAAAAATACGATTTTACAAAAATTGATGTATCCATCATTTAATTAATGCAAATATCTCTTATAATGCTTTAATAATTACTAATTGTTTATGGAAATGGTGGGATTGGAGAAAAAGATGAAAAGAGACCACTTTGCTATTGTTGGTCACAATAAGTCTAAAGAAGTTAGTGGCTTTGATTATTTAATGTGAGTGGCTTTTATTGTTTAATTTGGGGATATGAATCATATGATAGACAACCATGATCATACATAACCTTATTAATGGTATTCAGTTCTCCATTTAAGAGACATTCGATTGTGGTAATTCGAATTGATCGATCATATATATATATAGCATAATAAATTGATAATTGAAGAAGAAGAAGAAGGCCAAACAAAACTTAAATGGATTGCTGATTGAGATAATGGAAATTAGATAACTAAAGTGGCGAAGACTTGTAAAGTTTGCGTCAACTGAAGCTGATTCGTCACAATAAATAACGTAAATGGATTGCTGATTAGTACTTAACTGGGAAAACAAAGTTGTTTTGTTCAACTTTGCTTTTAGTGAACTGATGATGATTCGTCACTATAATATGAATGTTCGACGTATTATCTTATGGCTTCGCATAAAAAAAGGATGTAAAGATGATTTAGTGGATGATGACACCAGGCCTACTCTCACCACCATTCTCAATTTCTGTTTTTATTTTTTATTTTTTTTTAACATAATAAACTGTACATCCGAATTAACATATGCCTCGGGCTTATGTTTTGATTTTTGAGGCCTTATAATATCTATGGGCTTTATAATATATGTGGGCTAATATGATATATCGCTAACAAATTTTAAATTTGGCTAGCTGCTGTTAACTAAATAAATATTGAAGTCAAAAGTCTTTTAGGTATCTTTTCTAGTAACAACAAGTAGGAGCTAGAGTTTGATACTGTTTAGTTCTAATAAGGACGTGTAACATGAAATCATACGAGTGTACATTTTTAGAGAGAGCTTAAAAACCTTAGAATATGACAATTTTTTAATTCCAACTAAGTGTGAAACATATTTTGATCGTGCACACTCGATGAAGCGATTGTGAGGAATTAGACATGCAAATAGGGAAAAAGAAAATTACACATACAAAGGAAAATTCTACTAACGTCGGCTGTGACTTTGTAATTATTATTTTTCTCAATAAACAAAACAATTATAATCCGAATGATATTGATTTCAAATGCCGCCCCTGCTTTTTCTTGTCTCGTCATGAGATCAGACTTTTCTCAAACAAAAACATATATATCTATATATATGAATCCAGAGTCTGAATTTTCTGTTCGTAAGAAAAGATTACTACTTTAATGTTTTGTCATAAACTCGTCTTTTAATTATGATTTGATTTGTTAACTTTACGAATAATGCGATGATTATACATAATTACCTTTCTCTCTTGGTTGGCCAGTGCCCAAAAACAAAATGAAAGGAAAAGGTTGAAAGAAAACATAAGATAGTTGGGACAGAACACAATAAAATAGTAGTCTTTTGTTAATTGAGAGCGCAATGTAAAAGAGAAAGATATATTTACTGGACATTCACAATATTTCTCTTGGGCGTGAAGAAAAAAACCATTATCCTAATAAGATTTTAACATATCTGTAATATATATATGTAAATGAACTTGAGATTAATGATCCCCATATTATAACCCAAGAGAGAACTACAAACATGAGTATATTAAAGACATATACGTGTATACAGATTACTAGACACTATGAAATGACTATAAACATTCTCCTTCACGATTATAAACTTTTTTAAAAAATTTGAAGGAATAAAGCATAATGTATGATATAGGCCGTACGTCTAAAGTAGTGGTATTCATATTATGATGTAACAAAATGGAGAATCTGAAAAATCGTAAAGGAAAAAAAAAAGTGTATAATTTTGTTTTCCAACTTCTACATACCATACATTTGTATATTAATTAAGCCACACATATATATATGCCTCCTCTTTGCTTATTGATATATATTTCTGTAAATAAAATTTTCAATATGTTACATGCTATGCAGGAGTAACTCATTCATATTTCTAATATTAAACTTGCCATAAGTTTTTCTTTTTATATATAAAAGTCTAAATTTGGATTATAATAAACAGACAATATATAACACTCTCTCGCAATCAATAGATTTTTAAAACTATAAAGTAATTGGATTTGGTTACCAAAGTCCAGATTTTTTTCACTCTTTTATTTGCTTTGAAACTTTTTTTAGGCTTTAGAGTAAGATCAAAAGCACCGACTTCTTCCCATTATTGGCTCGCCTAGACTAGACGGGTATAGTCTTTTACTCTTTTCTATTATTTTTTGGGAGGCTTCTAAATTACACTGTGGGTTATGGTCCCCTAATACGTATAATGAGTTCCATTACGAAAATATGAATTTAAATTTAAGAGTTAAGTTCATCAAAAACAAATCAAGGTGTAGGGAAATTTTTATAGGATATATATGACAAGATTAAAGCTAGCTTAAAAAAATGTTCATAACCACACACACACACATCAGTTAAAAGGTTATGAACCTACCAAGAGAGACAATGATATTCCAATTGACGGGATACCAAATTTCACAATTTATATTTAGGTTTATTTCGCATCATTAAAAAATCCGTATAATTGTGTATAATAATCTTAATAAAGAGAAAACAAATGCTCGCACTTTTTGGGTATACGCAAGAGTCAAACCAGCGAAAGCAAATGTACAAAGGGGTTATAAGAACTTCATTGGTCTTTAGATAACATGGTTGAAGAAATTATGGTCAATTGTTGTGGCTTATATATTAGAGAGTTGGACTAATCATAATTTGTTAAGTCTCTTACGGAACGCTAATGACATTTTTACCCTAATTTAACATGCTAGTATGTATATTGTTTTACATAACGACAAATTATGACTGTGACAACCTTAAATACCTTTTACATGTTACGTGGGAACACAAAAGAAATGTGACGCTAGCAGACAATATTTCTCGGTTCGAGAAAAGATGGTTATGGAGGTTACGAATACTTTTGTGGGATTCGGATCATATAACGATGGTCTTTTAACAAAATTTTAACAAATTTGCATCAAAAACTTTCAATAACGATGGTCTAAGTGCTTTAGGTGTTTTGCTCTTTGTCTTGAACCAGATATAGAAGAAACCTGTTTTGGTGCGCTTGTTGCTTGTAGCCATGAATGATATTGTATACATTATTTTTTTTTGTTATTAAAGAAAAGAAAACTGTATACATAAACCGACTAATTACGAATTATGTTTGTTCAGGTAGATCTATGAGAGACGAATTGTTATAAAAATCATTTAATTAGGCGATCTACTATTAAAAGTCTTAAACCATCATGTGTTTTTAGGTCAAGTACCGGCAAATATTGTTCCCTGCACATGACAAATTTGCTATAATTGATTATGACTTCCAAATTATTATGTCTTCTAATAACGGTTATTATAATAGGTGAATTTTATTAGTTTTCTTTATAAGCAGAAATGAAGATGTATCAAAAATATAATAACTAATAAACGTTAGGAAATTTTTTTATGTCAATTATAGTACCCCTTTTACTCGACTTACGTTTTGGGTTTTAGATCAAAAAACACACACACATATATAAGATGTTATTTATATATATAATCTCTTGAGTCTCGAGTCTCGACACATGCACGATATTCTCAAGAAGGAATACTAAGCTAAAAAAATTTAAAGGTTGAGAACCTCACAATTATCAAATAGAAGACTCCGTTAGATAATAATATAAAAAGAGGCTTCGATGTGTAATATTCATGAATGAGCCATCCGTGATCAATGGATATAAAACAAAACCAATGCAGCATCCAAAAGTATAATTCTGCCAAAAGGGTAGAATAGGATTCCCATTATTATTCACGATTGTAATTTAACCATTATTTTTGTGATGTACTTGTGTGTAGATCTAATGGTGATAAATCGAACTTTGAACAAGAGAAAAAAACAAAAAGGAGATAGGAAAATCAATTTAATTAAAAAGATGAGATGTGTAAAAAGCAAATAACACAGGAGGCTAGGATTTCACCTATAACTCTATATTCTGCATAATTGGATATGTTATTTTGAGTGATCTTCAGACTTTCAAATATTTTTTTATCTCACATTCTTAAAAGTTTCGGATTTTGTAAGTCTTCTTAAGAATATCTCCAAATCTACAAAACTGATACCACACATTTTTTTTTAAGTATTCACACTGATATCATGGAGATATCTACACTCTTTAAAAACTACCTATTGTAAATTTTCACTTAGGTAACTAGATTTTATGCAGGAGTTGATAATCTATGTAAGAAAATAAAATGAGAAAACAACGAAGGTTCGTTTTCAAAATGATTTTTGGGTCGAGTTAGAAGACAAAGATGTCCCTACATGCAATGTTATCATATGATTGATCATCTTAGCTAATTATATTTGATTGGCATGAATCATCATGATTATGCAGAGTCCATGTTGATATTTTGGTCTCTATGGGCTGAAATCTGACCACTATTTTAATCAATTAAGTATTTTACTTTGATAATGTAAGTGTGAAGTCATTTACTATTAATACCCCAATAAAACTAAAAATAAAGTAATATAATATTCTAATACGCAGATTACAATATTAAGAAGACACTTTGTACTCATGCGGCAACAGAGCCTTTATTACAAACACACTCATAACGATGATCATGCTGAGATTACCTAACGCCTAAAACGGACCCAACCAAACACAAAATTTGTAATGGAAATAATCGAACAACAGACCCATTTTTATATAATAAGATCTCTCTCTCCCTTTGGACATGTCTTTAAATCGGACAAAACAAAACGGCCCCCATGTTTGTAACTTCGAGGTTTTGTTTTTGTTTTGTTTTGTGTTTAGGTCCACATTTAATAGAGTAGAGCATCAGAAGACGCCATGAGAGGCTGGTTCATCATATAAGACATGTTCATCTGATTCACGAAGAAATCATCACACTCCAAACCAACCAGAGGGTTTGAACACATGCCGTTGTTGTTGCTGCTGTCGAGGAACTCGATGATGTCGTTGAGAGATTGGAGCCTGTGGTTAAGCTCATCGAGCTGAGCTCTGAGAACAGAGTTCTCTGCTTCAACGGTCAGGTAGTGCTGCGTTGTGATGCTGACACTTGTCACGATGTCGCTGTTCTCTTTTTTCAGATGGTTAACCTGAGCCGTCAGATCGTCGAGGAGCTTCTGTTTCTTCATCCTAGATCTCCTAGCAGATTCACGGTTTGAGAGCATCCGCTTACGTTTCCTCTGCTCCATGAGACTCTCCTCTGACCCTGATGACGATTGAATCGTCGACGAAGTTGTTCCTGACGACGACGATTCCATCAAGTAACACACACACAGAAAACAAAACAAAACAAAGAAGCCTTATATCTTGCGAGAAGAGAGATCAGATATTAAAAATGGGTTTTTTTTTAGGGAAACCAAAAACAGAACAGAACAGAGCAGGACAGGACAGGACCCAGAGGACGAAAAACGAAGAAGAAAGATTAGATGGAAACAAGGGTTTTTGTGTGTTTAAGTTATGCGTATAGATTCTAAAATATTAATTATGAGTTTTCAGGGAATCATGAGACGTAGTAAAGCCAGTAAAGGAAGACAACAGAGAAAGATTGAACAAGATGGGTCCTGCGCCTGATTGTGGAATTTAACATAAACCCAGAGAGAAAGATCTCACTGAGTATAATCGGAGACATGTGTCTCAAACACCAACAACTGCTGATTAAGCATCAATGGTTTTTTTCCTTCTTTTTTTTTTTCTAATTATTTCTAGCAGAAGATGAGATCTTTAACGATGAATCTTTGAAGAAAACAGAAGAAGAAGAAAGGAAGAAAGTAGAAGACGATATCTTCGAGAGAGAGAGAGGAGGAGAAGGAGGAGAGAAGAGGGGGCTTTGAAATGGTTAAGGAGTAAGAATTTATAGAAGAAAGAAAGTTCAAGAAAAAGTGTTTTCGAGTGTTTGTTTGTGCAACTTGGTGATAAAACGACACTTGGTGATAAAACGACACATTTGTTTGGATTCTATTCGGGGAAGAAGATTCTTTTTTTTTTTTTTCCTTTTCCTAACTTCTTTTTTGTAAACATTTTTTTACCCTACCCTTAAAAAAAAAAACAGTTTTATAAAGGAGTGTCAACATTAATCAGAGCAATACTTTATACAAATTTATTTAACTATTTATATTTAAATTAAAAGATAACTCCTTAATTGACGACAAAAAAATATAACTCCTTAATTATTACTCCTATTATTTTAGTTGGATTTATAAATTCACTATTTACTGCATGTATATCAATATCATATTGTGTCAAGATGTAAAAATAAATTATTTTTTCTTCTTTAATAAATTAAAATCACAAATTAATTAATTAAATACTATAATTTATTATGATTATTTCTATTAAAAATGAAACATTCTAAAAAGCACACACAAAAACTAAAAATAAAATTGACTTTTGCCTAATTTCATCTTTCTTTGTTTAATAGTAACTTGTGATTTCTTAGTAGGAAAGAAACTAAAAGTACAGATTCTTTTTACAAAGAATGCAGATGAAAACTTTTCTTTTGTTTTAGGGGAAAACAAAAACTTGTCTTTGTTTTATCTCTTTTTTATTATAACTAAAAGTATACAAAAAATAAATCGAGAACATTGTTGAATCTTCTTCAGTGAAATAGTGAGTCATGTGTTGAACCAAAACAAAAAAATAGTAAGTCATGTATTCATGTAACGACAAAACGAAAAAGAAAAAGAAAACTATATTAATATAGCAGTAGTGCGTATTATTAAAAAAAATAAAGAAAAAACCATTAAAGCCAGAATTTGTCTGGAAAATCTATGAACACATTTATTTAAAAATCAATTTAGCACCAAACCATGAAATCTATGAACACCTTTATTTAAAACTCAGTAAGCAAAAATGTGAATTAAAAAATAAAAAGTCTGAATAATATTTTTATCAAAAAAAGGTTTGAAGAAAAATATAAAGGAATCTGTGCTTTGGAGTAAAAGAAAAATGAGAATGAACATGTGTAAGTAGGCAGAAGAAGAAGAGAGAAAAGAGTGAGAGGGACATGTGAGGTTGGGAAACCAAACTCTCCAGACTTAACACAGCTGTTTTCTTTTCCTTTCCTTTCTTTCTTTTTTCTTCCCCAACTTATTTTTTCCTTTTTTTTTTTTACCTCAGACGGTAATTCCATAGTTTAGCAATTTGTTTTCCTAATTTTATTACTCTACATTTTATTTTTAAAAATGATACGTCCTAATTCATTTGTAATATTTATTCAGATGCTGAAATAACTTTTGTTTTGTGTTGAAGAATAATATATTAGGATTTGAAAAGAAGTCATTCAAGTACATGTAGTATAATTTAGTACTACATATATATATATGCTATAATGTATTCCCACCGTCTAATCGCAGATGGTGTTTTTAGTTATTTATTTATGATACAAAACTTTAATTTACGATCAAACTCACTTAACTTTTCTTTTTTCAAAATTTCTCTTTAAATAATTTGGGAAAGTGTGGAAGAGATCCACTGATCAAGCCCACTTCCCAAAAACGATGCATGAATTTCACCAAACACATTCACACAGCATGCTTTTTTTAATCTATTTTTATAAATGAATTAAAACAGCATAACAAAATTAGTGTAGTATAAGTAAAAGAAAAAAAAAACTCATACATGGAACAAAATATTATTAAAAGAGCAAAAAAAATCTAATCATGAGAACCTCCTAAAAAAAGGTTAAAAGTGTTTTCCCTCTTATACTTACCAATACAAGCAAGAAGGTGAGGATCTCGAAACGCAACGTACAATCCAGTAAACGAGCAATAAGGACTCGAAATGTTTGAGACCAAAGCCCAAAATTAACCGACATATATATACCACCAATACGATATATCTCAACTCAAATTAATCGACGTATAACATAACCGACATATATCATCGTCGATATATCTCAAAATCAAATTAGTCTTTTAATTTGCGTTATCATTGATAGTTGAATGATGTAACTCCAATTAGGACAAACGTACGTCTCTCCTAAATCCTCAAAAGAAAAAAAAGGAATCTGAGGAAGCAAAGTACATGTGTGTCCATTTATTACACGTTCACGTTTCACTTGATTACAAATTTCTGATTGAACGTTTTAATTTGGATATTTTAATAATCCCTTCTCCAAAGTACAATTATTATTTTTTACTGTGCCTAGCTTACCACTGACCTTAGTAAAACATCTCTTGTGAATGGCAACAAATGGTCTGAAGACTTCATGTGATCCTTCTCTGTATTGTTTTTTTTTCTTTCTTTCGTATAACTCCTTAATTTGTGTACATGTAAATAAAAAGAATATCCTTTGTGTATTTCGCTATCTCTAACAATCAAAATCTCCAATAATGCATGAATAGCTTGGAGAAAGAGAAAGAGAGCTATATAGCGTAGAACATCTATTTGATTTGGTTGATATATCTACACGTGTGTTTCCTTTTAATGTTGTTTACTAGAGACCAAATTCGTTTGGCAACAAGTTTAGCTTTTAGCTATCTAACTACACAATATGTATCCGTCGGACATGGTGCTCTCCTTTGTTGTATAATAAATATAATTTTTTATAAGAAAAAAAAAGTTTAAACCAAAAAAAAAAAAAAAAGAAAAAAAAAGTAATATATATATTGTTGTTTGCAGGAAAAATATGAACCGTAAATATCATGGAAGGGTACATACAATCTTTGAGTGGGGACTAAAACAAAAGAAAGACAACGAAAGAGAGAGAGGACCAAACCAAGTCATAAACGCAAAGGCAAATAAGGGAAAACCAATATCAATTTGTGTTCTTTCTTTTTGCAAAATCACATGACCAAACAACAAACCCTACATTTTATATATAATCCAATATATATACATATGTGAATGTGACTAATATGTTACAGACAGTGATATAATATATATATACAAAACCACGATTTCAAACGTATATTATCCTTTAATCTCTTGGATAAATCAAAATCACAAAAGTTTCAATGAGAAATTTTAAAAAAACGCACACACAAACAATGTCACATCGAAAAAAAGACAAATCGTTTCATATCAGATAAAATATACAAGTCTGTTTGCTTTTAAGCTGAATCTATTAGTCCTCATAAACAAAATCACAAAAACAAACTCTCTCAGTTATTTGATTCAACATCTTGCGTTATGATCTCTCATCTTCTTTCCTTTTCTTGAGTTAGAATCCGAAAAACTGGAAAAATATAACAGTACACATATGAATTACAGAAACACATGATGTTGCAAGTTAAATAGCTGAGATGTTTATCAATGTTTTGTTCTTACCAGCTTCTTCTTCTTCTTCTTTTTCTCGATGTATGCTAAAATCTCCTTTTGGCTCACAAGGGCTTCTTCCAAAGCCTAAACCAAATAATAAACCCGAACTCAAACATCTATTATTTTTATAGGTTCAAAAATAGAATTGGTTTATATTGTCTGGAACATTTTTCTGGTAGTTTAGGTTTTGCCTTACCTTCTTGGTCTCAGTCAACTCTTGCTCAAGCGCTTGAACACGGTTAAGCGCGGCCTGAAGTTTCTCCTCTTTCTCAGATTCGACGTAAGCAGGTTTCAAGTCAAGGAACATGCACTTATCTTCCAGCTCGGCCATACGTTTCACCATCAACATATACTCAGAGCTCGAGACTGGTGCTGAGAACTGAGCTTGGTTTTGCTTAGACTTTGTAGATTCCTCATAGCAGACTGAGTTTCCATATAAAGCAGCCTCAGTGAGTTTGCGAGGAACGTCTTTTGATAGCCTAACCATTGCAACAATTCCCATCACAAAGGCCATGACCCCTCCCACAAGCATTCCATCCCCTTTCTTTGGTGCCCCTTTCCTAACGTAACAGTCTAGCCCTAAAGAGACTTTAGTGCGTGCAGAAGAAGAAACACTTTAAAAACATGAGTGTATATATATACCTTTAGAGATTGGAAAGTTTTCAGCTTTCTGAGTTTTAACAGGCCATGACATATCCATTGACTTGTCAATGGTTGTGATTTGCTTCTCATACGCATTGTCTTCATCACTTTTCTTCTTAGCTCTCTCAAGGCTCTGAGATATAATGAAGAATCTCAGTAATCTTATTCTAGTTAGCTGATTGAAGAGATTTTACAGTATTTTCTTTAACTTACTTCCGGAACTGAAGTTGATCTTCCTTGGTCTACATGTTTCTGTTCATCTTCAGAAATCGGTGAGCACTTGGCTTCACGATTTATAGACATCTGCTTCCATTAAAAAACATGACTTTGTAGGTGTGAGACTCAATTTCTTAGGTCAAAACTAATAAATTCAGTTCCTAATTAAATTAAGGTACATGTAAATTGTAATTACCTTTAGAACATCAGGATCATTCCATGGACCTTTGTCAGAACGCATACAACCTCCTTTGTCTTCACAAGTGCAAGCGCCTCCAAAGAACTCTGGCAACTCACTGTTTACAATACACAAAAAAGTCTAATGAATATTCAAGTTTATACATATATATAACTAATGATTTACGAGAGGCTTGATATATACCTAGCATCGATGACTTCAAGCAATTTGCTATGATATTTGTTACCAAGAACGTGAATCTTTGATGTGGTCTTGGGATCAAGAAACGATTTAACCGTGCTCCACAAGAGCCGGAATCCTGAACCGGCATTGATAATGAACATCCGGTTCAATGTCTACAAGGTAAACCGGAAGTCAACATCTTAAGCGCTCAATTGTTATTCTACGTTTATAATGTTTTTTTTTTTTTTTCCAAATAACTCCTCGATCGATCGTTAACAGTGTAAAAAACATATCTTTAGCGTTAGTAGTAAAAATATTTTGTAAAAGATGTAAAATATTCACTAAAAGGTAGTAGAATTTGAATCGACGACGGATGTCTAATCAGCGACATGATATTATGGAAAGTTAGATTTTTGATAATTGAGATG